AACAAATTATTTTACTACCCAAAACAGATCTGCAAGCTCACCCTGGAGGAAATGGATTTTTTGGACCCTAGAGGTGTCATATATTAGCAACTAGAGATACACGCACACACGCCGAGAAGATCAAAGGCCCAAAGCTGCATTTTCCATCAATGGTGACTGAAAATCCTCTCTTGAAAGGTGGCAGGTGGGGACCCCAGTACAGAGTCCAACACTCTGCTAAAACATAAGCCCCAGGAACTGTTCCACACACCAGAGGCAACTGTTTATTTTCTCAAATCACCTCCCAAGGCCCCATGAATCTTACCTGTCATGAAATCTAGCCTCTCTTTCTAGAATTCTGTCCCAACTCCTTTCTTGATTGTTCACAAACCCCTGGAGAATTGTATAATCCAAAAAGGGTAAAAGGGCGTCCATGTGGTTCTCACACTCAGGCTGTCATTGCCCCTTACGGCCACACGGGGTCACTGGTAAAGGCAGATGCTGCAGGTCCTCACAGCCCTGGCGCCCGCTGGTCCCAGTTCTGAGCAGGTGGTGGAGTCCTGGTCTTCCACAGAAGTCCACCCTCGCACTGGGTGTAGCAGGGCCAAAAACACTGGAGTCATCCTTGACTCTTCTCTTCCTTACTGAACCTCCCCGCTCATCCAAACTATCCACAAATTTTATTGGCCTTCCTTGTGAAATATATCAAGAATCTGACCCCTTCTCACTACCTCACTGCTCCCACCATGGTTCAAGCCATCATCTCCTCTCACCTGGTTGGTTGCAATAGGCCGTTGGGAAGTCTTCTCACCTGCTCCTCCAAAGTCTGTTCTTAAGACAGCAGCTGGGTTGATGGTTTCCTAATAAAATCAAGATCTATTCTCAACACAGCAGCTGGGATGATGGTTTCCTAATAAAAATCCAGATTATGTCTTGACTTAAAACCCTCCACTGTGTCCCAGAATTCTCACCCTTGATCTTCTATCTCCCATTATCACTTCCAACAAAGGGCCTTTGCTCTTTCTGCTCCCTCCACCTGGGATACTCTTAGCTACCCACTTAGAAAATTCCCTCATCTCCTTTAAGTCTTTTTCACATTTCATCTTTTCAGTGAGGATTACCCTGACTGTCCTATTTACTATGCCTTTCCTTACTCTCCAAAGCCCCTTTATTCAGCCCTGCTGAATCTGTCTTGACAGTTTTAATATTTTTTAACAACAAACTCTGCATATTCATTTTGCAATGGACCCCACAAGTTATTAGCCAGCCAGAGAGATCTCTATTTACCTCTGTTTTCTGATTTGTAAAACAAATGTAACAATGGTACCTTTCCCACAGGAATTTTGAGAGGATTAAATAATATATATGTATCAGACACATAAAACTTATAAACGCATTCAACAAGAAGGTATTGTCTACTCTGTATCAGACACCATGTTCTCGATCCTGGGAAATGCCCATCAAACATTGGTCTCATGGAGCTTACAGTCCAGTGGGGGAAAGAGAGATAGTGACAAACAAGATACTCTCACATGGAATAAGTTCTATGTGGAGGACTAACATGCAGTCATGTGACAGAGTGGCTAGACGACCACTGTCACTTGGGTGATCTGGGGTGGTTTCTCTGTGAGGTGACATTGAAATGAGACCTGATGACAAGAAAACATCAACCATGCAAAAATCATAGGCAAGAGCATTCCAGGCAGAGGGAGAGTAGTGAATGTGCCAAAGATGGGTACTAACTGAGGTGTCAGAAATCAAAATAAAGGCAAGGTGGGTGTGGCAGAGGGCATTAGAGAGCGCTTCCAGACAAAGCCAGAGAGAAGACTGCAGCCCGGATCAAGAAGGACCAAAGCCACAGCAATGGGTGGTGCTTGGTTAAAGGTGTAATAGCAAGTCATTCAAGAGTTTTTTAAGCTGGGAACACTTGGTCTTAACTTCCGTGTTTAAAAGTCAAGTGTGGCTGCTGCTTGAAAAATGGATTTGGGTGGAGGAGCAAGGAAGGAAAGAGAGAGGTCGAGTAGGAAGTTATTTGAGTCATGTAAACAAGAAGTGAGGGTGGCCTGAACCAAGGTGATAGTGGTGGGGATGACGAGAAGGGGTCAGATTCATAACAGGACTCCACCTATGGAAGTTAGAATCGATAGGCATTGTTGATGCCAATGGTAAGGAAAGGAAAATAATCAAAGATGATTCTTGAGCAGTTGGGTGGATAAACATTCATGACAATCATGTAAATACCAAAGATCATGAAGTAAATACCAAATGATTAATAACAAGTATAGGTTACTTAATTAATTAATATTGAATCCTAATGAAGAATTGGGATGTTTTCATGGAATAACACCCGAACCAGAAAGGTGCTGAGCACCCAGTGAATGTCGCTTGAGGGAAGGAAGGGGCGAGGGAGGATGCTAAGGGGGAAAAGGAAGGGGAAGCTAAAGAGAAACTTTGCCAACTTCACAGTTTTGCCTAAAGCAGGACCTGCTGACTAGTCTCCTCAAAGAGGAAAAACAAAATTACACACACATACAAACAAAGTTTGCTGCACGGGAAGATTTGAACTAACAAAGGAACAGGAAAGGGCCTGGAGGACAGGGACACACGTGTTTGGACACATCCCCCACTTAGGAAAGCTGACTCCGGAGAGGGCCAGGGTCTGATGAGTGTGCAGGAAACCCTTTTGCCCTGTCAGTTCCTAACAACAAGTGGGTGCGCGTATTTACCCTCTCAAAGCAAGGCGAGAGGAACCAGGAGGGGTGTCCGGGGCCAGGTGAAGGCAAGGACACTTCCCCATCTGTTCGCCCCTTCTGTAGGGCGGGAAGCATTTACAAAGGCAACGCTGTGACTCTGATGTGCATGCTACCTGGAGACATCACATTTCAACCAAAACTGATAGTCTCCTGAGTCTGGTATCTTATACCCACAATAATAATCTTCCTAGAAAATTCATTCCCTGAGAAATGGACTAAAGGGCACCTCTCTATGACGACTGAAAGCTTAGAATCTTTTCTAATCATGTGTAGTGCTAAGCAGGACCATGGTAGGATACACTATAGGAAGTTGCCATTATTAAACCATTTTTTACCTAAAAGAGTGACTGTTTCATGTAGCTCAACATGATATCTGCCTCTGCAGCCTGGTGAAATAGTTTAAGATAAATACCACCATGGCCATGAGTCTTAGCTTAATTAAATATATCTCCGACCCTTTCTTCAAAATCATAGAGTGTTCTATATCTTTTGAGAAAGTAATATTAAGGGATTAAAGCAATTTCAGATTACTTTGAGGGATAAAATAATTTACCTATATTCCTCCAGAATGCACCCAAAATTGAAGCCAACCATCAAAAGGCTCAAGACTTAAAGAAATTTGGAGGGGGAGAAATATTTTACAATCCTGTAAATATGGAGAAGCAAAGTGAATATCCAGCGCCCTTACTTTATCACAGAGCTCAAGGACTTGCTCAAGGTCAGGGTCAGCAGTCGGAGCAGAACTGGAGCCAGACCCATGTGTGTATAGAAACAACTCTCTTTTCTGAACCAATACACATTATATATGAAAAGAGTCTGGGATTTTGTGGATAAAAACCACTTCACTTGTAAGAAATAGAAAAATATTTAACACAGGTTACAAGAATTTGATTTCCCAGATATCAAATAATAATCCAACAGAATAAGATATGGGAAAACTCACCAAGAAACAAGAGGATTTTAGAATGATCATTTAGAGGAGGGTATTATGGCAGAACTGAGTGGCATAAAGAGCAGAATGAACTGATTTCGTAAGTGACTCAGGGAATTTAAAGGAAAAAAAGAGGAGTATGTTTCAATAAACGGGTTTTTTTCTGAGGATGGCGGTATTTTACTTGGATTATTTAACCTGCTCATCTATATAGCTGAGAAATTTTCATGTCCGTGAGTTATTTTGTCAATCATTTGTATTGAATGCTTACTATATATCAAGCGTTCTTCCAGATATTTAAGATAATATCAGTTCCCTAAGCAAAAAAAAACCCCTGTCCTTAATGAGCATATATTGTGATTCGGGAACCAGACAACAAACAATAAATATAATAAGCAAGCAAATTGTATGGTGATTTAGAAAGTGACAGATACCAAGGAAAGGGACAAAAAGATCAGGATAAGAGGAAGCAGGGGCTATGAGAGGGATGCATGCAGCTGCTTTCAGCTGAGTGGTCTGCACACGCCTCATGGAGAGGGTGGCTTTGAACAAGGACTTGAAGGAAATGAGTTAGTCAAGTGGCTCTTTGGGGGAAGATTGTTCCAGGCATAAACAAGTCACTAAGTAGAGGTGGTACTGGAAGGTATATGCTTCATCATGTGCTATGAAGAGCTAGAGTGGTACCCCTTTCTTCCTTTTACATAGAATAGGAAGCCTCAACCTAACCCATTTGCTCATGTTATACTGTGCTGTGATGACAAGACCAGTAGACCTTGCAGTGGACCATTGGGAATCAGTGACACAACACTTTCAGTTCTGGCCCAAGTATGCCTGAGGTTATATGAATCTCAACCATGTTCTTCATATCCATTTTTCAGGGCTTCTGTGTCCATGAGGAGGTGGCATTAGATCCTTGAAAAAGGGCCTTGCAGACTAAGATGAGACCTATAGGCTCCGTCATTTGCTACTGAAGTGACATGGAAGATGAGAAAGGATGAGTCAAAACCCACTGTTGGCATCTGCAAAGAGACATTTCTTTGCAGTAGTTTGCCAACCACACAGGGTGTGGCCACCACTAGTCTTCAAAGTCAAGGACCTGGGCTCCTGCAACATTCCCTCCAGGATATTCTACCCATTTATGGGCACTCCCACAAACACTGCCAGACAGCCAGCTTGGATTCAGACAGAAAGGCCTGCAGTTTTCCAAGGTGTGGCTGTGGAAATGGTGGCGGGTCTCTGGGTCCAGCAATAGACAGGACCAGAGGCAGGATGGGCAGAGCAGTGGGAGGCGGGAGCTTGTTCCCGGTAGTTTCACATGCACAAAGATTCGGATCGTGTTTCTGCTCCAGCCCCTTCAGGATATCCTGTCATTCAGCCAGGGCATATATACAGTTGAGAGTGGCCAATGTCACGGCAACCCCTGGATTTGCCATTTTTCCTGTCTAGAGGCAGGTCTCACATATCATCTGGTTCAACCCAGGGAAAGGAGAGGGAAGGATTTAAAAACAGACACTGAAATGAGAAAGAATTCACTGGAAGCTCTTCAGACAAAGTTAAAATAGGTAAACAGCTCTGACAGGGGCCTGGCACGGAGAAGGAGCAAATATTTTCTCGCCATGCTACGAAATTCAATCCCCTTCCTTCTTGGATTGGTTGTACAAAATTTCTGCTCCCCACCGGGAACTGCAGAGCAGGTAAGACAAGACTTCTATTTCTTTAATTGGTTCATTTTCAGGGTGTGTTCAAAAGCTGTTTGCTTTACTAGGTTGTCAGGGTAGAGAGTGCTATGGGGGCTTCCTAAAATAAAGAGAAAGCTGTGGAGAATAGGATATGAGTGGAGATGCATCATCTTTCATCAACCCAGTTGGTTCTTTCTGTGCTAAAATGCCATTGTTGGGACTCTCAGAATTTAGTGCTCACATTCCTGGTTTCATTGCGGATTTTGGCATCCTGGGTGTGTTTTGTTTGTTTTAAACATCTCATCACTCACTTCCCATTGCATCATACTGAATGTAGAACATAACAATGGCTGTGGAGAGATGTTCTGGGGAATTACCGGTTGAGTGATATCTGGCTGAGAAATACAGTATTATAAAATGCATCTGGTATTCACCCTCTACCTTCCCAAGTTGTAGTAAAAGTACCCAGGGCACTGTTACACCAGCACACCAGCCTCTCAGGCAAGATCCCATGCATTGTCACCTTAGAGCAGTGGTCGGCAAACTGCGGCTCGCGAGCCACATGCGGCTCTTTGGCCCCTTGAGTGTGGCTCTTCCTAAGCCTTAGGAGTACCCTAGTTAAGTTAATAACAATGTACCTACCTATATAGTTTAAGTTTAAAAAATTTGGTTCTCAAAAGAAATTTCAATCGTTGTACTGTTGATATTTGGCACTGTTAACTAATGAGTTTGCCGACCACTGCCTTAGAACAAGTTCAATGTCAGGTTGGCAACAAGGCCAACCTGAAGGAGGGGATGTGGGAGTCAACCCGAGTGATTTAGTTGAAATGCATTTCTCAAGATACGACTTCCGCTCTATGAATAATAAAACGCAAATGTGATTCTGCATCTGTGCCAGGAAAATTCTTATCAACGCCAATTTTACTTCAGTTGGCTGTACTCTATTAATATTTTCACGGAAACATTGAAAATGGCATAAAGGTTACTCACTCCAGTTCTCCGAGTTTGAACTGTGGTTTCATGAGTTTAACAAATATTTCTAAGGATCAGTGGCTGCTCCACTGCTTACTAGCTCTTCAACCCTGAACACTTTGGTTCTTCCTTGCCAGTGGTCCACACAGCAGAAATTACCATCATCACCATCACTGTCATCAGAATGCGTGGAGAAATCAGGTGTTGACTGATGCTTAAAGCTGAGTTTACTCTTCAAGAAGAGATCATATGAGAAGTAGAATGAGCCATTCTATTTGAAAAGGACAAGGGATTTTTGGAAAGAAAATATTCAGCCCTGGTCAGGTGCTGAGTTGTTTAGAGCATCGTCCTGATACACCAAGGTTGCAGGTTGGATTTCCAGTCAGGGTACATACAAGAATCAACCAACAAATGCATAAATAAGTGGAACAATGAGTCTCTCTCTCTCTCTCTCTCTCTCTCTCTCTCTCTCTGTCTCAGATCAATAAATTTTTTTAAAAATTTTAGAAGAGAATATTAACCCTAGCCTACTAAGAAAGGAAAGACAAAGTAATGTCACCCCATGTGCTTACCCACAAGGAAAACCCTAATGTAAAAGAAAATTCTGCTTTAAAAAATAGTATCGTGACCATTAATAGAGATTAACTGAAACTATATCTAAGAGTGGCTTTTGTTATTCCATAAATACCATTCCAGCCAGAAAAAAAAACACACACAGAGATTTTGTTTTTCTACCCACCCGCTATACAGTGTGCAGGGAAGAGAAATGGCCAAGCAAGGAATCAGAAAGCCACTGACTCCCAGTGTGGCCTGAGACAGGTCACTGGTCCTCCCCTCAGCTCAGTTTGCTCCTCTCTAAAATGAGGATGATGACACCTGCCCTACTTACCTTTGGGGTGGTCGGGTTCAAATACAATGATGCCTTTGGGAGGAGTATGTATAACCATGAACTGCTCTGTCAATGTAAGGTTTCTTCTGGTGCAGCCTTTACAGATGTCAATAAACTTAGAAGTAGTCATGATGTTCCCAAGACCCCTAACCTAGTGCTGGGCCCCTTGGGATGACAAGAAAAAGTAAGAGTGGTGGTTTTTAAATGGAGAGCAAAGACAACAAATGTGTTCTACTGGCCAACCATAGAGAGGAGCAAGAGAGATGAGTGTCATTTTGTGGTGGTGTTAAACAGGGCTTTGAAGATATGAGGTTTGGGAAGCCAAAGAGAGGGGAAAGAACATTCCTATCAGGAAAGGCAACAGGCAAAACGCAGAGGCGGAGATAGAGATGCGGTACAGAAATTAGCACTTTACTGCCTACAATCTCCAGTACCGGGCCAGGCAATTTGCACGTGGTGCATCATTTACTACTAAAGTTCTGTGTGTCCTAGAGAGTGGCTATCAAGATATTCCTCTTATAGAGGATGGCAAAGAGGAAGAAATTCATTCTAGATTGGACACTTGGCAAGATGTTGAGCCTGATTCCCAAGTTTAGGTCTTTGACTCCCAAGTTGTCACTTTTCCTTATATAAAGCTGTTTCTATTGAAGTTTGATGGGGAAATGAAGGAAACTTGAAACAGGTGAGGAAATTCATTTGGGAGGATCAGCATCAGCACTGGGCAGTGAGGGATCCTCAGGGTCAAAGTCGATCTGCATCATTCAGCAGAACAGTTCTCTGCTGCCTGGTGTCGCTCACTGTGTTGGGTATGCCTGTCTGGTTTCCTACAACTCATTAAGCCAATCGGCAAATATTTACTGAGCATTACTATGTGCCAGACACTGTTCTAGGTGCTTCAGACAAAGCAGCAGAGGACAAAGTAGAAAAAGATTGCCGCCCTCACGGAGCCCACATTCTAGCTGGGTTGTAATCCAAAGAATACAAATATCTTTGGAGAAGACACTGTATGCTCCACGGCATTTAGCACCCAGACGAGCCTATTCCTGTGGAATTAATGCTGAAAGGATATCCTTGAGATTTGCCGATCTAACAGAAGAACTTACATGCATACAGTGGGGCCTTGACTTATGAGTTTAATTCGTTCCAAGACCGAGCTCGTTAAGGAGCTCGTTAACTCAAATTACTCTATCAACTCAATGCAAAAAATCGGCGGAGAGACAGCTGGTATCTCAAAAAACTCGCTAGTCCGGACACTTGTAAGTCAAGGCCCCACTGTATATGCATAGCCCATGGATACAGACAATAGTGTGATGAAGGCCGGGGGGTTGGGGGAGAGGGGCGGCTGAGGGCTAGTAGGGGTCAATGTAAGGAAAAGGGAGACATCTGTAATACTTTCAACAATAAAGATAAATGTTGGGTTTTTTTTAAAGAAAAGAGTACTCTACAATATATTTCAGGTTTCCCATTTGGAGAAGTGTATGTCATGAAGTTACCTTACCTTGCTGGACTCCATAGTTTAGAGCAGGGATGGCAAACGCGTGACACAAGCAGCCCTTGCACAGCCAGGCAGACATTGCTTGTCAATCCCAGCACTCTTTCCAGATAAGATTAAAAGCAGCCTGCCAGGCACTACTAATCAACCTTATAACCCTCCTTGTGATTCCACTGATGTAAAGTCAATGGAGAAGATTGGCCAAGCAAGGCTCGGCTAATGGAGGTTGATGTTTTGTTTTGTTTTTATGCTCTCACAGACAAAAAGATGCGATAAGAAGTCTCTGCTTGTCATGAGGACTGAGTGCCAATCCTGCCCGCTCAACTTTGAAATTGACTGCCCAGATGGTTACACCAAGGTTACCAATGGCTCCATAGGGGTTCGAGATTGCAGGTACTCATTATGAGAAAGTAGTTGTGCTCTAGTCTTGAAATTCAAGGGATTGTGAATCCAAATAGAAACCTCCCATCTCAAACACTGCAAAGCATTGCCCTGGTTTTCTCTTTCTCTAAGGCCGCATTGAGCCCAAACTTAGGTAACTCACAACTATGACCTTGAGTCTAAAAAATGGATTGCATTTTAATACTAAATTATATTGCACATAAATATTCTCTCTTTCTTTTGCCCTTCTTTAGTTTGAAAATCTAGGTTTTGTTTCACTTGGAAAGAGTTCTAGTCAGAGCATGTTAAAAAGCCTTGGGTCTGACTCTCTCACTAACTAGCTATGGATCCTGATACTAATTAGAACCCCAATAAGGGAGGCCAATGAATTACAGCTTTGTTGTGTTTATGTGAGCACTGTATGCCTGAAATCCTTCTATGATTCAAAACTCTCATCGTTCAAGGTTAATCCTTGCAAAGGATAGCAAACTGTTCTACTCACCAGCTAATAGCTGCAGCCATGCAGCTCAAATGAAAACACATTTTTTTTATTTGCTTCGTCTACTAATTTAAAGCTTAGACAGTCCTCAGTGAGTTTCACTTTTAATTCAGGGATGAAAAATTAGTATGATGTCTTACTTTTGGTAAAATGAAACCTTACAACTGTTAAATTTTAAATTTGTGTTTGCTTAATGTGACTGCACTACATTCTAAACCCAAATCATCATTTTTAACAGAAGTTTCCCAACATTAGCTGGATTGAGTTAGCAACCATATGTGGCAGTTGACTACTCAATTACCAAAGTGGGTGCACATTTCCAATTAGATCCTTTTAGAAAGTACGTCTGAAAGACTTAGGGTTCGAGGTTAAAATTATAAAGCAACTTTAGTGAGAACATTTTTATACTGGTTACTTTTTCTCATGGCCATGATTGGCACTTGATTATGTCCCACTCCACTACCCTAAACCCACACAAACACATAGAGGAGGGGGTTGAGGGAGAGAGAATAAGGTTAGTGGACTCATGCTCTCTGTTTTACAAGTGAATATTTTTTAATATGTTCTCGCTGATTTCAGAGAGGAAGGGAGAGGGAGAGAGAGATAGAAATATCAGTGATAAGAGAGAATCATCTATCAGCTGTCTGCACATCCCCTGCTAGGGATCAAACTTGCAACCCAGGCATGTGCCCTGACCAGGAATCAGACTGGTCAATGCTTAACCACTGAGCCACACCAGCTGGGCTAGAATTGAAGATTTTGATTTGTCATTCATTTATACTGGAACAAACCCAAGGTTGGTTCTTGAGGGGCCATTTGGCTCTGCACTTGGCTCTCCTTTTTTGCCATCTTTATAAAGAGATGTCCCTGCCAGTATTCCACCCTTTCAAAGAGATTGTCAACTCTATCTCCAGCCCAACTGCCCCTAAAGCCAGTAACTCTGTGGTTAATCAGCTGCACCACCGGCACTGGTTTAGGAGAACAATCTAGAACTCACGGGCACAGCATTAGTAACAGCCCAGGTGAAAGAAACAATGATCATGGAAGATAACCTCTAAACACCAGAGTCAAGTCAAATCCTGTAATAAGCCATCCATCTAGAGATCCCTACAAACAGACATTGGTGATTAGCCTCCATAGAATTGCTATTCCAGAACTGTACCTCAGACGGTACAAAAACTGTTCCAGGGAACTCATTATCTCTCCCTCGAGGAAACTGTGGCAAATGCTGCTCATTACATTACACCGCCTCTCACAGGAATTTCTACATCTACGGTGTCCTGAGCAGTCGGTTTGATTTAAATCCACAGACCCTGTGCACCACATCACTCATGCTCTTTCTCTTCTTTCATTGGCTGCTGGGACACCCAGTGATAAATTTGAAGTCCACTACCAGCGTGTGCCTAGAACCTAACATCATTTTTCCCATCTACTAACTTCACTCCGACATCATGCGAGATATTTCACCCCTATTTTCATTGGGCCCTGATGGTTTTCATTCATTACTTACAATTAAAGATAAACAGTGATTACATTTTTTTCTATCTAGACAGTAAAATGTGATTGAGATATATATATATATATATATATTCTTTTTTTAATCTAGGCAAGCCCAAAGACCTAAAAAAAATTCTAGGGCAGTCCAACTCCCTGAGTTGTTCTGATGATGGGTATGTCCCTCTTTACCCTTGAAGGTATGCCTTTGTGGTCAGATCATACTCGCTGTCTCTCCCTGGATGCCGCCACATCTGTAGGAAGGACTACCTCCAGCCTCAGTGCTGCCCAGGCCACTGGGGCCCAGACTGCATGGGTAAGTGACAAACACCCTTCTTGGATTTGGATACTTGCTTCTCGATGTCCCATTCGATGGAAAATTGAGAGGAAGGAAACCCGGTAAAAGGAGAATGTCAGCACCTTTTTCTGGAAAGGCGCATTTCTGTCAGGAGGTAGAAAATTGTTCTTGCCCTCTCAGCTTTTCTAAAGAAATCTGCTTTCCTCCAGTCAGAGATCTGTCTTTAAGGGAATTCCTTTACAATTCAGCAAAAGGGACAGGGGAAAGGCTACCTGTTCTTACAAAAAAAGGTCACTGACCATAGAGAGGAAGTAAGAATGCTGCTGGGTTCTTATGATCTCAAATTTACTGTAAGAAGAAGTGTTATGACAACATCTCAAAGATTATAGTTATTGGTTGACAACCAAAATAATCATTCAGTCTTCTAGAAATGAAAGTTTTAGGATGGAATAGCAAACTCGATAATGACCATGTTCCACTGTAAGAAATACTACCAGCCAAGTCTGAGTCAATAGTACAGTTAGACTCTCCTGTGGTCAAGCACAGCACTTGTGAGCTGAAATGGAACTTCTATTCTGATTATAGATGTTTACACTCAAGTAGTGACTGCATCCTTGCTATGACATGCAAACTATATGAGATCCCTTTTTTTTCTTGGATAGTAAAAAATAAGGCATTTTAATTCATGACTTTACCATTTGCTTTACATCTTCTAAAATGTGCTGAAAACATCTCCTCAAGTATACACATAAGGGGAGAGATTAGTTCTCTTTAGTTGTTGTTCTTTTCCTGGTTAAAATAATATAAACAGACCTGGCTGGTGTTGCTCAGTGGTTAAAGCGTCCACTCACTCTTGAAAAGGGTTGAGGTTTAATGCCTGGTCAAGGGCACATACCTGGGTTGCTTGCAATTGGATGTCCAGCCTCAGTCGGGTCAATGTGTCTTTTTCATATCGATATTTCTCTCTCTCTCCGCCTCCCTCCCTCCCACTCTCTCTTAAAAAAAAAATCAATGGAAAAATATATCTTCCAGTGAAGATTAACACAAAAAATTAATAATGATATAAGCAAATTATATACAGCTTATAAGGAAAAGTACAAAGAAAGAAAAAAAATAGCAACTTGTATTTTGTCACACATATGAGGCCCTAAATATTTTGGCTTTTTTCCCTGGTTTTTTATTCCATGTGGCTTCTAAATAGTTGAGCCCTATTTTACGCATAATGTTGTCTCCAGTTTCTTTTTTTAACTAATGAAGAATAGCTTCCCTTTACTCAGTGTCACTGACATTAGTTGCTAAAGAAATCTGTGGCCAATATTATCTGATTTCATTCTTAAAACAAATCTTGGAGTTAGACATTTTAATCTCCATTTTGCATATGAGGAATCAGATAGTGAAGATGATTTCTTGCCAGTTTCCTTTGGGCTTTCCAGTGATCAAGCAAGTTCAAGTTCAGAGCTGCTGGCACCAAAGTTGCCAGGGAGAGAGAAAGACGGGGTTTAGGATCTCCTGGCCCTTCTCTCTGTTAACTGCTCTGCTCTCAGTGTCACCCCAGCATGTCGGCACAGTGTGGTTCTAAGAGATTATTACATCGGAATCAAGAGATTAGCCCAGACTTCCAGATTTCAAGAACTTTTTTGGTATCAAATGTGGTCATATCACATCCCGTCCTTACAGACATCCTGATATACTGGAAAGAACTCTTAGGTTTGCTTTTCTCTCTCTAACCCACAAAAACTAATCTGGTGCTACGCTATTCATCAGACATACCGAAGACAAGAAAAGGCTTTGTCCAAGATACAGTAACAGACGTCAGCATGTTCAACATAATGCACGACAGACCACAGCCAGGAGAGCAAAGGCACTCCGGGTTTTAAGTTTGAATCCAATTCCATCATTACTGCTTTAGGCAAGTTATTTCCTGCATAGGCTCCAGTCTTTTTAGCTGTCAAAGGGGGTAAAAAGTCCTATTTTACAAAAATGTAGTCGAGGCTTTAAAACATCGGTACAGGTGGAAGCACTAGGCAAAGTGCACGACACTATGAAGACACTTTTAAAAAGTTGTATGAATCAATGAATGAGTGAGTCACGGTCAAAATAGGCCTCTGATAACGAAAGGCAAATGAAACGGCACCCTTTCTCCGAGGCCTTTTTAAACACTGGGTAACTCATAAAGCATGAGCAGGCCAACGGGACTCCAATCTCATGCCATCACACTGTGCTACGTGCACACGTGGCAGAGCACACACCTGGGATCGAAGGAGTCTTAGGGGGTTCCTTGGACTTCAGGCATTTTCCTCTGGTAGGTGTCGAGGCCATGGCAGCAAAACCTGTGGAAACCAAGGCGTGGATGTTCTTTCTGCTGGCCTCTCGTTGGGGCAAAGTGTGCTCCCCTTTATCTTCATCTTCCGAACATACTCAGTGTCTCCGAGGGCTTCCTTCCTTTGGTTCGGGAAAGAGATAAGTCCTCTGCTGGGCTGTGGCTTTCACCTCTCCCCCACATTCTGTGGTGATAGCAAGAGATCTTGCCTGTCATTTCACATTTCCGCAAGGAGAAGGCCACGCGGAGCAGCTGGCACGCACCCATCCTTCTTTTCGAGGTAGTGCGGGCTCTGAAATTGCCTTCACTTCAAGGCAAGAGCAGCACCAATTCCTCTTTCACGCACTGAGAAATGCATCCATACTCAACGCCTCTGGGTTGCTTTTTAAATTATTTAAGTTCCTCTTTCAAGTTAGAGCATAACTCTATGATCCATTCTGAAAAAATGGAAAACGCAGAAAAGCACAATGAAAAAACATTACTCATCCTCTTCTAAAATTACAGCATAGGGAGTATAGTCCATAATGTTGCAATAGCATTGCCTGGTGTGAGATGGGTGTGAGGCTTATTGGGGTGACCACTTCATAAATTATGGAAGTGTCTAATCACCAGGATGTACACCTGAAACTAATATTGTACATCAGCTGTAATTGTTGAAAAATAAACATTATTAAAATGTTTATTCTTCCGAAATAATATGTTTCTGCTAAAGAAAATTAGGTGGCATCAATAAGTAAAATAAAGAAAATAAACATCAATAAGTTTCCAAAGATATCTGCTATTAAAATGTTGATGAACTTATAGAGTAATATACAGTTGTGGTTCGGAGGCACAGAGATCTGGATTTAACACCTGCTCAACAACATATACGCTCCATTACTCTTGATCAATTGACTTTACCAAACTAGGGCTCACTTTTATAGCCTGCATATTGGAAATGATCATCAGCATGGTTTTTTTGTGAAGACAAAAAAGAGAAAATGAAGCTACTGCTATTAACTGTTGTTATTATTACTATCATCATTACCTTTTGCTATTATTTGTTTGAAATACAAAAATTTGTGTACCTACCCATTGCCTTTATTTAAAATATCATGCTTCTAACATAGCTTTTGGTAATTTGTCATTTTCACTTAACGGTGTACTGTGGAAATTTTCTATGCCGATACAAATGGTTTAGTGACACTTTTTTGAATGACTCTTCAGTAAATGTTTCATTGGATGAATGTTCTATCATTTAGTTCACAAATGCATTATTTGGAACATTTAAGTTATTTCCAATATTCCCTTTGTTAAATGAAACTCTAATAAACATCTTAATAGACCCCACCAAAAAAAAAAAGAGAAAAAGAAGGCATGAATTCTCACTTGAGGAAAAAAATATGTCATCCTGACATAACAAAGGTGTTTCTACCCATATTTCATGTGCTTCTCCCTCATTGAAACTTGTACTGATTTATCAGATCTGCATATGAAAGTCTTTTCTCATTAGCCAGAAAACATGTTTTTAACCTTGAAACTTAATACACTTCATGTGCTTCTCCCTCATTGAAACTTGTACTGATTTATCAGATCTGCATATGAAAGTCTTTTCTCATTAGCCAGAAAACATGTGTGCTACAACTCAAAGTAATGGGAAAAGAATGTGGCAAAACAATCTATTTCAAAGGAAAATGACCTTGATTCTTCTTTCTGTTTATTTCACCATCAACGTTAACAGATTTGTGCTACAACTCAAAGTAATGGGAAAAGAATGTGGCAAAACAATCTATTTCAAAGGAAAATGACCTTGATTCTTCTTTCTGAGGTCAATGTCATTGAATTATGTGTATTTGTTTTTTGGTATCATTATTTGCATTTTTTTCTGTTGTATGTTCTTTGCCATTTTTCCCCCTTTGTATGTTCTTTGCCATTCACTGCACAGGTTGCAAATAACAGACTGTGTGGATTTGAAACCACTCTTTTAGGCATGCCCTTCTTTGGCTTTGAGTGACAAATAATGCTGAGTTTACATGAGGAACCTATTTTATATCAGTTTCCCATACAGACAGTTCCAACCAGAGCTATCAATGCAATACCAGCACATATTCTCTGCCTAGCTGTAAGCCAAGCTTTTATTTTTTAAAATATATTTTTATTAATTTCAGAGAGGAAGGGAGAGGAAGAGAGAGATAGAAACATCAATGATGAGAGAAAATCATTGATCGGCTGCCTCCTGCACGCCCCACACTGGGGATTGAGCCTCAACTTGGGCATGTGCTCTGACCGGGAATCGATCTGTGACCTCCTGGTTCATAGGCCAATGCACAACCACTGAGCCGTGCTGGCTGGGCTGTGAGCCAAACTTTTAAACAAAGGTAGTGACATGGAGGAGGCACCTTGGGAGATAAAGTTACAGGGAGATCCTTGGCCTCTTACTGGCAGGAAGTTCATTATCTTCCTCTAAAGAAACAGACAGCAGATGACTTGCTGACAGCTTATAACGGGTAAGCCTCCTGCATGGGGGAAGTCACAATGCAAGGACCACCAGAGTAGCAGGGAGCAAAGGGAAATGTGATAATGACCTAAAATAGCCTTATCAGCTCCCGAGCCTCACAATGCATCAGAAATGTGCCCTCATAGCAAAGTCTAATCTCTCTGTTGTCTTTTATGACAGTCCCAGATGACACTGTGATCTGCTGGCCTCCTCTGTGTAACTCCAGGTGACGCCAGCAGAGTCTTCAGTTATTTCTGTCCCCCTGGCAACTGGCACACTAACTGGCACACAGTAGGTGCTGAACACATCCTTGCAGAATGTCTGTGCGCCATCAAAATGAATGAACCTGAGCCCTTTGCTTCCCTAGAGTGCCCAGGAGGAGCCAGGTCGCCCTGCAGCGGCAGGGGCAGCTGCGACGAAGGCATGGAAGGAAACGGAAGCTGCTCATGCCAAGTAAGTTCCGAAACGTGTTCATCTCCCTGACTCTGCCCCTTCTCCTTAACTTTTGTCCCTCCTTAAACACACACACACACACACACACACACACACACACACACACGATGGAGTCTCTAAGAAGTGATACTAGTAAAAAGAGTAGACAATCTGCAACAAAATGACTTATCAGAGGCTGGGAGCCTTGGAGTGAATCAGTTAACTACTCAGCCTTGAGTGTGTCCATCTATAAAATGGGTTTGATAGTCATCCTGTGTGATTACATTTAATGAAAAGTGAAATAAGGTCATAGATGTGACACTTTGTGAAGCTGTACAGGGCTATAAAATTGTTGTTACCACCACTCTTAGCTCTCGGTGCTGTCCACACCACCAGTTGTCAAGCACGGGGTCTGCCATTGAAGAATTTCTTTGGTATTCCATGAAAATGATGTTTTGCAAGTTTCAAGCCTTTGGTTGAAACACAGAGAAATCCTGAAAATGAATGAGCTGGGCTGACTTCAGAAATGCAACTGAAAGAGTTTTCGTTTCGCCCTTGGGTGAAATTATGATGGTGCTGTCATCACTTGCTCTCTATTTATATCTTTGGATTGGCAAAGCAGCTTTCTTCTGGACTCGCTGTAAAAACAATGATGCAGGGATTGAGGTACCCTTATGACATAAAAACAGCAAAGAATAAAGGAAAAACACAAAGAAGGAGCTTCAGAATAGGCACGGGGGGAGGGATAGATGAGAAACAAGCACAGACTACACCACCAGTGAGAAGCCCAGGGCTTCCTGGGTAACGCCGATCACGTTGGGTCTAACGTCATCTCCCTGGGGTGTTTTGCAGGAAGGGTTTGGTGGAACAGCCTGTGAAACCTGTGCTGATGACAACTTATTTGGACCCAACTGTACAGGAGGTATGTCTGATTCTTCTGTAGTCTGATGCATTTGGAAACATAGAATGTCAAACAGCTACAGACCTCAGAAAGACCGATCCTTGGAGGGAAAACACTGAACAGTTATGTATAACCGAGTCTGCAAAGGCAAAGCAAAGAGTTAGTAACAAATCTGATAGAATGCAGTGTTGGGAAAAGAAGAGTTTTCTGTGGTTTCTAGCACTTGCAGTCAGCTACTCACCAGTAATGCTTTCTGCCAAACTTGGGGGCACACAACTCCATCTCTCCAGACTCCAGGATCAGACATCCCCTTCTCTTTGCCTGTCCAGCTTCTCCCTGAGCTCTTTCCAGATCCTGGTCTCAGCGTTGACCTTCTCCTCGGGGGCCTTGACTTCCACCAGAGATCCCACCACATTCTGGTCTGTCCCTTCCTTTTGGGAGTTCACAAAGAAATACCCGAGGTGAGCAGAGATGGTTGGCTCCATTTTTCAGGGTAAACAAACAAACAAACCTGACACTGATTGGTCTAGTCCAGTGGTCAGCAAACTGCGGCTTGCGAGCCACATGTGGCTCTTTGGCCCCTTGAGTGTGGCTTTTCCACAAAATACCGACTTCTGTGCATGGGCCACGAAGTTTCAATCGCACTGTACATGCGCGCCCGCACGTGGTATTTTGTGGAAGAGCCACACTCAAGGGGCCAAAGAGCCACATGTGGCTTGCGAGCCGCAGTTTGCCGACCACAGGTCTAGTCTCTTATTTTTGGTTCCTTCTTTCCCCCAGAAGTAGATCCTGAAACAAGGATTCCAATACAAGTAGCATATTTAGAAGGTGATGGCAGAAACACTAAGAAAGTGACATACAGTGGGGCCTTGACTTACGAGTTTAATTCGTTCCGTGACGGAACTCGTAACTCAAATTACTCGTATGTCAAATCAAAAGTGAATGAGTGAGACACGTGATGCTGGGCTGATGTGGCGTTCACTAGCAGTGGGGTATCTGAAGCTGGCTCATAACCCGAATTTTAGCTCGCAACTCAAAGCAAAAAATCGGCCGAGAGACGGCTCGTATCTCGAAAAACTCGTTAGTCGGGACACTCGTAAGTCAAGGCCCCACTGTAGAGGCAATAAAGGTGTGCTGTCAAGACAGAGAGCAGTGTGATGACCGGAGCTTAATGTCCTGGACTCTTGGAGTCATGGTTGAATACTCACCTTAAAGTTATCTCACCTGAGGGGAAAGGGAGTCACAGTGAGCTAGGCAGAATAAAGACCACCACCACCCCCCCAAAAATATGTCCATATCCTCATCCCTTGGACCTGAGACTATATTACCTTATATGGCAAGGGGGGAATTATGTAGCAGGTGGAATTAAGGTTGCTAAGTGGCTGACTTTGAGAGGGGGAGGATGTCCTGGATTGTCCAGGTGGGCCCAGTGCAATCATAGGGTCTTAAACGTGGAGGAGGGACACAGTGATGAGATGTGAGAAAGACTCCACCAGCTCTTTCTGGCTTTGAAGGTGGAAGGGGGCCAGGAGCCAAGCAATGCGGACAGCCTCTAGAAGCTAGAAAAGTGAAGCAAACATTTTTCCCCCTCTAGGAAGGAGCAAAACCCTGCCACCTTGACTTTAGTATAATAATTTTGGATGTCTGACCTCCAGAAATGCAAGGCAATAAATTTTTGTTGTTTTAAGACACTAGGTTTGGGGTAATTTGTTGCAGCAGCAATAGTAAGTTAATACATGCAGTCATGGGCTGGGGGAATTGTTAATTCCCTGCACTTCCAGCCCCCAATGAGCATTCAGGTGGAAAACCTTCCCAGGAAGCCTGTGCAGGATGCTGGAAGTCAGCTGGAATGCACACAATTGGTAAAGCCTAGAGAATGTGGGCATGGCAGAGACAGTGTCTCCCAGATCCATAGTCACCCAGAAAGGATATATCCTGTGGCCTTTCTCCAACACCACCTTGGTTCTGACTTTTATGGAAAAATCAAATTCAGTAGATACTGCATTGGTTCAAATTTTCTTGAAGAAAATTTACACACACACACACACACACACACACACACACAGACATCCTACCCTCATAAGTGTGCACACTCTGGAATAAGTTTTATTGCAATACAGAGACACTGTCTCATTCTAATAATCCCTGGGTTCTTTGAAGGAAGACACTGTTTTACCTCTTTATCTGCAGTACCTTCCACAGTGCTATCTGCATGGTAGACATACATCCCACTTTTGTTGGTTAGATGAATGAGTGAGTGAATGAGTGAGTGAGTGAGTGAATGAATGAATGAATAAATAGCCTGATTTACTCCAGCCATGCTGTCCTGACTCAGAACTGTGGCTTTGAGAGGCAGCATATAGAGCTCCAACTTTAGACTCAAACTGGCTTTCAGCCCTGAAGCTGCTAATTGTGGGAACTTTAAGTTTATAAGAACATTCTCTCTATGCCTTCATCTGTAAAAACGGAAATAATATTGCCTTCTTTCAGATTATTATGAGGATTTAATGAGGTAACCAATGCATGATAAATGTTAGCGATTGTTACCTATTATTCTCCAGTGGCCCCCGATCTTAGGACTTCCTTCATCTGTATATTTTTAAGATCATACATTATATTAAAGATCATTAAAATATAATCAATCAACTGTTTAGAAATAACCTATTTCCTAAATTGGCCCTCCCCTACCATAATAATAGAATTTAAATCACATATTTTAAATAAATATTGAGATGGGAAGGAAGAAAGGCAGCATCTAGCATTGCTTGCTTCCCAAGAAAGCCGAGTCATTGCTCTGGGATGAAAATTCAGAAAGAAGAAGAGTCCATGTTGCCTCCAAGAAATGATCTTGGCTACCAATGAGCACAGATATGCATGGAGCTCCCAAACATTTCTAAATAAAGGGGCATTTCTTCACCCTTATTGGTGCCTGGAGAAAGGGCACGTGAAAGGGAGAAAGTTGGTTTAGAAACCTAAGTTGATAAGGAAACTGGAAACCTAAACTGAGAGTTGGGAGAAAAAAATTCCAAACCCTGGGTTCCAGGAGAACTTCAGGTGGCGATGAAACTGTTCTGTCTGGGCTGTCCCATGGCGCGCCTGGTCACAGGTGGCCATCGGGGACCTGAGATGGGGCTGGTGCATCTGAGGTGCTGAACCCTACATTTTAGTTCATGTCACTTAGTTTAAGTTTAAATAGCCACACGTGGCTGGTGGCTACCACATTGGAGAGCTCAGCTCCAGAACAGGCTTTGAAATCACACTGGCCCGAGTTTGAAATCCGCGGCTGTGTGACCTGGGACAAGCTATTTAACCTCTCTGGACCTTCCTCACCTATAAAGTGGGAATAAGAATATCTGCTCCACAGGGTTGGCAACATAGCAAAGCTCATAGCACCATAGCATAAGGGCTCAATCAACAGAAGCAAGTATTAAGCGAGGACAAAAGCAATACAACAGTAGGGGAACACTTATTCACCTAGGAATGAATGAATAAATGAATGAATGAATGAATGTATGAATGGCTCAGTGATGGCTGGTCACTTCCCATTGGCAAGGACTAGGGGAACTTTCAAACCTCTTCAGCCGGGCATCCACTGGGTGCCAGTGTTGTTGCATCCAAGGGGGCATTGGTCTCTCGGAGGAGGCCGGGCTGCTGGAAGTAGGACAGCTCTATTAGCTGCTGTTTATTTTTAACGCCGGCTTTAACCTGCTGCAGGAGCAGCCTCCTACCCGCCCACTGATTCACTCAGACGTGATTTAGAGCTGCATCAGCGAGGGTGTTCATCTCTGTCGCCAAGGCCCTGCCCACTCAGGGCCTCGCTCCTGGTTGGGGCAGAAGGCAAAGCCCACTTTCTCTGACGTGACCCCCAAGTCAGTCCCACAATCACGTCTTGTTAATGACAGTAGCTGGCATTTGCTGAGTGCCTGCTGTGAGCCAGGCTGCGTGGGAAGAGACCTGACCTACGTGATCTCTTTGGATGCTCGCAGCAACTCTCCAAGTCGGGTTCCTCCTTTTATGAATGAAGAAGCAGAGAGGTTTCTCAAGGTTACGCAATGATTACAGGGCCAGAGGCAGCACCCAGGTGGCTGACTGCAGAGTGTGGGTGCCCAGCCCTGCACCATTCTGCCCCTGGCAAGCACCCAACATTAGGCCCCTGACAGGGGATGGGGATCCAAAAAAGGGAGCGATTAGGTCCCCACCCCAGGAGCTGGAAACACGGGTGACAATTATGGTCCCGTGTGCACAGCACCAGGGGGTGCTGCAAACACGGGAGAGGGAGCAGCTCACTCTGCCAAGGGGCCCAGCATGGGGGGCTTTGTGCAGTGTCCCTCTGACCCAAATGGCTGTGGCTTTAACCACTTCAAAGCCACACACCCCAAGCTCCGAGTGTCTCTAGAGTTTGGCAACAAATACCAGGGGCTCTTTAAATGGCATCTGGGACACTTTCTTGGCAGAGGCTGGCAGCCCTGCAGTGCGTGTCAGGAGCTCCCCGAGCTGTACCAGGCCAGTTAACCCAGGACAGAGGCTGCACTGGAAGCCAGGACACGGGGAGAGGCTGGTGCCAGATTCCTGGGCTCACACCAGCCAGCCCCAGGGAGCGGGGGGAGGACTAAGCGACAAGGACAGCCCTTGCAGGGAGCATCTAAATTGGAAGCAGGCGATGAGTCCCACTTAACTGCCCCTTCCACCCCCTCACCCTCCTCCATGCCACATGACAACACTCAGAGCACACCCTCCTCACCCTCCTCATTCTGTACCTGCCTCACTCTCCTCACCCCATTCCTGGCCCTGCAGGATGCTGTCTCGATGGAAATTTTAGCTGTGCGGTTGTTGGCATGGCCATGAGCTCTTGGAAGCAGGCGATGAGTCCCACTTAACTGCCCCTTCCACCCCCTCACCCTCCTCCATGCCACATGACAACACTCAGAGCACACCCTCCTCACCCTCCTCATTCTGTACCTGCCTCACTCTCCTCACCCCATTCCTGGCCCTGCAGGATGCTGTCTCGATGGAAATTTTAGCTGTGCGGTTGTTGGCATGGCCATGAGCTCTGGGAAAGATGTCATGGGGAAGCACAGGCAGGGGAAGGTCTTCCACGGGGCTCCAATCTAACAGGGGAGAGAAATATGCAGATGGAGACAGAGGAAAGCAGCCCCGACAGCCTCATGGTTCCCAGCCCGGCTGTGGTGTCGCCCTAATGAGCATGAGCAATTCCACAGAATATCACCATCAGAGATTCGCTGCTTCCATGTGAAACAAGACAGAAACCAGGCCACTGCATAACCATGTCTGAACAGAGAAGACACCGTGTCAGTAGGCAGCCAGGAGAATCATCCAGCAGCTGCCTGTCCCAGCAACGCAAGAGGCTCCCACTCTCTCTCCAGTGACCGCTGCCCTTGCAGCTGACTTGGTGTGATCACTAGCGTGTTCCTGGTGGCCTTTGGCTCGCCGGCGTAAACAAAAATAATAGTTTTAGTCGGACGCGATCGTGGACACAAAGAACATGCCGCTGGCCCCAGAACACAGATTCTGCTTGGGGAGCTCTGAGATGGCACCACAGAGGTGGGGCCCTCAGTTGGCCTTGGAGGATGAGGAGGATTTCCGTGGGCATGTGGGAGGGAGCACAGTGGAGACAGGGGCATGGAGGTGGGATGGCACAGGATGCAGGTCCTGATTCTTCCAGGCACCACCTTCCCTAGGCCGCCCCTCCATCTCTTCCCAGGCAACTCCCATTGCCATTGACCTATCATGTCAGAGCACTTCCCACCCGCACTGTGCTGGGCTGTTCTGCCCTTACACGGTGAGCTCTTTGAGGGCAGGGACTTTGGATCATTCATCCTGTGCACAGCACCCTGAACATAATAGGTACTCAACACACATTTTTAGGAAGGAAGGTCAACTACTGAGTTATCCCATGTGCTGATAAGTCTAAAATAAAGTGATGGGAGATGAAAATGAAAAATTAAAGAGTTTGAAGTCAGATTGGAGAAAGCCTTGTTTGGCAGAGGAATTTAGATATCATTTGGTTAGCAATTGGGAGTCACTGAGATATTTTGGAGAAAATCATCATGATATCATTATTGATCAAATACAATCGATGGAATGGAGAGATGAGAGATTGGACTGCGAATTCAGTTAAAATGCTATTGCAATAGTCCAGGCAAAATATGGTAAGGCCCTAAATGAGGGCAATTCCAGTGGAGATAAGAGCAAGGGATCAAGGTAAGACACACAACAGTACAAAGGATTTGGTGCTTAGTAGATGTTAATCTTTGCTTTTCCAGTATTTGGTTAGGTTTTTTAAGCAGGTGTATCTATAGAAATCCCATGATGTAGACATCATTATCTACATGTTATATATAAATAAGTTGAAGCTATTAAAAAGAAATGAAGTCCAGATTAAGCCGGGGTCTCTAGGACCTCACACCTATGTTTTTTCCTGCGTCATCGTGCAGATTCTCAATAAACACTATCTGAAGATGTTATCCACCCAGAATCTTTGGGCGATGTCTGTGTCAGGTACTGAAAAACCCCCATTTCCTGTCTGCAGTGTGCAGCTGTGTGCATGGAGTGTGCAACAGCGGACTCGATGGCAATGGAACCTGCGAGTGTTACTCTGCATACACCGGCCCCCACTGTGACAAGCGTAAGTACCGCCAATTTCCTCAGTGCCACACCAGGTCAAAGAGGCACAGGTGTATGCATTTCAGACCTTGCAGGCCAGGGCCCAGCCCAGGGGAATGCTGTTCTGTGCACCCTTTCCTCAGCCCTGGGCGCACCAAGGGCTCTACAGGACTGGCCATTAGAGGCTGGCCACCTCCCCTTCATCCCGCACAGCTGACCCGTGAAGCCACCCGGCCTGACCCACACACAGAAGTCCACTACACTTCTGAGAGCGTGTCTCTTAGCTTCTGGTCCCAGAACACCAAGTGCGTCCTGACTTTTGGCACCTCCCAGTGGATGACCTTCCCTAGAGGGAAGATTTCCAGCAAACCTCACCATCAAGGCATCTTAGCACCTTCTCCCCCATCCAGTGGCCGAGGCCAGGCCTTTCCCAGTGACATCTGCCGATCAGCCCTGGAGGGAGGAGGGCTTATGTTGGGTACTTACCTCAACCCAAGGGTAGTGGTTGTTCTTTATATTTCTGCTATTCCTTTATGCTTTAGAATTCTAGTTTTTAACGCTCACAAGGAATTCCCATTATTTTAATTCTCTGTTCATAATGCTTTACACTAAAATTTTCCCTGTTCAAATTATTGTGTGTTTTCTGTCTCCTGCCTGGACCCTAACTAATACATTTCCTACCATTAAACACACACACACACACACACACACACACACACACACACCTTAGGTTCCCTAAGATCAGAACTCCTCTCCTATAATAAAATTCATTGCACATTCAGGTCTGCATCTGGACTCTTTGCATTGCCCCATGAAAATTGGGGCTTAGAAGACCTGATGCAAAAATGCTGACATTCTGGCTATTGGTCTTCCTATGAGTAATAAACTATCTTTTATCTCTGACCCAGGAGTCTCATATCTTCTACCATCATCCATGAAACTGAATCGGCCAACTTGTTAGCTTTGGACATTAGCTAATATGTCGGGCTCTTTATAGTTTTTAACAACCCTCTAGGCCCCATCAATATTGTAAAGTACTATGCAGTTATTAGACATTAAAGTATATCCTTCGAGACCTCCATAGTACATTGTTAAAAAAAACAAGTTTCTAAAGATTTTAAAGGAATTCCATTTGGTCTTAAAAATCATATAAATAAACATATATGTTATTGTTTGTTGACGATGGTTATTTTAGAAGTGGGATGGGATAGTGAGAATAAGAAGACAGTTAATTTTTACTTCATGCATTCTGTATTTTTGAATTGGTACAGCAAATCTGTGTTACCTTTTTAATAATGGGGAATATTGCATTTGTTGAGTTTTTTATAACTGGTTTTTCTGCTGCTGCAGTTACCTCAACAACCTTCCTTTGCAGCCATCCCTGAAATGTGCAGCCTTGCTCTGCCCAGAAAATTCCAGATGCTCACTTTCCAGTGAAGATGAAACAAAGCTAGAATGCAAATGCCTTCCCAATTACAAAGGCGATGGCAAATACTGCGAGCGTGAGTAGAATTTAGATCCTGCAAGTTTATTAGTTGAGATGTTTAGGTTATCCAACAGGAAAAGGGGGGGGGGGCGACTCACAACCACCCTAATTTTAATGCAACCATCACTTCTATTTTTCTTCATGAAACTGGAGCCAGACTATCTGGGTTCATATCTCAGATCTGCCTATTACTAGCTGGACAAATTCTTAACCTGCCTGTGCCTCTATTTTCCTATCTATCAAATGGGGATAATAATGGTACTTACTTTAGAGGGTTGTAAGGATTAACCGAGTTAATGTTTGGTAAATGCTTAGAACAGAACCCAGCACATATTATAAATTTGATAAGCCTTAGTACTTTCGTTCATGTTCTTTTATATTCAAATCCACACATCACATGGCATAATAATATATCAACACAATATTTGCAGTTATAATCTTCGATGGCCACATGTAAATCTGTTTGATAGGTGAGGGGGATCAAGTAAGGTAAGACAAGGTATTTCTTACTCCTTCTCTTAAAACTGTTGGATTGCCTGTGCAGCTTTGATGAGCTGTGATTGGCAGTCCCTTCACAGTTCAATTGTCCTCCATCCCGGGTGTGGTGACTGCCTCTTATTTTGTCATTGCCTCTCAAGCCATCAATCCCTGTTCACAAAATGTCTGCCACCCTCACGCTCATTGCACGTTCCTGGGACCAAATCAGCACAATTGTACCTGCCGAGAAGGCTACCACGGGGATGGCCAAGTGTGCTTACCAGTCGACCCCTGCCAAATCAACTTCGGAAACTGCCCTACGAAGTCCACGGTGTGCAAATATGATGGGCCAGGACAGGTGAGCTGCTGATGCATGGAGCTGATGCAGGTAGAGTAGGACGGCCCCCAGAAGATAAAATGGGCCATGGCTACAATTTGTCTTCTGTGCCCTTCCCATGCTCCCTTTCAATGTCCAATTGGGGTTCCTCTCCAGACAGACCTGCACGTGCTCAGGGATAAGCTCAGCATGTCCCTCCCCAGTCTGACCTCTACGCTCACACTTTCCAAGCTCCCCAGTCAAAACTTCACTGTCCTACATCCTCTTCTATCCTCGTCCTATAGTCATTGACAAATATATACACAACTCAAATTTGATCAACAGATTAACTGTGAGCCAAGTGTTGGGTGACTATGTGATTGACTTTTACAAACAATCCTCCAGTCCCTGTAATTTCTTTGCAAGAGAGGACTCTTAGAACCAAAAATACTCTGTCCCAAAGGGATAGCACTGACAGATTGCAGGGAACAGGGAGGAGATTCTGGGGTGAGAACCTGACCCCCAAATCACATCATGGCTTTGACTAGGAAAATTCAGCCTGGCCAGGAGGTCCTTGCTGAGGAGTCCAGATGAAAGAGCCCTTTTCCTGATATCTCATCCATCCATCGAATATTTTTTAAATATATTTTTATTGATTTTAGAGAGGAAGGGAGAGGGAGCGAGAGATAGAGACATCAATGATGAGAGAAAATCATCGATCTGCTGCCTCCTGCACACCCCCCACTGGGGATCGAGCCCACAACCTAGGCATGTACCCTTGGCCAGAATCGAACCTGGGACCCTTCAGTCCGCAGGCCAACGCTCTTATTCACTGACCCAAACCAGCCAGGGCCATCCGTTGAATATTTAGCAGTGCCTCTTGCCCCCGGAACTGCACTTTGAGTGTGCCTGGAGGAAATTCATCCATCCATACACAGGCTATTGCTGCCTGGGTGGGAACCCACACAGTGACGGGTCCCCAGTTGTCTAGTCAGCGCCCCACAGGAATGCTCCTGGTGTTCTCTGCACAGGATCTGCCCAACCTTATCTCCTAGGAAAAAGAATATATCACATGATATTTCTACTGTCAATTTCTAAGGTGGGTTTGCAAGAAATTCAAAGGGCTGAACTCCCTCCCCTAAATGAAGTCCTCTGTGGGCAAGTTCTTGTTACACCCTGAACCGAGGTCCCAGGACCTTGGCAGTGAGGTTTAATATATGCTTTGTCTCCTAAAAATGTGTCTCAAGGCAGATTTTCCAGTCTTAGAAACCCTCCGTGGCTTACACGGCAGCAGTGCGTTCAGTATTTCCATTATTCCAGAGCAGGTTCCTCAAACTCAGGATTAATAATGCTTTGGGTTGAATAATTCTTTGTTGGGGGGAGGGAGCTTGTCCAGACCATTGTAGGATGTTTGGGAGCATCCCTGACCTCTAGTGACACTGCCCCCTGTCCCGTTGTGAAAATCAGAAATCTCCAGATACACCCAATGTCACTTGAGTTGAGTGGCTGAAAACCAGTGTTCTAGAGCAACAATACTTCCTGGCTGAACCTCACTCTCTACTGGGCTGCAGACGATCTAAAATCAGGAACTATGGGGCCAGCGAGGCCCAGGGTTAGCACGCAAGGAAACTGAAGGGTAAATAACTCACAAGGTGTATGAGCTTCCAAATAGACACGATGTAGACTCGGGGCTTCCAATTCCAGACACTTTGACATAGTTGTAGTTTAAGCCCATACTTTGGAACTTCCCCGAGTGGGTTTTTATGGGTCAAGATATGAATTTAAGAAGAATGTTGGCTTTGGTGACTAACTAGAACCCTATTTCTTTATCTCCCCCCAACCCCCTGAAGTCTCACTGTGAGTGTAAGAAACATTACCATGGCTTTGTCCCCGGCGTGGGGTGCAGTGTGACCGATATCTGCAAATCTAACAACCCCTGTCACAGGAACGCCAACTGCTCCACCATCGCACCAGGCCAGGCCAAGTAAGTCTTTGCAATTCCACCACCTTCTTTCCAAGTGGTGAACGTGGTGGCCAGTCAATGCTGTAAGTGTCTGGAAGGATGGGAAATATGTCTTATTCCGCCTATATCCACATCACCCCCATAGCACAATGCAAGGAACACGGTAGTTACTCAATAAATCTTTGTTTAATCGATGACTCGTTCAAAAGTTTTTTTTCCTTTCTAATGGCCATGAGAACCATCTGAAACACAGACTCAGCCTGCTAATGTGGCATGAGGTGGTCAGAGTGCGGGAGAAGGAAAACACGGTCACTGGGAAAACAAATGTTGCAATTCCAGAGATTGACCTCTAATGTATATGCCTGTTTCCTCACCCGTGAAATATTGCTTGTTAGCAGTGCAAAACAAGGCCAGGGAAAGTGAATAAATATGACGGGTGTTTCCTGGACTCCAGGTTTACTGTGGAAAGAAGGGGTTTATTCTAAGTAAAAATATTTGTGTGGAAATTCCTGAGGCCGGGGCAGCTTGTGGGGTGGGAAGAAGGTAGTGTTTGGTGTTTAAAGACCTGGGTTTGAGTCTCTGCTGTAAAATAGTCATGGAGATGCTTCTGCCAGGGGAGAGTCAGGAGGTCAGATAAGGCTGCCTAGAGCAGGCCGCACCTGAGCTATAAGGTGAGGCTGGGAGAGCATTCCTGGGAAGGCAGGTGGCCTGAGAAGGGCATCCCAGTTTGTTTGTTTTTAAAGCAATTTAGTGGAGCTGGAATTTGCAGTGAATGGCAGGAAGGGGGCCTGGCCAGCCATGCTAAGCACTTACATCTTATCCTAGAGGTGATGAGAGCCCTAAGAGTTTTAAGCACAGAGATGCCAGATTTCCCTTTTGGACAGACCACACAGGGCGGAGGGATGAAGGACTGATTTGAGGGGAGGAAAACGAAGGGCAGAAAGACCAATCAGGAAGTCATTGCAGCAATCCAAGCAAAGGGGTGATAAGACTCTGAAATGTTTGTTCAGCAAACTTGTTGAAAATATACCTATTTGCCATGGGACCATATTTAAAAACACAACTGGACTGATGGGTGTATAACTGTTCTTTGGAATCCTCTTCTGAACATCAGTTAGACCTGTGAAATGGTATGACTACAGCATCCCTGCATCTCCTTCTCTGACATGTGCTTCCCTATCTCATGTTTAGTTCCTCACTTACCTCCAGGAGCCTGGTGAATGTCACCTTCCCAAGCACCTTGCCAACTTCAGTCAGCTGTCAGCCAACCTTTGCTGAGTGGTGTGCTAGTCTCAGGGCTTACTGATTCAGCAGAGCGGATTGTTAAATTTTCAGGATTTTGCAAGCTGGTTGGCTAACACCTTGGTATTTTGAGATTAGCCAATGTGGGAGTATGAACCGTGGAAATTGGCAAATGCTACAAATCAGGGCTCTTCCCACCCACCTCCTTCCCCGCCACCCCCACCCAGAGACCTGGTCATTCAACTTTGACCAGCACACTACGGCTAGTGCATCATCAATTGCATCTTTAACTCTTTTATGAAACTAAACCATTGTGTAAAGTGTCTGTGACTTTCATTGTGTATGAATTTTTTTTAATTCAGTGACTGATTATTGTACAACTATTAATTAAGTACCTCCTATGGGCCACATCCTGCGCTAGATCCTGGGTTTACAACAGTGAAGGAATAAATACACACATAGCCCTTGCCCTCACTCTCTTCTCAAATTAGATGGGACCAAATAACCACACAGTTAGGATAGAATTGCTACTGGACTTGGTGGCCAAGAGAGGAGCTATATCAGGGATCCTCAAACTTTTTAAACAGGGGGCCAGTTCACTGTCCCTCAGACCGTTGGAGGGCCGGACTGTAGTTAAAAAAAAAAATATGAACAAATTCCTATGCACACTGCACATATCTTATTTTGAAGTAAAAAAACAAAACGGGAACAAATACAATATTTGTATTTGCACGTGGCCCGCGGGCCGTAGTTTGAGGACCCCTGAGCTATATGGTACCATGAGAGTACACACTGAGGGGAACCTGGTCTACAGTGGGGGTTGGCAAGGGGGTGGATAATCTAGGAATATTTCCCTTAGGAAGGGACAGTTGACTGGAGATCTCAGCTAGGATGGGAGGGGAGGGGAAGAGTCTTCTAAGCAGATCAGTGACTCTGCATCTTTATCTGAGGCTTACATTAGTAGGTTATTGTGATTCGGTGGTTCTGTGGAGGGGCCCTTGACTCTGCATTTATAGTAAGCACTCCATGTGCTTCAGATGTACATGGTCTCTTGATCACACTTTGAAAAATACTGAGAGTATACAAATATATCTAGTGTTTATAGATATGCATAATGTATTAACTATCCATTTCTTGTGGGCCTACTCTATGTCAGGCACTGCACTAGGAGTGCTCACTTCTGTGTGTGCCTCTCCTCTCTTGGCCTATCCCTGGGCATCGCTTTCCCCATCGTTGCAGACAAGGATCAGATGAAGGAGTTGGATGGTAGGATCTCACTTCTCATTGGCCCTAAGACCCTGCAACTGTGTTTTCACCCTCTCTGTAGATGCACTTGCCAGAAAGGTTACGTGGGTGATGGCTCAAGGTGTTATGGAAACATCATGGAGCGACTCAGAGAATTAAACACTGAACCTAGAGGAAAATGGCAAGGAAGGCTGACCTCTTTCATCTCGCTTCTGGGTAAGCAGCTATGGGCACAGATTCCACATACAGGGCAGCCACCTTTCAGGCAACGGCGACTGCAAGACACAGTCATTCAAAAAGGGATGGGCAGGCTGGGCAAGGCTTGTCTATTGGGACCAGTCCTTCTGGGAGGGGTCATGCAGGTGGGAAGGAAAGGACAGGCAGCTGTTTCCAAGGAGACGGGAGTTAGCGGCAGGAGACCCAGCAATGCAATCATTAAGAGGCAGAGAACTGAAGACAGGGCAACAGCTAATATGGCTCTGGAGGCCATCCTCTTTCCCTTAACTTTATGGGTATGAAACAAGGTTGGCAGGTAATACTGAGAATAGAGAGTGACCAAGCCCTTGAGTCCATATCTATGTTCCTCAATAGAGGTGCTGTTTGAATTGGGGGAATATTCTTGATTGAGTGTGACCATCTCACACATTGCTGAATATTTAGCACCATTGGCTCCCCCAACCACTAATTGTCCTTAGTGACACATTCTCCACTGGTCCCCCAGAAAGGGTGACAGCCCAAAACACCCTCCTGCATTTCCAAATGCCCTCTAGATCATTACCCCAACCACCTTTAGAATCAAATACGATAGCTGATTGCAGCCTTAGGCAAGACTTTCAATAAAACACAACTTTGGCCAATAGACAGAAAATAAAACACAGACTTGGCCAATCAACAGAAGCCTTAAAATATCCCTATCTTGAATTTGCCAGTCACCAAAAATGTTTTCCCAGAAAGAGCACAGCCAGAGAAATGTCCTCCATGGGTCAACGCTGTGTTCTTGGCATAAATCTTAACGTATACCCTGTATAAATGCCCTGTTCTTTCTGAGGCATTACTGGCATGCCACAGGGATTGGAGGCAACCTGCCAGGCTTCTCACAGCCTTCTCAAAGGATTCACAATATCAAATGAGAGTGGACTGGAGTGATACCATGTCCTTTGCAGACCAGGCCCTCGAACGTTTCCCTGGACAGAGTCCGGTCAACCTCTCAGCTGCCCCATGTATGAAGTGCGGGTACACACATTACTGCCTGTGGGAGAGCACAGAGCACATCTTCTGTCTCACCTTCCCCGGGGGCATGGAAACAGGACCAGCCACAGAACTTCCAGGGTCCCCTGCAAAATGAAAAGGCAAAGTCCTTTGATTTTTTTAAAAAAGGTTAACCATTTGAAGATGGCAAGTGCAGAGCAGTAAACCACGCATGAGGCTCTTCTGAGCTGGCTCCTGATGGAACAAGGGCTTTGTTCACTGAAATGGTGACAGCTAAGAGAGTCAGCCACAGGGTCAGAGGCCTGCTGAGTAGGGTTGTCTGAGGATTTGGTCACATGACCCTCACAGAACCTCTCATCCCAGGGTGTCCTTGATGCCAAGACCGTGGCTGCAGGAAAAATCACACCATTATGGGGAACCTTTGGGGGCCATGGCACCATGGTGCCTTACATTCTTAGACAGCTTCCCAGTTTACAAAGGGCCTGCGCATGCCACTTAGCACAGAGAAGCTCTTGAGTCAAGGGTGTAAGTGGATCACAAGGCCCATTGCCCGATTTTACTCTGCATGTGCCACTGACCCATTTGTGTTTTCTCTGTGTGTCTCAACTGCTAAGACAAAGCCTACGCCTGGCCACTCAGTAACCTGGGACCATTCACGGTGCTGTTGACGACAGACAAGGGGCTGAAAGGATTCAATGTAAGTATTTAAAATAAGCCTACACCAAGAAGCTGATGCAAAAAAAAAATTCTTAGTAGGCAATACCTTCTTTTACTTGAATAGGAAACCCCCATTAAAATAAAAGCTACTGTGATAAGGATGGTGATGTTTTGGTAAACTTCTAGTGCAATATAACATCCTGACAGGAAGTTTACAGATTATGAGCGCATGACTCAATGAATTGTCACAAAGTGAAGGCACTTGTGTATCCAGCAAGACCATTACCAGCCCCTTTCAAGACCCTTGATGCCCCTTCCAGTCATTATCCCTTCAAAGTAATCACTGAGGGTCCTTATCTAGAGTCATGTGATACATAAGATTTGCATGATGCAAAACTGCTCACTTCCTACAGGGAGAATTAAGTTAATGTACTAGCTAGGTATTTATTTCTTTAGTTTCATAAATGGTCACAGTGATGGGGGAGACTAGAAAATGGTAGTCTTCCATGTGAGCAGCTGTTGTCTGAGATAATGTCATCTGGTAGGAACGAAACTCATAGTGCCTGGTGGAGGTGTCTAATCATGATGCTATCAAACAGTTAGATTTGGTTTCATGTAGATAATGGACATATTGATTTGTATAAAATCGGTTTATCTTACTCTAAAATATTTTGTGGTGATTTTTGCTGCATTGAATAAAAACCCAGTAAGTTCCAGACTCTTCTACCCTACTATGCCACCACCATTAATCCATCAGAGATGAGTCTACCATTAATCTTCAGGGGTGCCCACTGGTAGATATTGCCTGTCTCTGGGCTGGGCACTTTTCATGTGGTTTCTTGTTTAATATACAGATTCAGTTTGCACAAAGTTAATTCAAAAATCTCTGTTGGTTGATTATTGATGATACACTGAAAATATAGATTAGGTCTGGTGGGTTATAAGCATCTTAATTTTGCTGTTCAAGAGCTCCATTGGCCCACTCTACCTGCTCTTTTCACCTACTTCATATTTCATTTCCATCTGCTTCCTGGGCTCCAAGTCATTGCCGGTGCCTGCCACCCTCATTGCTCCTCCTGGCCCCAGGGCTGCGCTCTCCCCACTGTGTCGCTTTCCAGGCTGGAACACTTCCCTGGTGGGAGAGTATACTCTGCATCGCCTCCCACTCTCCAGCTTCCCACTGTTTTTAGGGCCTGGCCCAGGGCAGCTGCACTCAGGGAAAGAGTCCAAACCCGAGTGAGGGTGCACTGACTTTGCTGAACAAGTCAATGAATGAGTCACAAGCCTCATTTTCTCCTTTCAACAATGGAAACTGAAGGAACGGCTCTCTTTTCTTAGGTTAAAGAGCTTTTGATGGATAATAAGGCTACTCAGTACTTTGTGAAACTCCACATAATTGCTGGCCAGATGAACACTGAGCGTATGAATAACACAGACACATTCTACACCTTGACGGGGAGGTCAGGGGAAATCTTCAATGGTGATAAGGTAAGGGTTTCTCCGATGTTCACTCCCAGAGGAAACTGTCCACTGAGTCAGTGCCCACAGCTGGCCCTCTCTTTGTGTTTGTCAAAGAACTTCCCTACATAGGAAGAAGTGACAAGCAACACCAGAAAGGGTCAGGTAGGAGTGGGGTGGACTGTTATAAACAGGAGGTTATAAAGTGATTGATTTTTCTCTAGTCTGATTTCGTTTTCAAGGCAACCATCATTCAGCTGTCAGCAGGAAGGAGGAAGTTTGCAGTCAGCCTGTTCTCTGGAAGTATCAGGATGATGCCAGATCAGCATTGTGCTTGTAAAAGGAAATGGACTGTGTTTGTTTTAGATTACTGGAGTTTATCCATCCTCTCCAGCATAACATTCCACCTTTTCTAATGCCATTAGACTATTTTGTTTTTTTAAAATAAAACCATCCTACTCCCCTCCATAAATAGCTCTTTTTGTGACTTTACTGAGCTGAGGTAGACGTGATTAATCAACAGAATGTGCATGTGTGTGTTGTGGACTATACAGTTATGTTTCACCAAATAGTTGATAGCTGTTACTCTGTGGAAGGAACTACGGTCAATCTTCATTTATGCTAGGTAAGATTTACAGCAACCCTGGGAAAGACATTTTTCCAGAGCCAAGATTCAAGTGCTGGTCTGCCTGATTCCAAAGCCTGATTCCTTAACCAATATGTTGAACTGTGTGTGTGAGGATAGGTGGGTAGATGGAAGGAGGGAAGGAAGGAAGGAAGGAAGGAAGGAAGGAAGGAAGGAAGGAAGGAAGGAAGGAAGGAAGGAAGGAAGGGAGAGAGAGAGATGATAGATAGATGGATGGATGGATAGATAGATAGATAGATAGATAGATAGATAGATAGATAGATAGATAGATAGCTTTCTCCCAAAGACATGCATGCCTTCATTCATTTATTCATTCAACAAGTAACTTATAGGAGCTACATGGGAGGAAGAAGGAATTAGCTTCCCTTATTTACTCAACAAATATTTTTATTGTGTGCCTTCTCTGTACAAGACACTAAAATAGATGATGTGTTTATAGTACATTGAACAGTTTTGCCCTTTTGGAGCTTGCACTCTATTGGGGAAGACTTGCAATGTCTGATTCACATGTAGCATGTGATAGCCATCAGTGACTTCACAAGCTATCTCATTTGATCTTCATGAAAAGGCCATGAAGTCAGTCAAGGAGATGCCATCCTCCCTATTTTAGGTGAAGTGGCCTATCCACCATCAGGCAGCCAATAAATGGCAGGACCCAAGGACTGGGGACTTCTGACTTCTAGTCCAGTGCTCACCCCGTCAAGGCCACCACACTAACTTTATTTTGTTTTCCCTTGGTGTCTTAGGACAATCAACTAAAGCTTAAACTCGATGGAGGAAAAAAGAAGGTAAAAATTATAGAGGGGAACATAGTTGCTTCCAATGGGCTCCTGCACATTCTTGACAGAGCCATGGACAAGATGACGCCCACGTTTGAGAGCAACACAGAGGTAAGATATTTCAGCTAAAAGTGACGTCAATTCAAATCCATCTTCCTTTGCTCCATGGAGAGTCACATCCAAAAGGAAAATGCATGCCAGCAGTATATACGTGTCCTTCACTTGTACTAGGACCCCAACCATGGGAAAGAGGGGATACTTTGTTTTCATCAGAATTCTGGATACCTCTGAAGAGAGAAAGAAAGACCTGCAGTAGGTGTAGGAAAGGTCTTGATTTTGCAACCTCTCTTATGGCCACAGCTGACAGTTCAGTCCAGTGACTATTGGAAATGTATCCCTCATGCTTGATGGAGGAGGACAGCCTCCCTTCAATAATATTTATTCCCTCTGACCTATTTGATGATGGCTAAATGCTATTGCAGAATGTGCAGGTCTGAACTACTGTTTCAATAATAACAGGAAATATTTATATAATGTTGACCAGGTCTTTATTTTTATCTGCCTACACTTACACATAAACTCTGTCATCAGTCTTTTAATGATAGGGAGCTTATTTCCTAAACCACCTTTTTTTCACTAGTTTTTAAACTAAATGTCTCTTTTTAGCAAACCATAATGACAATGCTACAACCAAGGTACAGCAAGTTCAGATCCTTGTTAGAGGTATGTACTTTTCATGGATTTCTGGAAATGTTTTACACCCAGTCCTTTGTAAAGTTAGCCAATGTGTCAATGATAAATATTTTTTAGGAATTACTCAAATGTTTGTCAGAGATAATTGCAAATATAAAATTCTATTTATTTTTTAATCTTTATTGTTGAGAGTATTGCATATGTCCCCTTTTTCCTCCATTGACCTCTTCTAGCCCACCCTCATCCCCCACCCCAGGCCTTCACCACCCTATGTCTCCGTCCATGGGTTATGAATACAAGTTCTTTGGTTGATCTCTTCCCACCCACCCACTCATCCCCACCTTCCCTCTGAGATTGCACTGTCTGTTCCATGCTTCTATGTCTCTGGATCTATTTTTGTTCATTAGTTTATAAAATTTTATTTCTTAATTACAGAAAACCAATGTGGGATATGCCTTAGATGAGGATGGAGTTGGTGGACCATACACCGTTTTTGTTCCAAGTAATGAAGTATTGAGTAACATGAAGGATGGCACTCTCGATTATCTCCTCTCTCCAGAGGTATTGTACCCTACTCACTCTCATGGTATTATGGCAGCACCACTGCCTCAGTCTGTGCCCATACAGGCTTTTTCTAAAGTAGGGATGGCAAATAAGTAGCATACATATCACCACCTACCCTCCTACAACCAAGGCAGACATCATTAATCAATCACAGTCCTCTGGAACTAAGCCTGGTGTTGCTGTGGCTTAATTCTCCTCAATGGAGTTCCAAGTAGTCTGACTGACTATCAGACTGGGCATAAGAAATAAGATCTATGTATTTACAACCCTAGATTTAAATGGTTGGTTTGATTTTCCTGGCTCATCTAATATTACTCAATAGCAAAATCAATATTTTAAGTTCTCTACAACTCTAAAACCATCTAGAAAATGAAGTCTAATCCAGGCCACTTTGGACCAGGTCTAGGCTAAATTTAAAAGGCATAAATGTTATTTTTAGATGCTCCAGCCTTTCCTTTTTATTGCTTTAACCTCTCTCCATTATAGCCCTCTCTCTTTTTTTAATGTTTCTTATTGATTTCAGAGAGGAGAAGGGAGAGAGAGATAAAAACATCAATGATGAGAATCATTGATCGGCTGTCTCCTGCATGCCCCCTACTGAGGATCAAACCCACAACCCAGGCATGTGCCTTGACCTAACCATGATCTCCTGGTTTATAGGTCGATACTCAACCACTGAGCCACACTGGCCAGGACTATAACCCTCTCTTTATAAACCATAACTTTTAATTCTCTCACATTCTCCTCTAGGAAGGAGATTTCTTTACTCCTTCACACTAAGGTGTAAATAACTAAAAGCATTTAAAGTGTTTCCTTCCCCACAGATAACAGCCTCAAGGTGAGGAGAACAATAGCTAGTTATAGAATTTTGTTCATTAGAACATCAACTGGTGGAAGGGCCACAGCTTTCTTCCAGGGTCCTGAAATCATGCCGCTGTCTTGGCAATGGGGCCAGACTGCCTACAACCTCATGCAGTTCAGTGCTGAGTATACAGGATGAGGGGTCCAGATATTTTAGGTTAATGATTCCCAAACTTTAATGTGGTTAGAAATCACGTATGGCGCTTGTTAAGTAGGAGTCTTCTAGAACTTTCCCCAAGCATTCTGATTCAATGGTACTGGAATGAAGCCAGAAATAGACATTTTGGGAAGCACCAACTTTAACTCAGACAGCCCAGGCCACACTGTTTCTGGAACCCAGAAACTTGTGTGTATGGTTTAGAGGTCCATTTGGATACAGCCCTTTCTAGAATACTTTCCTCAGTCTGTGTTCATACAGGCTTTCTCTAAACTAGGGATGGCAAATAAGGGTATCTTAATTTCAGAAAACTTTGGATTAAAAAGATATGCCTCAAGGAGGTAAATCAGAAGGTGATCTCCCTTACATTGCAAACAGATGTTCAACATATTAAAGGATTTGCTATAGGTTTGCATTTAAAATGCTATATTTCCAGTGTCTTAAAAATAGGATGTTATTTTACACTTATGATTCACACTCAAATTTTCTGAAACTTAGCTATTGCAAAAAAAAAAAAAAACCTGTTATACCTTTCTTTAGAACTCACACTGATACCTAATGTTACAGCTAAAAAAGTAATGTTACTCCCCTGGGAGATTATTAAAATCCTGAGATTATTTGGCCTTTCTGAGTGCATGAGCTTCTGATACAGGTTTGAAAATAATAATAAAGGAGTTCTCAGACACCTAATCAGGTACACTTAAAATTAAAACAAAACCTTTTAACTAGAATAGGAAAAATAAAAACAAAAACAACCTTCCTGCTTTTCTGTCAAGCACTTTTGCTCAGAAAGCTCTTCTCTTTCTCCTCCCTCCTCCCAGTGGTGCCCTGGCCGGGTGACTCGGTTGGAGCATCTTCCCATACTCCGAAAGGCTGCAGGTTCAATTCCCGGTCAGGGCACATAACTCGGTTGCGAGTTCCATCCCTGGTCGGGGCATGTATGGAGCGGTGTTTCTCTCTCTCTTCCAATCTCTCAAAAAAAAAAAGCATATCCTTGGATGAGGATTTAAAAAACCTCCTTCCAGTGGTATCTGAAGCTGGCTCACTCAAGCTCTTAAGAGTAGACTATGTGTATCTCTTCCCAGCTCCACCCACTGAGATCACATTGGTAGCTTGAAATCAGCCCAAGGTAGTTTACACCATAGAAATTGGCCAACGCTATAAATCATGGCTTATTTTTTCTCCATGGAAACAATTTACTAACACACCACTGATCCTGGCTCTCAGTCTCTTTTCTCTCAAAGGCATTGTTTTCCTTCCTGCAAAGAATATACAACTTCAATGTCTCTTTGTCCTGAGTCATAAACTGTTTTTCCGCTTAAGTTTCTTGGTGGGGAATAGAACAACCATTTCTGCCTCTTTCTCAGTTGCAGCGCCCGTGTGGGTTAAAATGTGCCCACCTCTGGGATGCTCCTTCTGTCTCCATCTTAATAGCATCCTTTAGTTTTATCTTCCGAGAAGAACCGCAGTGAGAGACAGTGCAAGTCCTATCAGCTACACCAATAAAATGGAAAACACACTGATTTCATCAGAAGAGTAGTTTCCAACTCTCGTTTGGGATGCCGTGTTTCCTTTCCAGTGTATCCTTCTATTTCTCCTGAAAATAATGTTCAGTCCCCAAATCATCCCATCCCCACAGAGACCAGAGCTACTGATAAGCCCCAGTTTACAGCTTCATCACTGAACTAGACAGAATAAAACTCTTGTGATCTAGGACTTCACGCTGTTGGAACATGTCCCTAGACTGGTCAGCCTCTTTGGGGGTATTACTGTGATCTCACTTTGTGATCATTCACCTAGTGACTATGGCTGTGCCACGAAGCACAAGGGCTGTGAAGCTTATAACCCCTAACTCTGGCTCAGCTGGGAGATCGAGACATTCTGCAACAGACCACCTACATTGCCACCACCTCCTTCCCCCAAAGAGAGTGGGCCCCAAGCTCCTCACCTCTGTGCTCTCTCCAGGACACCCTTAGGGGCTGCTCATCCTGTTTATAGCCCAAGACCCTCTTTTATCTTCACTGTTGCTTCCGTTTTCTGAAGCATGGGAACTTTTGGGAAGGACTTCACAGGAGAAATGCCCATGTCCCATTGGAGCTCAGAAGGGCAAGTGTCCTGACCAGATAATCCAAAAAAGACTGTTTAGTCCTCAGTAACCATCTCGTATGTGATTATGGCAAGAGTGAAACAGAGTCATAAACTAAGGCTGTCTTAGAAAATCCAGAAGGTAGCCTTGGGTGTTGAGAGAGGTCAGGAGCAGAGTGACTGAGAGCTTGGGCTAATTCTTAGTCTTATATCCTAAGTTGGCTCTGTGACCTTGGACACGTCTTTAAAACTCAGTGTTATCGCACACAGAAGTTGTCAATAGTAGTCCCCACCTCACAGGGCCGTTGGGAGGATTGAATGAGATGTGCATATAGTGTTTTCAGAACAGCTTCTGCTAAAGTAGGAATTTGGTGAATGTTAACAATCGGGGGTTGGATTTTCTCACCCTGGACTTCCCACTAAAGACATTATGGGTCACTTATTTTTCTTGACTAAGTGTCCAAAGTCATATGAGGAGGTCCCTACAAGAGGGTGGTTGGGAGGGGAATGTTGTGTTTTCCTCATTGACTAAAGAAGTATTTTAATTCCTTCACAGGGATCTTGGAAGCTTCTGGAACTCGTCAGATACCACATTGTCCCCTTTACCCAGGTGGGCCCCACTTTTCCTGCTCTTTTCCCCTGCTTTCAAGATATCCGACCTTAAATTTGCAATATGGCTGCTAGAAAATATGTGACAATTGTCCTTTTTCTATAGTTCCAAGCGTACCCTTAGCCGTGGATAAGGAGCTTGCTATCAAAGAAATCTTCAAAGCCACAAAAACACATGACTTCTGAGCTCCCATTATTTATTTCATGAACTTGCAGGCTGTTTCCCAGTGAGGACGTTATGAAAGCGGGACTCTGTGTGTTGCTCTCAATGTCTCTGTCTATTGTTCTCATTGCAGCTCGAAGTGGCCACCCTCATTTCAACCCTTCGCATTAGGACCCTGGCCAACCAGATCATACAGTTTAACACAACCAGCAATGTAGGTGAAAACTCTACCATGGTGACTTTCATGCATTTTCGCTCTTCTACTCATTCTTCGGGTTATCCTACCTCTGTACTACGTCACAGGCTTAAAACCTTTACGATTATTTCATTCATGTGTTGCCTTTGTCAGCAGATACCTGCTGCGCAGCTACAGGTGTGAGAGTCTGACCTAGTTGCCAAGGATAAAGCAGTTTGGAAAGAGACAGGCTTCCATCCAAACAAGGAAAAGAAACTTTAAACAACTAATTAGCAATCAGTTAATTATTTTAATTACAATTGCAATCAGTGCCACCAAGTGAAAGTTAAGAGGACTGTGAGAGCATGCAACGGGAGGAGTCTGAGCAAGTCTGGGGGCCAGAGGTCCATAGTGAGGACATGAGGCTTTGGCCAAGATTCAAAATATGAGTAGAGTGGACCTGGGCAGAGATGCATAGAAGAGAGTTCCAGACAGAAGAGAGAGCATGTGCAAAGGCCCTGAGGTGAGAAACAACATGATTGATTTAAGAAACTCAAAGAAGACAGCATTATTCAGCTAACTCCCTGGGCTAGTAATATCAGCAAAAGTTTGGTAGAGATTATGTCTCCTATTGATTCATTGCTGATGGTGATGACGATGGTCACTCAACCTTTCAACAGATATCTGTTGAGTGCCTACTATGTTCCAGACACTGTTTTATGTCCTGAAGGTAGACCAATGAGCAGACAAAAGTCCCTGGTTCTGTGGGACCTTCATTCTAGTAAGTAGAAGGATAGGCAATAAACAAATAAGTAAAATAAGTCATATATGAGAGAATAGGAAGTGCTAAGGCAAAACCCAGCAAAGCAAGGAAGAGGGACGGAACGCAGGAATGGATCTGACATTTTCAATAAAGTGCCCAAGAAATCCTCATGGAGAAGAAAACATATGAGCAAACATAAGACCTGATGGAAGTCAAGGGAGAAGCAGTGTGACTCTTTGGGAAAGAGCATTGCAGAGAGAGGGAGCAGTAAGTGCAAAGGCACAAAGCAAGGAGCGTGCCCAACCTGCTTGAGGAAGGGCAGGGTCAGTGTGGCTCCATCAGAGAGAGCAGAAGGGAGAGAGGTTGGAGAGGAGATCAGAGCAGAAGGAGGGAGCAGGAGAGGCTGGGTCAGGACATGCAGGGCCTAAGCTCTCAAGGTGAGGACATAGGCTCTTACTCTGAATGAGGATGAGAAGCCACTGGAGGATTCTGAGCAGTGGAATGACGTGATCATCAGACATACATTTTGGGAGACTGGTTAGGACACAACTGCAATAACCCAGAGAAGCATGATGACGACTCAGACCAGGGAGGAAGTAGGGACGTGATAAGAAGTGGTTAAATTCTCAGGGCATTTTAAAGGTAGACTTAACAAAAGGTGCTGATGGATTGGCTGGGGAGTAAAGAGAGAAGAAGCCAAGGATGACCCCCGAGGTTTGACTTGAGCAATCACAAAGATAAGTTGCCATGAGCATTGCAGGTGGAGCAGATGTAGGGGAAAGTGGAGATCAGCATTCTTCACTAATTTGTTCATTTTCTGCTCCCTTCCCTACAATATAAGCAGGAACTTGTCTAGATTTGTTCACCTGATATATCACTAGGTCAGTAAATGCATCTGAAAGAACAGATCACCACAGAGAAGCCAATTAATTTGCCCAAGATGTCATAGCAAATATATTGTAGAGCTGGAATAGTTATACCTCTTCCCCAGTTAAGGACCATGTCTGCAAGGACATCCTTGCCGGGCATCAGTCAAGAATTCATTTAACAGATTCATCTCTCCCTGTCAGCCAAGCCCTTCTAATAGCAGTCTTCCACTCACTGAAAAGTCAGGTGAAGTTGAAGGTCTCCCATGAGGTCGCCACCATTCAGACCTGCCAGGGGACCACTGGTGTCCCTGCAGGACAGAATGGAAGATATCACTGCTTCTTTCCAGGGGCAGATTCTGGCAAATGATGTGGCAATGGAAGAACTTGAGGTCGCTGCCAAAAATGGCCGAATCTACACACTGACTGGAGTTCTGATTCCTCCCTCCATCGTCCCAATTCTGCCCCACCGATGCGACGAAGCAAAGAGTGAGATGAAACTGGTAAGAAAACTAGGACAGTAAATAAGGGCCCCTAACCTGCCCCACAAAACAGACAACACTCCCAGCTCTCACTGTTCTGAGAAGCTTCATCCCAGAGTGTTTCTGTCTTCATAGAAAGGCAGGCGTGAACTCAGTTTCCTTTGGGGGAATTTCCACAGTGATAGAAGATACCTATATTAGTTTATTAGTTTTCTAGAGCTGCCATAACAAATTACCACAAACTAGGTGGCTTAAAGCAACAGAGATGTGTTCTCTCACAGCTCTGGAGGCCAGAAGTCTGACATCAAAGTATTAGCAGGGCCTCTGAAGGTTTGGGGTTGTGGGGGTAGGGGGGGGTCTTCCTTGCCTCTTCCAGCTTCCAGTGCCTCCTGGGGACCCTCGGCATTCCTTGCTTGTAACTGCGTCATTTCAATATCTGCCTGTGTCTTTGCCTGGCCTTCTTCCGTTTGTGTCACTGTGTCCCCTTCTCTTCTTGTAAGGACACAAGTCATTAGATCTAGAGCCCACCCTAATCCATATGGCCTCATCCTAACTAGTTACATTTGTGAAGACTCAGTTTCCAAATAAGATCACATTCAGAGATTTAGGGAAACATCAATTTTGGGGGGAACACTACTCAACCCACCACACTTCAAGGCACTTTAAAAGGGATTTAAGATAGAATCTCTTCTCAGGTGTATGCTCTGGCCTAGCCAATCAACCATCTTTCTGTACTTCTTTTCAAATACCAAACTTCCTGTTTGCCTATGAGTTTATGTACCTTCTAATGACCTTTCCTGTTTCCATAGCAACTTTCTTTGGCTCAGCTGTTTTCATCAGAGCTCCCCAAATGTTAACATTGCTGTTACATGTGATCTTTCAGTTCCCAAGGAAACCACAACCCGAAAGTCACAGCAATAATAGGTCTGGGTATTTCTTTTCAGGACACTTCAATAATGCTTCAATGATTGTCCTCAATATCCTTGGAACATGGCCATTGAACAAGGAATAATGACCTGTTTTTATAGGTTTTATTGTATTGTTCCCTCTTCTTGTCATGAAGGCTGGAAGTACTTAGTGCCTAGCACAGACTTGTGGCTGATTCCTTTGATTCCAGATTTCTTAATTAATATAATGACTCTACTATGTTTTAGCTACTGTGATGGTACTGGTTCCCCATGCCAGTCACATGCCATCTGTGGGATTTGGTTCAACTTTGAACACCACTTCTTAAGAGAGGCAGAAACTTGGTCACTTTCCCAGCCAGTCCCTGGCAGCAATTTAGGTGTTTGGTTCAATCCTTGAAATAAATATTGGCAGGTGTGTCACCTGGCTTAGGCCAGGATGAAGAGCAGAAAAGGACAGATTGAAATAGTCTCATCTCCTGCCCCAAAGGTAAAAATATTAGGGAAATTGGGCCTCTGCAAAGAAGAGTGAATCGGAATCGATAATTAGACTCCTTCGGAGCTCCTCTACCCCAAGCAGCTGCCGTTCAAGTTCAGGGAAGGAATTCTGTGGAGGAAACAAGGGCAACAATAAGGTCAAGGTTGCCTAATTCCAGGTTGTTCAAAAGTTTGTTCTTCATGTCCCAAAAGAACAGAATCAACATGTGGGTTTGAACCACAGCCTAAAGCATTGTGGTGGGGAAAAGAGCTTCCCATTAGCCACCTTAGAATGGAGTCTTCTATTTTCTCTGGGTGTAAAGTCAAATCTATCTGCTCCGTGTGATTTAGGGTGGTTTTGATTGTCTATTAAAAGCACAAATGCATTCTCTGGAAAGTATGTATTGCTAGCAGGGAATAGAAGCTGCTGGCACCTTCTAGAAGTCTCAGTTTTCACCGGGATGAACCCATAGCTGCCTTTGGCCATGTGCGTTTGGATTTGGAGACATGTATTTTGGATTTTAAAGGTTTAATAAATAGCACTGTGTACTTGATAGGGTCTAGGGTCCCTGTAGGAAACAGAATGTATCCCAAAGGTTCAAATGGAGAAAGTTTAATGAAGAAGCTACTACAGAGAGATGGGCAGGGCTAGGGAAATAAACAATTTATGCTGGGGCATCCAGGGACGGGCAATGGCAGGAAATCATTCCCACTCCAAGGCCAAGGAGTCGCAGTGGGGGTCAAGAAGGGGAGTAGGGTTACCTGAACCCAGTGAGAGTGGGAAGAGCAGAGGAAGTGACGCCATCAGGAGCTGTAGAAATGGTGCCTAAGCACAGAGAGCAGGGAAGAATTACCTTGACCTCGCTCTCCTCCAACCCATCAGTCTCCTGCTGGCGCCTCCCATTGGCCAATACCAATCAGAAGCAGCCAAGGAAGCCCAAGAGACCATCCTCCAGGTTCTACCTGCTGGAGCACAGAGCCCAGTAGAGAACTTCAGAGAATGGATCTGGAAAGATTTGGAGGCACACACCTCTTTCCTTGCTCCTGAATCACTGAAGTGGAGAGCCCAGGAGAATGAAAGGCAGAGTTTCACTGTTCATCCTCATTACTGCTAAACTCATTGGAGAACAAGGACTTCATCTCAATCCTTCATCTTTGGCATAGATGGCCAACTACAGTGCCCACTTTGGGTCAGGCGCTTCTCTACACATAGAGAGTTGATCTGTCTGACCCTAAAAGAGGGAGAGGAAGGGACTGTGCAGGCTCAGTTTCTTCTCCCCAAACCCTCCTGCACCATCTTTACTCCTTTTCTCTGGGGCAAAGTCAGAAGCGGGTGGGGAGAGGCCAGAAGGGTTATTCTAGTAGAACCCCCTTCTCAGGGAGGAAGCATGAGTCCAGACAGGGCAGTCCCCTGCTCCCTCCTGCAGGGGCACCTGTGCTGATCCGCTGACTTTCCTTCCAGGGCACGTGTATGAGCTGTTCCCTCATCTATTTGAGCAGATGTCCTGCCAACTCCGAGCCCACGGTGAGTGTGACAGATTCATGGAAACGCACATCACCCAGGCAACCCCACTGATGTGGTTTCTCATCCTTTCCACCTTCCTCTGAAAAGATGCTAACTCCAACCGGGGTGATATAAGATTAGCTCTTAGCCTACTGCCTGTAACCCAAAGTAAGTTGCTTAAGCTTTTTAACTCTCATTTTCTTCATGTGTAAATAATAATAATTAATAATAATAATAATAATAATAAACACCATTGGATTAGCATGGATTAAAAGCCCAAGCACAATGCCTAAATCAAGTAGCCATTCAGTAAAGGTTCATTCCTTCTCTACTTTTCCCTCTTAAACAAAATGCATCGTTTGTGTTGGGAAGGCAAAACCTTACCTCCACCCTCTAAGAGTCTCCAGCTGGGCCTCAGAATTAAGCTGACATAAAACAGATTAACAGGAGAAAAGCGCACAGATTTCTACGCTTATATGGGAGCCTCCATAGAAGAATGAAGACCCAGACAAGTGACAAAACCCAAATGCTTATATAGTAGGTTGAATGAAGAATGGCAATTTGGGGAAAGCAACTAAAATATATGGAGAGGATAAAAGAAGAACAGTTGTTGTTTTTAACCCTCACCCAAGGATATTTTTTCCATTGATTTTTTTTATAGAGAGAGAATGGAAGGGTGAGGAGGAAGAGGAGGGGAGAGAGAGAGAGAGAGAGAGAGAGCAAGAGTGGGAGAGAGAGAAACATCGATGTGAGAGAGTCACATCAATTGGTTGCCCCCCCCAACTGGGACGGGAATCAAACCTGCAACCGAGGTATGTGCCCTTGACTGGGAATCAAACCCGAGACCCTTCGATCCACAGCCGACACTTTAACCACTGAGCAAAACCAGCCAGGACGAAGAGCAGTTCTTTTTATAAGGTCTGTATGTACAGATTTTTCTTGGCTTCAACTCTCTGTCAATGGTGACAAGATATTTCTTTTCTCTGGTACAGGGAGAGCATCTTTCACATAATTTTATCTTCTGACAAAACTTGAGATCACCATTATTGTCTCATTTCACAGATTAGGCAACAGAGGCCCACAGTTTCCAGAAAGAAAAGAGATATTTGCTGTCTTTCAGGTACCTTTAGCTCAGAAAAATCTTTATCCCAAAGTGCCATACTTTGGGATGGCATGTTCTGCCACTCTTTATTCATATTTGCTCTTCCCAAGCATCATTCTGGAGAAAAATATCAAGAAAATGACTCTAGAACCATCAAAACCTTTTTCAAGTTTGATTGAATTCTATACACATCTACTGAGGTTTATAGTGCTGATTTTGGGGGCAGAATCATGAAAAAGATAGTTTGTTTTATTTTGGTTTTGTCTTGAGAGCTCTGATATAAAAGGAAAACAGACTGCTATACAATTCACAATCCATATGCCATGTATTCTATTGGTGGCAAAAGCCAAATGTTCTAAGATCAAGTTGATGAGGGAAATTTCTGCCTCTAAGAAAGAACTTTCCTGCCCAGCCCGTGTGGCTCAGTGGTTGAGTGTCAACCTGTACACAGGAGGTCACAGTTGGATTCCTGGTCAGGGCACATGCCCAAGTTGTGGGCTCGATCCCCAGTGTAGGGTGTGCAGGAGGCAGCCAATCAATGATTCTGTCTCATCATTGATGTTTCTATCTCTCCCTTCATCTGTGAAGTCACTAAAAAAAATTTTTTTAAAAGAACTTCCCAACCAGAAGTTTCATTCAACACGAGAATAAGTCACTAAGGAAGGTGATGAGCTCTCAGTGCAATCTTATTGTGAAGCATCCCATACAGCAAAACATTAAAACTAAATAGGCACAGGTGTTTGGATATTTATTTTGCTTAACGAAGCCATCAGCCCTGCGTCCTTCAGCATGCTGTCAACCAGGGAATATGGAGGGGGGGGAGAGGAAACCGTGTTGGCCAGTATCACAGCAACTGCTGGTGCCAGCCATTGTTCTCAAAGCTTTCTGCAGCAAACCTAGGAGGTAGGCATATTATTATCATAACCATCATGTCACCAGGAAGCTAAGGCAACAAGATAGCAAACACCTCGCACAAGGTCACTCGGCTGATACGTGGCAGCACCATGAACCCACATTGCCACAGCCCAAAGGAGGAGGAGGAAGAGAAGAAAGAGAGATAAGACACTTAGGTTGGAGCCAAAAGAGCCTCCAAACTGTCCCTCCCAGGCTCCCATGATCTGCACCTAGTTAATTATCCTGAGATCCAACCAGAAGACTGAATAGTCCTTCCTCAGTAAATGTATCTCAGAATTTGGGATTTTATAGTCTGTGGTGTTCTCAATGCTTTCTTCTTGAGCAAGAGCCTACGAGGAAGGAGCAAGCTCACCATCAGCATTTATCGAACATAAAATCTGAGCCAGGGACTAATGCGTCTGACAAAACTTGAGATCACCATTATTGTCCCATGTCAAGGATCAGGTAGCTGAGGCCCACAGAGACTACATGACTTGCCTGTGGTATCCTAAAGTTAGCGCGTGGAAAGGCAGGTCCCATTCTCTGGACCTGCCACTTCGTAGCGGTGTTCCTTAGGAAAATGACAGCCTATCTGGGCTTCAGTTTCCTCATCTAATGAAAAGGGATGAAAATATCCACGTGGGGTTGAGGATTGAAGACCTCGTGTATGTACTGTGTCCGGCCCTAGTACGTTCTCAATAAATTGTAATTCTAGATCATCATGAGTGGGCATGGGGTTAGAGAATGAAAGGTGCATTTAAATCTGCCCCCACCTCCAAGAGAAAAACCACACTATCACTATTGGGCAGGAGGGGTCTTTCTAAAATTAGAGATAGATTCTTTACTGATAACAAAGTTTCTATGTAAGAGGAGCTTAGGGGTGGCAGGTGGTTGGAAAGGGAGGCTTAGTAGTATCCAGGATGCACAGGAAAGTGTTCCCTGATTATCGATGTCCCCTGTGGCACTATAAGGGGCATAAAGATACATGGCCTGCATTGTGCTAACCCTGGCCTGTATTAGGAGACAGAGTATCTAAAGAGGGTGACCACCCAGTAGGCATGGCTCAGTGGTTGAGCGTCAACCTATGAACCAGGAGGTCACAGGCCCCATCCCCGGTGGGGAGCATGCAGAAGGCAGCCGATCAATTCTTTCAAATCATTGATGTTTCTATCTCTCTCTTCCTCTCCCTTCCTCTCTGAAATCAATAAAAATATTTTTTTTAAAAAGAGGGTGACCACACCCTGACAGGGATCCACCTGTGCCCAGTGTGGCCTAGAGCATCCCTGACATCGATGGTAAAATGGTAGTAGACTATCTAGTGTAGGTAAAAGCTAGGGAATGCCAAGAGGACCTTCAAATGCACATAGCAATGCTTTTTCTCATTGGCTTTCTTCCAGGAACTCTTCACACACAAATGTGTCTACACCGGCAGAACCAGGAACTTGAAGAGTGGCTGTGCCAGATACTGTAATGCCACTGTGAAGGTGAGGAGGGTGTGTGGCCAGGGCTTTCATCCAGGCCACCAGTGCTCACATGGAAACCAGCAGGGCTGGGCAGCACCAAGGCCACACTCTTGAGCCCCAGGTTCCGTGAGTCACAGGTTGCCTTGTAGCCTTGGCCATGTCTCCCTGCAAGGAATCGAAGGGTGGGTTCCCCACATGGCAGCCAGGTCACCCCTTCCCTGCATCCACCCCTCCCATGGTGGCCTCTGGCTCTCAAGATAGAGCTCACACTCTCAATACCCCCACACAGGCCACGCTCTGCCTCTGACCTGCCTCATGCCTCCCTCAAAGTGTGGGCACTGGCCATTCCCAGCCTCAAAATGCTCTTCCAGGTTTTCTTGGAGCTGAGTTATCTTTCACCCTTTAACTGTCACCTCCTCCATCAACACCCAATCCACAGTGACCTCCCCAATCTCCATCACCTCTGCCTCCACCTGCTGCCACTTTAGTATGGTCCTCTGTTTTCCCAGCACTGACCATGCTCTGAAATTCCCTTGTTTTCCTCCTCCTTGTCCTCCTCTTCCTTCTCTTCCTCCTCCTCTTTCTCTTCCTCCTCCTCCTCCTCTTCCTTATCCTCCTCCTTGTCCTCCTCCTCCTTCTTCTCCTCCTCCTCCTTGTCTTCCTCCTCCTCCTCTTCCTCTTATATGTATTGTCTCTTCCTGGTTAGATAGAACATAGACCATGAGCACAGCCTTCATCTGCCTTGTCCCTGGTGCGGTGCCAGGCTGCCCCCCATGGTCAGCCCTCAGTAGATTTGTGGCGAGCAGGTGGCTGAGCACTAGCCATGACATCATCTGCAAAAGAAAAGTGAGCTCATAATGGGGGAGGGGGCTAATGCTGTTTAAAATAATAATAGAAATTAAAATAGATCTCCTTTAAGGAACTGGCACTCTGCTTGGGTTTTAAAGGGCAACACACATTTTGTCTCTCAGATACCAAAGTGCTGCAAAGGCTTCTACGGGCCCAACTGCAACCAGTGTCCAGGAGGCTTCTCGAACCCATGCTCGGGAAACGGACAGGTGATCAGGACAGCCCCCAGTGCATGCTTTCCATGAATGCAGAGGGTGACCTTTCTGAAGTCGAAAAATTATCTTTAAAACCACTGAACCAAGAAATGATGCAATGCCAGCCACTGTTCCCAGGAAGTAAAAATAAGACAGCTCGGTTACTAAAAGAACAGGTGTCGGCATTGGGAGGACTCTTGCCCCAGAAGGGGACGGTGGGTACAGTGATGTCGCCTCGATCTCTGCTTTTCTACTCCATGACCTTGGGCAACTCAACAAGGCTCTCTGGGCCCCACTTTCCTCCCATAGGAGGCAGTAGGGTTGGCTGAATCTTTAAAATTCCTTCCAGGACTAAGATTTTATGAGACTTAAAAAAAAAAATAGCACTGCCCAGTGATTGCTTTTTTTAACCTACCCCAAAACCTACGGAAACATAAGGGCCAAAACTTAACTCTAGCTTGGAGGCCAGAGCTAAACAAAGGTTAAAAAAAAAGTAGCTGTGGTTATATGGAAAAAGCATAGATCTGTGCATTTAAGAAATCCACATTTACAATATGCTCTTTCAAGGGGAAGGAAAAACTGCAACCACGTGTGGGGACACACACAGGTGAAGAAAGGAGGGCGACACGGCACTAATTAATTTCCATAGTCGGGTAGTCGGGAAGGCACTGAGCCCAACTCTGATGAGCGTTGATTGCTGAAAATCTAGCCTCCAGCTGGCCGGGGAGGTGGGAGGCAAACATGTTAACACTGAACGGAGAAACACTGCAGTGAGAAGCCACAGGGCTGAGCAGGCGAGAACCTGGAGAGAAAGGCCAGCCTTCATTCTGGAGGTCGATGCCTCGTCTCGCCAGCCCATAAGCATTGTCTGGAGGTTCCCAATTCACCTCTGTGACTGTCCCTCCCTTGAATGACTTCCCTTAAAGTTCTAAATCCAGGCTGGAACCCCAAGCTTATCCTGCCTGGTACCAAGAAGTCGGGTCATGCAGCGAAGCGGCCGGGGACTCCTTTGGGGGCAGGCGAGTGTCGTCCTGACTGTACCGGGCCTGCCTCTGCCCCCAGTGCATAGACGGCCTCAGCGGCAACGGAACGTGCATTTGCCAGGATGGCTTCCACGGCTCCCAGTGCCAGTTCTGCTCGGATCCCAACAAGTACGGACCTCGGTGTGACCAACGTAAGTGGCACCTCCAGGGCTTCCCTCTGCTCCTGAGCCAGGCTCCCTGCTGCCCTGCAAGCCAGTGGTGTGGGCGGGCCTGGTGTCCTGGGTCCCTTTGCTTGGTGAATGCCCTCATCACAGGGCATTTCTTAACAGCTTGCTTCTGACACTGTAGCCCGTGCCAGATGGCTGGGCCCCACCCACCAAGTTACTGAGAAGGTGGGCCTGGGGTGGTATTTGACAATTTGTATTTGCAAAAAAATTCCCTGGGAAGGTTGGCAACTGCTAGTCCAAGGACCGCACTTTCAAAACCAGTCTCTAGGTTTCTCCACATACCTGAACGTGATGGATGGTGGGTTCCAAATCAAGAAACAGACTCACTACCTGTCTTTCAAGTGGTCCGCTTCCATCAGCTCCTCCCTTTGCCAAATGTGCCACCTCGGGCAACTTACTACTCCTCTCAAGGACTCAGCATCCTTGTCTGTAAAATGGGGCTAATGCTACTAACTACCTTGGACAGTTGGTACAAGTTGTGAATGGAAAACACTTGTTCTAGAACAGTGATGGCGAACCTTTTGCGCTCGGCGTGTCATTTTGAAAAACCCTAACTTAACTCTGGTGCTCTGTCACATATAGAAATTTTTTGATATTTGCAACCATAGTAAAACAAAGACTTATATTTTTGATATTTATTTTATATATTTAAATGTCATTTAACAAAGAAAAATCAACCAAAAAAATGAGTTCGCATGTCACCTCTGACACGCGTGTCATAGGTTCGCCATCACTGTCCTAGAACAATGCCTCACACAGGGTATATGCACTACAAACGTGCCAGCTATTATTATTCTCTGTTATTGTTGCTACTGTTGCTATTCTCAGTTCAGTGGCATAAATGTCAAGAAGCTTAGAGAAAAATGGAGAAAGTTCCACAATAGGCAATGAAAAAATGCAGTTATACAATCTTAGAAAATGCATTGTGTTCTTTAAAATGAAATGATGTGTATATTTAGGTATGCAAATATATTTAGGTACATCCTTCCAAACTATGATTAGAATGTAACAGAAGAGAATGTAACAAAAGGGAACGCATCAGAGCTGGCTGTGAAGTCCAGCCCAACTCAAATTAAATCCCCACTCTGCTACTTACTAGCCATATGGCCTTAAAAAATGTCTCTCATTGAGCCTCAATTTTCCCATCTCTAAAATGAAGATAGTACTGGTGCCCACTTCACAGGTCATTGATTAAGTTAGATCATAATGTAAGGCTTCAGCACAGAGCTTGCACCTAACAAGTAACCAGTAAATGAAGCCATTCTTATTACTGTTAGTACCTTCACTCATTTGTTACAAAATGCACAACCCTCCCCCTCTCTTGCCTTGTTCTGATCCTCACAACTACCTCTTAAAGTGGGCAGGAAGCCAGAGCTCCACCGGCAGGGCTGCTGACCCTAGTCCCAGGTTCTTTTTGCCCAATGAGATTTCTGAGAAAAGAAAAATAGGGTTGATTCCAAAGCCTGCCAACGTTGACATTTTTATGAGGCCCGCGGGGCCGGCTGCGGGGGCTGGGGCAGCAGCCGGCATCAGGCTTCCTGCTGCAATGCCTCTTGCCCCAGGTCTGGGGCTGCCTCGGGCAGGGGGCCTCCTCTCTGGGCTCTTGTTCCTTGCGAATTACGCCCTGACTTACTTAGAATTTTATGAGAAGTCTTTTTTATTTTAATCCAGCTATGCTTTTCCAGCCCCCTCACTGTGATTCTCTTCTCTTTCCTGGATGCTGACTCCAAGCACCCAAACTAATTTCCAATCAATCCCTTCTGAGGCAAAAGCGCAAGTTCCTTCATTTCTGATCAGTTTCAAGTCCCCAGATCCTTGCCATCTGCCTTTGAGAATCATTCACTCCCACATGCATAGGAGCCTGAGTCTGATGGGCTGGCTCACGTTGCAATGTTTAAATACCTAGAACTCAAAGCAAAGTAAGCAGCTAAAGTTTAAAATGACAACAGGCATGTGGAAATGCCAGTGAATATAGCAATCTCCTGTGTTTACACCTGCTCACTAATAGAAATGGACTTTGAAGGCCTGTGTTCAAGTCCATGCTTGGGACTGAGCAGCAAGTTAGGCCATTGGCTTCACCTTTCTGGGCCTCAGTTGTCTCATCTGGAAAATGGGGATGATAAGAGAACCTACCTCCCGAGGCTGGTGACTGTTCATGAGACGGTACAGGTTAAATGCTGGCCCAATGCCTAGAACAAGGCTAGTGAAGAAGAAATAGGTAAGCTAGCAGCAGGGGCCATGCCGGCATGAGACATCACTTCTATTCATTCCAAAATGTCTCCACGAAAAGTTGAGACATTTCCAGACTAAACTCTCCAACCATGAAGGAGATGAACATTGAGTTCCTCGGGGGCTTTCACACAAGCACAACCGTCCCTGGGCCCCACCACACCCCACACATCCTATAAAATAAAGAGCAAATATGCTAATTAGACCAGACATCGGAACAACCTTCTGGATGACCTTCTGGAAGGACCAGTGGGCGGGGCTGGGAGGGGCGAGCCCCTTGCACAATTTCGTGCATTGGGCCTCTAGTGTACATATAAAAGAGCCCTGAGTCCCAGATGTTCTCATCTTGATGGGACAGTCAGCCTCAGCCAGCGCTGTCCGAGGCATACTGAGAAACACCTGGGACCCTAAGAATTGACACCCAGAGGCTCCCCTGCTCAGCCCAGGTTCTGCTCTGACAGGAGCAATTGGGGTGAGGAGATTACGCCCTGACTTGTTTAGAATTTTATGAAAAGTCTTTTTTATTTTAATCCAGCCATGCTAAGCTTGTCCTCCAAGCCCTGAGTGTCCCTCTGCCTTCTCTCTCAGAATGCCTGTGCATTGACGGAACGTGTGATAACCGGGTGGACAGTGATGGGGCCTGCCTCCCCGGCACGTGCAGAGAGGGCTCTGCGGGGAGGTTCTGCCACAAGCAGACCTCAGCCTGTGGGCCCTACGTGCAGTTCTGTCACATCCACGCCACCTGTGAATACAGCAATGGGACAGCAAGGTAGGTCTGGGGGAGAGGGGGACCACCCTTAAAGGCCCATGGCCATTGTGTGATCTGAAGACAGACCCAACCCATATACTGAGGCCTGTTCTCTCCAACAGCCAGTGTGGCTTTTGTGGAGAAAACCTCAGGCTAAGCTGGGTTCGAATAACTGCTCCCTCCTTTGAAAGTGACCAGCTGTGTGACCTTGGGCAAGTTACTTAGCCTCTCTGAGCCTCACTTTCCTCATCAGTACAATAAGGGTGACGCTACCTACCTCACAGGGCAGTTGTGGAGATTGTAAATGCACCCAGCACCAGGGCTAGTACATGATAGATGTTTAGTCATGGGAACTATAATTCTTATCATCACTCATGTGAAGGAAATGAAGACTTGTCCACCAGCTTTCCAACCCTTGAAAAACACCTTTACTTCCTAAGGCTATTGATAACAACTCCGCTGTTAAAGGCATCTGACAGGTCCTTGGGTCTTTGGTCATTTGGTTCATTATTTGTTTCCTTAATGTTAACGTATTCCATGGGCTTGGAGAGAAAATGTCCTCTCCAGGCAGATTTGGTTCGAAGTCAGTAACCACCCCCACAACCTCCTGGGAAATGCAGAGAATGTCAAATGTCTAGATTCTGGGCCTTATTTTTACAGCGCTTTTCTTCATTTGTAATTGCATGGTTACATGCTTACCTGTTTACGGTCTGTCTCCCCCACTGGACTGTAGGCAGCGTGGGCCCAGAGCCTGTCCTCTCTCTTCCACAGTCTACGACAGAAATGCATCTTCCTGGGAATTAGGGTCTCCATTGGTGCATAAGGCAAAAAACACAAGTGATCCCTACCCTTAATCCATCACCCACAGAGGACTACAGACATGGGTCTGTCCCATATAAACTTAGTCAGCGTTGGAATACATTAGACTATGTCTTTGGGCACCAGATAAAGCATTTAGTTCCTCTAGGGGCCTTGATACGTGAAAATCATTATTTTCTGTGAAGCACACAATTTGCAGTAGGAACATGGGGGTGTGATGGAGCTGGACGGTGTCCCAGCACCTGCCACGGGCACTTGATAAATACTGGGTGAAACTATGGCCCTGCGTTTACTAGTAACAGTGTCACGGTGGAGCATGTTGGGAGGCGTGTCTGAGAGGGTGGAGGGTCAGGAAACTATTTCAACTCACGGGATGAGGCACCTGAGAATGTTGTGTTTGGGGGGGGGGGAAACAACATCTGAGGGACTAGAAAAGGGAGAGAGGGGAGGTTTCATGTGACTGTCATGTTCATGCAGCTTGAGAGCTGTTGCATATGCCTGAGCCAGGAGGTCAATGTTTGATTTCCGGTCAGGACACAAGCCTGGGTTGTGGGCTTGATTCCCTAGTAGGGAGCGTGCAGGAGGCAGCCGATAGATGATTCTCTCTCATCATTGATGTTTCTATCTCTCTCTCAATCTCCCCTTTCCTCTCTGAAATCAATAAAAACATATTTTTAAAATAAATTTTTAAAGAGCTGTAGCATAGAATAGAGGGAAGAATTGATCTCCGAAACCAGAGGTAGCACATAGGACTGTAAAGAGGCAGATTCCAGCCCAGGATGAGCAGAAAAGCTACCAGCTGTTGAGCCTTTTAGGGTGCCAGTGCCCTGCGAAATGCTCCATGTGCATTCGCTCATTCGATCTTCACTGCAGCCTTCGGAGGGAAGCAGTATGATTATACCCATTTTCCAGACGAGGAAACAAGGTCTCCCAGAGGTTAAGGGACTCCTGCAGGGTCACACGACTGCTGAGAGGTGGGGCCTGGATTCCCACCTAGTTCTGTCTGACTACAGACCCCAGAAGCACCCGTGACCACCTGGTGCACAGGTCAAGCCCTGAACCCCTGGCTGGCCCGCCGTCTGCCCGTTGGTGGGTGCTGATATTTCTAGGGCTGACCGGTGACCTCCTCTTCTTGGCAGCTGTGTTTGCAACGCAGGATATGAAGGGGACGGAAGCCTCTGTTCAGAGATGGATCCTTGCGCGGGATTAACCGCAGGGGGCTGCAGCCGCAACGTGAGTGGTGGTTTTTCTTTCCAAACTGCCTGGTTTTGTAGAAAATCCTGAGGGAAGGCCTTCCAACAGGCAGGGTCTGATGGCTCTTCATCGCATGAAGCACATTTGTGTGAACCTTGAATTTGAAAGATGGTGCCAGGGACCCTCCGGGAGGCCCCCCCTTCCTCAATCCACATGTGTGGGGGACGTTGGGCTCAAAAAACACAGCCTGAGAATCAGGTACTGAGATCATTCGTATTAAACTCTTGATTCAAAGGCTACAGCAACTTTCCGGTATGCAATTTCACTTGCTCTCCCACCAACCAAACGAAGCGATTTTGTTAGCCCCATCTTCCTGATTAGGAAACTGAGGCTTGGGGACGTTAAGTGACTTACCCTAAATTCTATTATTGTCAGGTCGTGCCAAAGTCACCATTGCTTTTACTGATAATTTTTGTTTGTTTGTTTTGGTTTGGTTTGAGTTTTTTTAATATGTTTTTATTGATTTCAGAAAGAGGAAGGGAGAGGAAGAGAGAGAAACATCAGTGATGAGAGAGAATTATTGATTGGCTGTCTCTTGCATGCCCCCTACTGGGGATGGAGCCCACAACCAGGGCATGTGCCCTGACCTGGTTCATAGGTCAAAGCTCAACCACTGAGCAACACCGGCCAAGCTCATCGATGCCTTTTGAATATCTTCACCACTACGTGGCCCCAGTCACCTTCATCCCTTACCCACTGTTTAGTAGCCGGCCTCCCTGTTCCTCTCTCGACTACCCACAGTACAGTCCTTGTCCACCCGCAGCCAGAGGGGCTCAAAGTGGATCAGATCATGCTTCTCCCATGCCGAAAGCCCCTCAGTGACTCCCCCTGGCTCTGAGGATGGACTCAGATGCAAATGCCTTGCCCAGCCCATGAGACTCCCCTTGGATGCGTCCCACCCACTCAGCAGCCTCATCTCAACAGCTTACCTTGCACCTCTCTCCCTCTCCCCATGTCCCTCGACCTCCTGGTGTGGTCATCCTAAGAAGAAGTACAGTGATTAGGAATGTGGGCTTCAGCATCATATCGACCTGGGTCTGTGCCTCTTTGTAGCTATGTTACCTTGGGCCAGTTCCTTAACTCCTCTGAGCCTCAGTTTATCTGCAATAACAATACCTTCCTCAGGATAGCAGCTCACACCTACAAAATATTAGGAATAGTCCCCGGCACAATAAAATAACAGGGATGTTAGTGGTGGCCATTAGCTGGCCAACTCCAAGCAATTTTTCTGTTTAAACCAGCTTCCATTGAACTCCATGTGAATGTGTTTCTAGACCAGTGGTTCTCAACCTGTGGGTCGCGACCCCTTTGGGGATCAAATGACCCTTTCACAGGGGTCGCCTAAGACCATCCTGCATATCAGATATTTACATTATGATTCATAACAGTAGCAACATTACAGTTATGAAGTAGCAACGAAAATAATTTTATGGTTGGGTCACAACATGAGGAAGTGTATTTAAAGGGCCAGAAGGTTGAGAACCACTGTTCTAGACTGTACCTCTGAAAATTCTCTTTGGCTTTTGGAATCAAGTAGCTGGACTGAGGTTTCTGAAGTTTTTCTCTTTCCCCTTCTGCAGGCAGAATGCATCAAAACTGGCGTGGGGACCCACACCTGCGTGTGCCAGCAGGGCTGGACCGGGGACGGAAGAGACTGCTCAGAGGTCAACAACTGCCTGCTGCCCAGCGGTGGTGGCTGCCATGACAACGCAACCTGTCTGTACCTGGGCCCCGGGCAGGTAGGTGTGACATGGTAGAGGGCAAAGGGGAAGCAGGATTCCTGGGATGGCTTTTTTTCCTCAAGACCAAGCATGTCAAACTCAGGGCCCGTGGGCCACATGCAGCCCACAATGAATATTTTGCAGCCCAGCCAATATTATGATATGTAAGGAACATTTTAATAAAAACTTTGTAACTTAAGCCCTAACCTGTTTGGCTCAGTGGATAAAGCATCAGCCTGTGGACTGAAGGGTCCCAAGTCAAGGGCATGTACCTTGGTTGCGGGCGCATCCCCAGTAGGAGGTGTGCAGAAGGCAGCTGATCGATGCTTCTCTCTCATCGATGTTTCTAACTCTCTATTCCTCTCCCTTCCTCTCTGTAAAAAATCAATAAAATATTTTTTTAAAGAATCTTCAAATGTTAGAAAAAATTTCGTAGCTTAATTTTTACAATATCCTATTGTAATTATTAATAACGAACTACAACATTCGCTAATGACTATAGTTGTGTTGCATTCACTTCCCTTACGTGCCTAACACGTGGGCTCACCATTTCTCTCCACTAATACTAGCAGCAAACATTTTAGCAGCCGATTGCCACGTCATTAGTCTTGTACTGACTTCTTTGGTGTGTGCAACAGGAAATATTTCGCTTTCGGAGAACAAGAAAAATAGGTTTATTTGCATTACATTTATTAATTTGTGCAGTTACTCAGTGTCTGGTAAGTTAATGTTCAAGAAAAAATATTAATTTTTATTAAAGTGTTCTATTGTTTTATGTTAACAATTACTCATTTATTTCAGCCCTTTGTTTTCAGTGTGTCTCTATCGAAATAAACCTACGTTTCTATGAAAATTGAAGCTTTTTTTTTTTTGCGGCCCACATAAACGTAAACCTTATTTATTTGGCCCGTGTTAGCCTTTGAGTTTGACATTCTTGCGCTAGACATAGAAGTACCTCTGGAAACCACCAATCTGTTCACTTTTGGTTTGGGGTGGGGTTTTGTTTATTTATGGGTTTCTTTTTATTGATTTCAGAGGAGAAGGGAGAGGGAAAGAGAGATAGAAACATCAATGATGAGAGAGAATCATTGATCAGCTGCCTCCTGCAAGATCAAGGAATGATCCTGAAGTCCAGGCATGTACCCTGACCAAAAATCAAACTGTGACCTTCTGGTTCATAGGTTGACACTCAACCACTGAGCCACCGTAGCCGGCCTGTTTGTTTTTTAGATTTCACATATAAGTAAGATCATACAGTATTTGTCTTTCTCTCTCTAACTTATTTTACTTAGCACTCAAGGTCCATCCATGATATTGTTGCAAATGCCAAAATTTCATTCCTTTTTATAATTGAATAATATTTCATTATATGTGTGTATACATATATATCACATTTTCCTTTTTAAAAAATTTTTTTTACTGATTTCAGAGAGAGAGAAACATCAATGATGAGAAAATATCATTGATGGGCTGCCTCCTGCAGGCCTCCTACTGGGGATCGAGGCCAAAACCCAAGCATATGCCCTGACTGGGAATCAAACTGTGACCTCCTGGTTCATAGGTCAACATTCAACCACTAAACAACACTGGCTGGGCTATCACATTTTCTTTATCTGTTCATCTGTCAATGGACACTTAGGCTGTTTCCATATCTTGGCTGTCAATAGTGCTGCAATGAACATAGGGGTGCACATACCTTTTCAAGTCAATGTTTTGTTTTCTTCAGATAATACCCAGAAGTGTTTTGTTTTCTTCAGATAATACCTAGAATTGGAATTTTTTAGTAACATCCATACTTCTTTTCGTAGTGGCTGCACCAATTTCCATTCCCATCAGCAGGGCACAAGGGTTCCCCTTTCTCCACATCCTCACCAACACTTATTATTTCCTGTTTTTTTGATGACAGCCATTCTAACAGGTGTGAGGTGATATCTCCTTGTGGTTTTGATTTGCATTTTCCTGCTGATTAGTGATGTTGAGTATCTTTGATGTCCCTGTTGGCCATCTGTCTCCTTTGAAAAAAATGTCTATTCAGATCTTCGACCCATGTTTATTCAGGTTGTTTGGTTTTTGCTATTGAGTTGTGTGAGTTCTTTACATTTTTTATATTAACCCCTTATCAGATATGATTTGCAAAATATTTTCTCCTATTCAGTAGGTCGCCTTTTCATTTTGTTGATGATTTCCTTTGCTGCATCGAAGCTTTTTAGTTTGATGTTGTCACATTTGTTTATTTTTGCTTTTGGTGCCACATAGGTACTATGATGAGTCCATCTTAGAAAAGAGTCACAGAGAAGCTAAATACTTGGCTCACATCACCCAGAAAATAAATCACGGTGTGAGATTCACATCCAGACAGTCTGACTCCAGAGCTGCCCTCTTAGTCAACACCCTTGACCACGCTTTATATTTCTGTAGCACTACAGTTTGTTGACCACTGTCACTTATCCTCCTTGACGGGAGATTGAGGCAGAAAAAGCTTCTGCTTCAGAATTAATCCAGTCCAGGAGAGGTGATGACAACTGTGCTAGGATTGTAGCCACGGAAGAGTACGAATCATGGGCGAGCTCACGGCAGTCTTGTGTCTCTCCAAGCATTTAACAAACAATCGCATTCGTTTCGGACTCACCTGAGTTGCCAGACTGCAGCTGAGAAAGAAAAGCCATTTCTCAGCATCTGTATTAGTTTGCTGAGGTTGCCATAACAAAGTGTCACTAACTGGGTGGCAATGAATAGCAAAACTGTATTCTGTCACAGGTCTGGAGGCTAGAGGTCCAAGATCAAGGTGTCGGCAGGTGCGGTTCCTCCTAAGGGCTGTGGAGAACCTGTTCCAGGCCTCTCTCCTGGTTCTGGGGGGTTTACTGGCAATCATCAGTGTGCCTTGGCTTAGGCATCACCATGACCTCTGTCTTCATGTGCACATGGCATTCTCCCTGTGTGCGTGTCTGTGTCTGAATCTCCCCTTTTCTGTAAAGACACCAGCCATGTTGGGTTAGGAACAGACCCTACTCCCGTATGACCTCTTCTTAACTGAACTAATTACATAATTACAATCCTCTCTCCAAATAAGCTGTTTTTCATAACAGGTATTCTGCGGTACTGGTTGTCCATGTAGAGGTGGGGCCTGGTTCAAACCCGCCTACTCAGAGGGATGCCTATCTTAAATTACACCAACTGCCTCCTAGCCCGGCAATGGCCCTGCGCATGGATCTGCGCCAAGTGGAAACTTGTGGCTTATTTCACCTTTCCCTCTGAGACGGAGGGGCCCATTTGTCTAGTGGGATGCTCTTGAGAGTCTGAGTTCTCTGAGACTCTCCAAGTGGCCCTTCTGGGGTAATACATTCAAAATGAAAGTGCCAAGGAACTATCAGATTGAGACATTTCATGTGGAATGTGGATGACCAACAGCTCTGGAATCTGAAGTATAAAAAATACCGAAAGCCATTAACGCTGTTCCCTAGCCAAACGGCTCTGGTTCCCATAGTTCATTGTTCAGCACCACACGAGGGCATAACAGGGAAGGCAGCTGCTTTCCATAACCCCCTGTGCCTCTGTTCTTGGAATTGCAGAATGAGTGTGAGTGCAAGACTGGATTTCGAGGCAATGGCATTGAATGTGAACCAATAACTTCCTGCTTGGAACAAACTGGGAAATGTCATCCCCTGGTGAGTTTCTGGATTTATTTTATCCTTACAAAAAAAAAAACACTTTTTTTGAGAAAGAAAATTATTTCTTACCTGAGCCAAGAATTGAGCAAAGTCTCTCTTACTCCCAAAGGGTGTCCCTAAGCAGAATAGAAGTAGTTATTATAACTTATACTTCATTACTCCAAAGCTTGGAAGAACCAACATCTGATTACCAGATGCAATACAGGACTCTGAGTTTCAGATACTCAATGAATCCTTTTCCATCACAAGTTTGCCCCCAAATGCAGCATGGGACATACTTCTACTAAAACACATTTGTGTATCTGAAATTCCAGTGAGCTATGTGTCCTTGCTTGTACTTGCTAAATCCGGCAGAGATGTCAAGAGAGACTAAGTGAGAGCTGCATGGGACATGCAGACCAGGGCCTTTCATTGCAACATGGAAGGGCCTACAGGTTACTCCCACCATCCTTCTACCCCAAATTTGCAGTTCTACCTTAGCTGGAGCCTATGACTCATGGATGTAGCTCATTTCTAACTCTTCATGTAGGAAAGTAAGCCCTTTTTTCCCATCTCCGTTTCATCAGGCAGCCTGTCAGTTCACCTCTGGCGTCTGGAGCTGTGTTTGTGGAGAAGGCTATGAAGGCGACGGCTTTCTGTGCTATGGAAGCGCGGCCGTGGTAAGTCCTCTGAGATGAACCCTGGTATAGCATGATCAAGACACAGATCTTTGTAAAGGCTCTTAGCTGGGGTGCCTTCCTAGCCCTGTGCAAACTGAGTGATTTCATAGGAAATCCCAGGAGATTTTAGAGGAAGCAAACTGCTTCTTCCAGATGGTATAGGTGCCTCGGGGGTCACACGTTTCCCACAGGCTGAAGGTTGCCAGCTTTTATTTGACCCCTGCTGTGTACCAAGCAGTCCTGGCGTCTTTTCCTGTTCATTCTACCTCTTGCCATCCCCAAACTTCCCAAATGGACAACTAACCGGCCTCTGCTGAGCTCTCCGTGTGCTCCTGTCTGGTTTGAGTGCCCCCTGTTGGTACCCAGAGCACCCTGCGCTGACCACATCTGGTGTGTGTGTGTGTGTGTGTGTGTGTGTGTGTGTGTGTGTGTCTGTGTGTGTGTGAACGCCTTCTGTATACCAGGCATCTTACTAAGTCTTTAACATGCAGGCACCCCATTTAAAACTCACAGCAACCTCTGAGGTTGCTGCCATGATTATGCCCATTTTATAGTGGAGGAAACTGAGAGGCTAAGGAAACTTGCCGTGGGCCCCTCCATTGCTAAGTGAGGAATCCAGCCCATGCCTGTCCAGTGCAGGGCCCACGCGCTTCACCACCAGGGGAGAGGACTCTCTCAGTGTAGTGCATGTCTCACGGAATTGTGACTGCATACATGTATCTGTCTTCCCTCCATTGGACCGCAAACTCGTGGGGGCAGGTCTTTGCCTTGTTTCCTACTCCACTCCCACTGTTCATAAAGGTTTGTTGAAATGAGAAATAGAGCAAATGGATGAATTTTCTCATCACTTACTTTCTGTTCAATTCACTGCAGTTTGGTTTCTGTCCCTCTGCTCAGCTGAACCCATTGGACCTGCACTTTGCCCAAACCAAGAGTCTCCCTCAGGCCCGCGTCCTGGTTCCCGAGGCTGGCTGAGGCATCGGACCCTGGGCCTACTGGCCTGTTCATGGTCCTTTCCACCCTTCACTTCACACTGTTGCGTCTACTCACCCAGTGGGGCGCAGCGGCTGTCTCCTGACACCCAGACCCTGGAGCATTGACCCAGCATTTTATCTGCACTGTCCATGGGCCACGCTGTCTAAAACCTGGCCCCCTGCTTCTGCAGAAAACAAGATGAAGTCCCAGTCCTCAGCCTGGAACCCCGGGCAGCTTCACACGGGCTCAACTCACCTTTCCTGCAAGTAGCCGGGCTTAGCCTGAGCTCAGCTGCGGCTTTCTCGGCTCCATGCCGGCTCTGACCCCTCTCCCGCAGACCCAGCCTCTGGTCTTCCTGCCATCAGTTCAGGTCCAACTCGTGCCCTCCTCTCCCTCAAAGCAGCCCCTTTAAGGAAGGACATGAGCATCTCAGCTCTTGTACTTGTCTGTTTACTAATTTACTTTTTAACAGGTATCTACTAACTTATTAGCCTCAGCTACTTTCTAAAAGACATTGCGACAGCTCTGAGATGTACTGTCTTTATGAAATTTGCATATTATCATGGTTATTGCCGTTTGCCTGGCATTTGATATTTTAAAATGCTCTCCCATACATCAGTGCATACAATATTTATGATCCCAGGTGCAAGCTGTCACCACAGTCATTGTTCAGATTAGACACGAGTTTTCAGAGCAGTGCAGCGGCTTGCCCAAGATCACACAGCTAGGAACGGCCGGCTCAGGGAAAGAACCCGGTCTTTTTTAACTCCAAGTCCAGAGCTTTCGTTACTCTATCACGATCCAGTGTACTGACCTGCTGGCCCTGTTGCTATCTTTCCAAGTCTTCACTCCCCCAGGACAAACGCAGAAGCCATCTCTTCCCTTTTGTATCCCATACCCTCTGTGCATTCCATCCTGGTACCGGTCGTGGTAGTTCAATATATATGTTCATTAATAAGTACCCTGGGAGCCAGAACCAGTTTGGCTCAGTGGATAGAGCATCGGCCTGCGGACTCAAGGGTCCTGGGTTCAACTCCGGTCAAGGGCATGTACTTTGGTTGCAGGCACATCCCCAGTGGGGGGCATGCAGGAGGCAGCTGATCGATGTTTCTCTCTCATCGATGTTTCTGGCTCTCTATCCCTCTCCCTTCCTCTCTGTAAAAAATCAATAAAATATATTTTAAAAAAATAATAATAAGTACCCTGGGATACATTACAAAGGAGCACGTCCTGCATGCCAGCCTCTATTCTAAGCACATTAAAAACAGTAACTCCTCCAATTCACACATCGGCCCTATGAGTTGGAGCTTTCCTTATCCCCATTTTACAGATGAGAACATTGAGGCCCAGAGAAATGAAGTCACTTGCCTAAGGAACTTTGGTTCCATGTTCCAAGCCACTACTCAACACTGGCTCTGAAAGCGGGGGTGGGGAGGTCTTTACTGAGCTCTGTGACCTTCAGGCTGTTGTTCCATTTGGAGTTTCTAGAATTACTTCTCTGCCTCAGATAGAGAGGACAACAGAACCACTGAGCCTGAAAGAAATGAGCAGCTCTGGCAACACGGAGATTCCACTAGCTGGGGCCCCTTCCTGTCGGGTCAAGGAGGCTGGCAGGGAAAGGGAGCCCAGCCCGGGAAGGCTTGGAGCTGGCTCCCCAGAAATGTGCAGGGATTGTGCTTCTCATTGTTCCTTCTCTCATGTTCTCCCTCATCTCTCCCTCCCTCTCTCCCTCCCTCCCACAAAATGAATAAGGAATTGTCGTTTCTCTCCGCGGCAGCTAAATTTAACCAGTGGATAAGTGTGAGTACCTTTGTTGGAATGTGTATAATTTTAGAAATGTGGGATGCATACAATGGAACACTGAAAATGCAGCTGGTAGGAGGAGGGCGGGCCATTGTCTAGAGTAGAGGTTTCAAACCCTGGCTGCCCTTTTGTAAATAGGCATGCCCTGCCCCCGCCCCCCATCCCAGACACTCTGATTTGATTGGTCAGAGGTTTGCCCTGGACATAGGTGAATTCTGAAAGCTTCCCAGGTGATTCTAACATGAAACCAGGGCTAAGAACTTCTGGTCTAGGATCAGCTTGGGTGGTCACCTTTTCAACCAATTCAAATACATACGTGTAGCTTCATTCATCCCAGAGGTTTTCTTTTTTTGTTTTATTGTTTTATTGCTTAAAGTATTACAAAGAGTATTACATATGTCTCCTTTTTTTCCCCGCCCTTGACAATCCCCTGGCCTCCCCTACCCCCCAGTGTCTTATGTCCATTGGTTATGCTTATATGCATGCATACAAGTCCTTCAGTTGATCTCTTACCCCCCTCCCTCCTGCCCCCCAACCCTCCCTGGCCTTCCCGCTGCAGTGTGACAATCTGTTTGAGGCAGCTCTGCCTTTGTATCTATTATTGTTCATAAGTTTATAATGGTCTTTATTATCCATGAATGAGTGAGATCATGTGGTATTTTTCCTTCATTAACTGGCTTATTTCACTTTTTTTAAGAAGTCAATGTAATTCATCACTGTAACTCACCAAGTTAGAGTTGGGACTTAAATTTTTATTTTATTGATTTGAGAGAGAGAGAGGGAGGGAGAACGACAGACAGAAGGAGACAAAGACACCTCTGTTTGTTGTTCCACTTACTTATGCATTCATTGGTTGTTTCTTCTATGTGCCCTGACTGGGGATCAAACCCATAACCTTGGCGTATTGGGACAATGCTCTAACCGACTGAGCTACCAGCCTGGGCCAGAGCTGGGATTCATAGTTGCAATCTGGAAAACTACCTGTGTGCTTAGCTCTCGGCCCAGCATGCCTGCGGGAGCATTCCCTCCCCCTGGAAAGTTCTATTACCAAGAATCTCTGCCATCTGTGCCTGAGGGGTCCAGGGTGAACGGCCCAGCCAGCCAGCCAGCACACAAGTGGTTTCTCCCCTCGGAACAGACACGTGCAATGTCAGGCCGTGTGTGGTCAGCACCCACTGCAGGACAGCTGTCCATTGCTTCTTCCTGAGGCCCTCTGGCCCATCGCATGGAGAAGCAGAACTGAGAGTCCTGTGGTACATGTTGATGTCCACATAGACCAACCCCATATGCCGAAGCTTGCCCAGGGGTCCTCAGGACCCAGCTCAATCCAGCTCACGAGAGCACACCCTTCCCAGAGCCACCGTCCTATTGGTAGCTTAAACTCAGCCACAGTGGGAATATTTACCCCACAGAAATCAGTGAACACTAAGAACCAGGGCATTTTGTTTATTTGCTTGTTTATCCTGGAGAGCTGATTGTTAAATATCAGCTCACCACTGCTTTTATCCACTAGCTCTGGGTAAGAATGAAAAGTAGGTCAAGTTTGACTTCAGGCCTCTGGTCTCTCTCTCAGGCTGAAACTGTTCCTGTAATCTTCCCACCACCCCCCTTTCCAAAGGTTCCAAGGATTCTCAAGGTTCTCTGCACATACACATGCACACACGTGTACACATGTGCATGCACATGCATAATCCTGCCAAGACTATTCTCTGACTCTTCATTTAGATGAATGGGTAAATGACTGATAATGACTCCAAGTGTGACTGGATCGGGAAAACTTGCCTTTGGACCAGGCTCACACAATTAAATAAAAGGAAGGATTTGGGAAAGCGGTCCCTAGGACCACCCCAGTGTCCCTGGAATTACATCCAAGGGAACTGGTCATCTCCGCCAAGCATTACATCAGCCCTGGTCTGTCCGCTAATATGAGCCAGGCCCTTTGTTTTCCTTCTGTAATTCAGAACGCCTCTCTGCATCCCATGCTGTCAGCTGCCTCCAACCTCACTGTCCTCGTGCCTTCCCAACAAGCTATCGAGGACATGGACCAAGATGAGAAAGCCTTTTGGTTGTCCAAGAGCAATATTCCAGCCCTGATAAAGTAGGTATTATGCATTTTATTCTTCATGATATCTTACTGGCATCAGTGTGAACAAGGGCAATGGAGGGAAGCTACATGGTCCTTCAGATAGATTCATGGCGCTAAACATGTTCTAGGACTCCCCTCCTGCCCAGGATGGGAATAGTTAACATTATTGACAGCCCACTCTGGGCTAACTGCTTTATATGTAACCCAGTCCATCTTCCCAACAACCCTATGAGATAGGAATTATAGTTATCCCCCTTTTACAGATGTGGAAACTGAGGCACGGGGTGATTAAGTAACTAACCCAAGGGTGCTATGGCTGATAATTGCAGGTGTAGATTTGAATCTGGCAGTCTGGCTCCAGGACCATTTTTTAATTACTTAGTGAAACTGCTGGGTGCACTGGTATTCATTATGGTCCTATGGATTGTTGTTTCAGATACCATACACTCCTAGGCACGTACGGGGTGGCAGATCTGCAGGCTCTGTCATCTTCTGATATGCTGGCCACGTCTTTGCAGGGCAACTTCCTTCACCTGGCAAAGGCAGATGGGGTAAGAGAGTACTGTCATTTGTCTAGTGGAAACATGTCCATTACATTCATATTGTACTTTTAATTTTTTTGTCTTGTGGAAATTTCCAAACATGAGCAAAAGTAGAGCAAGAATAGAACTTCTGACATCCATGTTGGCATCACAGCTTCAACAATTATCAACATATATTGACAGACACACACACACACACACACACACACAGAGTGATCCTATAAAATGTGGCCCTCTGCCCACTGGTTAGTCACAAGGCACTTCCTGACAGACCACAAATGAGAATGAAGATTGTACAGGAGAGTGAGAGCTGCTACATCCATGGACCATGGGCCATGGTCAAAATGTTTCAGAATGACTGCTCTAACGCCTCTCTACCTTTATGTGTGAACTCTATGAAAAGACTCATCCAGAAAGTCAGATCTTTCTATTCCTCTGGGTGAAGGTTGTACAGTTTCACCACTTTGAGTTATATGTATGGTTAACCAAGAGCTTGTTACTGTAACCTGCTGATTCAGTCATTACAGGTTACTAAAATTTTATATTGAGTGAGGGTCAGTCAGACAACAAGTATTTATTGAGCACCTGCTATTCTCCAGGAACTGGTCAAAGTGCTGGAGTTAGGGCAGTGCCCAAGGAAGAACCAAGCCCTATCAATGCCCACCTTCTGGCTACAATATGTCAAGGACTTGGATTTAGTCTTCCCCGAAGACGTCTGGCTGTCCTACTGCATGTGGCAGAGCCTTAAAACTCTTTCTATGAATCTCACAAGATGAGAATGAAGTTTCTACTGGAGAGTGAGAACTGCTCGAAGGCATCTCTACCTTCTATTTATCAGTATGAGCCCAATGAAAAGGCTCTATGACTAGTATTACTTAGATGTATGGGCTTCATCAGATAATTCTTTTTAGGCAGCAGAAAAGAGTTACATATGATCCCATGGATCCTTTACATCTATATATATAAAAGCCTAAGCGACCGTTATGACCAAACGACCAGAACGACCAGTTGACCAGTTGCTAAATGCACACTGACCACCAGGGGGAAGATGCTCAACGAAGGAGCTGCCCCCTGGTGGTCAGTGCACTCCCACAGCCAACCTTCCATGGCCAGCCAACCTCATCCAGTTTCTCCCCCTGACCAGCAAACCTCCCAAGGTCCCTGACCCTGTCCAGCAGCTGGCAGGCCCGCAGGCCCCGGCCAACCTGGCCCCAATAGGCCGTGATCTCCGGCCAGGCCTTGGGACCCCATCCATGCATGAATTTCATGCCCCAAGCCTCTAGTATAATTATAATTATAATGTATTACATGCATATATCAGATTTGGGGGTTCTTTTCTATCAGTGTTTTAAATCACTGATTCTCTTGGCAAGCATTAAGGGGACACCCAGGCTGGTCATGCTTATCCTGGGCTCTATAGATTCAAAGATAAGTCAACCAAGACCTCTGATTGAGAGGATCTAACCATCAAAGACACATTTTTAATGAGTTTATTCCTATGTCTGAATTAAATGTTTCCCTTTAACCAAAAGAGATATGTGAGGTGGCCAGGAATGTTTTCTTCAGGGCCTCTGCAAATGTGACTTTGGAGCTGCTCAGGGTGACACCAGTCCCCTCTGTACCCAAAGTGCCCAGGAGGAATTTCACATGAAGGGTGATGGTGGAGATGAAGAGAGGACACAGAGAAACCAGAGAGGGTGGGGCCCCGTTGTCATGGTTGGTTGGTGGGCAGGTGGGTGGCTAGATTAGTTTTTACTTAACCCCATTCCCCTTGTAATTATTCTTCTTGAAAAATAGCTGGATGCTGACCGGGAAAGTCAGTTGCTGTCTGTGTGAGTTTGCCAGAGCTGCTACAACAGACTGGGTGGCTCAAGCAATGGAAATGTTTTGTCTCACATTTCTGGAGGCTGGAAGTCCAAGATCAAGGGGAGGGGAGAACTGACTCCTTCTGAGAGCTGGGGAAGGAGCTGTTCCGGGCTGTCCTATAGATGACTGTCCTCCTGTTCACATGGCATCCCCCCGCATCGCTACATCCAAATCCCCTCTTTTTATAAGGACACCAGCCATGTTAGATTAGGGCCCATTTTAATGAACTCTTTTTAACCCAATTACCTCTGTAAAGATCTTAGCTCCAAATAAGGTCATATTCTGACGTAATGGGGTTAGGACTCTAACTTATGAATTTTGGGGTAGGGAGGGAAGACAATTCAACCCACAACATTGTCTACAGTGTTTTTCAAACAGCAGAGTCACTTTAGTGACCTCAGCCAGCACTTTTAAAAAATATTTTTTCTTGATTTCTGAGAAGGAGGAAGAGGGAGAAAGAGATAGAAACATCAATGATAAGAGAGAATCATGGATTGGCTGCCTCCTGCATGCCCCACACTGGGGATGGAGCCTACAATCTAGGCATGTGCCCTGACTGGGAATCATACCCTGACCTCCTATTTCATAGGTTGATGCTCAACCCTGAGCCACACCAGCTGGGCAGCCAACACTTTTTTAATGAAATAGAATGGAGTAGAGTAAAAATCAATGACCAGTTGCCTCCCACATAGTAGAGGAAAGTACTATTTCATTTTGATTGAGTGTGAGAGAGAGAGAGAGAGAGAGAGAGAGAGAGAGATATGTCTAATGGAGCACAATTTAAAGGTATTTCTAACTGTGGGTCATGATCCAAAAGGTTGAAGGTCACTGCTTCTCAGAAAGTGGAAAACAGCAGAAATAACGTCGATCCCTAGGTGTACGCAAAGGAGACTCACCGTCCCACTGTGGTTTGCATTTACAGAACATCACAATTGAAGGGGCGTCCATTGTTGATGGTGACAACGCAGCCACAAACGGAGTGATACACATCATCAACAAAGTACAAGTCCATCCTCCCGCCCAGGCAGCTTCTCTTCTCTCATTTACCCTCCTGGACAGTATCTTGCTTTTTTTTTTTTTTGAGAGGGGAGTGCGGTGGGTAAATACTTAGCCTTAACATAAAAGTAACCTGTATTGTGCTTCATTACTTTTCTTTTAAAACTACTTAGAGGCTCTACTCATTCAATCAGACTCAGTCACTATCTACTCAGCCCCTGTTCTACAGTGGGCCCTATACAAAGTGTGGCCACATAGAGCATATTTCTTACTTATGGGAACATCTCACAGGGCACACACAACCTTGGCCTTTTTTTAATCTTCAGAGGCACTCTCAGGACTGGCAGTAGCCCTGACAATGGCAAGTGTATGTGGCATGAACGCATGTGTCACAGCGTAGCAAGTCCTGCCAGCACCTGCTAAGAGAATTCTGGGGCTTCCTTTCTCAGGTTCTGGTTCCCCAAAGAGGTCTAACTGGCTCCTTACCAAACCTGCTCACCCGGCTGGACCAGATGCCTGACTACTCCATCTTCCGGGGCTACCTCATTGCAAGTACCACATTCTCCACATGACTCCCTTGCTCAGGTGACCAGGGAACAGAAATCCCTCACGCACGCTTGTCTCTTTCCATCACAGCAATATAACCTGGTGAATGCAATCGAGGCTGCCGATGCTTACACAGTGTTTGCTCCAAACAACGACGCCATTGAGAATTACATCCGGCAAAAGAAGGTCACCACTCTAGTAGGTATCGGGAACGAGAAGCAGGGAAATCAGTTTCTGGAAATTCAGACGCTCGACATTTGATAAACTCCCTTTCCATAGCCAGATACTTACTATAAAGCTCTGATACACACTCCTCCCCCATATGCATGCGGAGCTGCCCACTTGCTGTATTTAGTTTCCACCCCTGGAAGCACAGATTTGGGCCCCAGGACCTGGATGTGTATCCACAGGACACAAGTGTTCACGTGTCCCAAGCCAGTACTGGGAGTGAAGGGGCCCAGTGCAGGGACACCTCCTCACTCCTCGGGATCGGCCAGCTGCCAGCAGTCCCTGGCAAGAGATTGTTCAGGCCTGAGTGATACCCCAGTGACAGGCCACTCTCTCTGCAGGGGATACAGATCAAGCTCTTTCATTTTTTTAAATATATTTTTATTGATTTCAGAGAGAAAGAGAGAGAGAGAGAGAGAGAGAGAGAGAGAGAGAGAGAGAGAGAAATATCAGTGATGAGAGATAATCATTGATCAGCTGCCTCCTGCACACCCCACACTGGGAATCGAGCCTGCAACCAGGGCATGTGCCCTGACTGGGAATAGAACCATAACCTCCTGATTCAGAGCCATGCCAGCTGGGCAGATAAAGCTCTTTAAAACATCCCATCAGCCTTCCTGTCATGACCTCTGACATGAAAGGTAGGCTGGGGGGTGGAGACCCTCTCTTCCCAGCAGTTCTTTAAAAAAAAATTATCCTTAAAATCCTCTCCCAACCTTCCATGCCCTCATTCTGGGTTTTAGAATCACCTGATGAGTTGTTGAGCATCGCAGGTGGAAAACTTGCACTTTCTCCAAGGCGATCTGTCTCAGATTTAATATTTAATGTCTATTGTGCCCTGTTGCCTGGGTCAAAACCTCCGGTTCAACAAGCTGTTGCCCCTGCAATGCCCACAGTGCCCGACACATCGGAGTAGATGACGTGGTAAGTGACTGGGGACTGGCTGGCCTATTGCAATTCTGTGTGTTGCCCAGGAGGAAGACATTCTCAGGTACCACGTGGTCTTGGAGGAGAAACTGCTGAAGAATGACCTGCACAACGGCATGCACCGGGAGTCCATGCTGGGCTTCTCCTACCTCCTCGGCTTCTTTCTCCGCAATGACCAGGTGAGGGCCTTTCCCTCCAGACCTTGGAGTGGGTGTCTTAGCTCCTGTCACCTGTCATCCCTTCCATACTGGACTCACTAGGGCTTCCTTTTTTTTTTAATTGATTTCAGAGAGGACTGGAGAGGGAGAGAGAGAGAGAGAAACATCAATGATGAGAGAAAAATGATTAGCTTCCTCCTGTACACCCCCCACTGGGGATCAAGCCTGCAAGCCAGGCAGGTGCCCTAGACCGGAATTGAACCTGGGCCAGTCCACAGGCCAACGCTCTATTCACTCAGCCAAACTGGCTAGGGCACTCACAGAGTTTCCTAAACCTTATCAACAAAAGACAGTGGTCTGTGTTTCCCCGTAAAGGAATGACTATGCCAGACTGTCAGGCTCCCACTCACTGTGCCTGCCCCCAGCCTTCAGCTAACCAGTGTGGCTGACTAATCACAGTCCTGGAATCCCAGCAGTCACAGGTGCCCTGCAGTACTGACTCCTGTCAAACCCAGCAGACACTCCCCAAGCAATCTCCCAGGTAGAAGGGAACCTGCCAGAAAAACCTAGTTCCCAGGAGGTGGCACCGGCTCCTGGCCATAACGAGCCTAATGACATAAGCAGGATGAGTTAACATTATCATTGCTTGACTATAGAGACTGTGGTCCTAGGACTAATTGACCTCCACACCGGTATTTCAGTATTTATCTCACAAAACTACTAAGTATTTAAGTGTTTAGAATTCATTTTTAAAAAGAATTAATGAGACTAACTAATATATTTCAAGTATAAAAATCTCATTCACATATTTCAAACATCAAGTAAGATCAATCAAGCACCAAAGTAAGAAAAGTCAACAAGAAACTCACAACGTTACTCAAGTATAGATTCTCATGAGAAAAAAATAATAAAAACAAAATTGTTAAGACAATTTATTTTATTATTTTTATTAAGCACTAAATTAAAATAAAGGTTAATCATTGGCCAAGCTCCACAGAGGTATTCCAGGACCTGTGTAAACTGGAAAAAGCAGTGGGAAACCTTACCGATGGTGTCAAATTGTGATTATAACACACATTTCTAAAACTGCAAGATGCCGAGCTATTTTAAAATATCAAAATGGCAGAACTCCTGATGCTATGATACTGTTGATTTGACATTGAAAAGTGAATAATATGCATAGCCCATGGACATAGACAACAGTGTGGTGAAGACCTGGAGGGGTCAGAGGTGAAAGGGGTCAATCAATAGTATTATTTGCTTCTCTTTAAAAAGGGCAGTCTTACAAACACTCTTCTCAGTGGTATCATCATTGAATCACAAGTGAATTTTGTGTACATATTTTTTAATCTGCTTGGGTAGAGAGAATTTTTCTGACTCGTTATTACTTAAGGAATAATCAATCTTCAAATATTTTTCTCTGACTCCTACAAACATCTCGCCTATTGTGTAATAACTTTGAGGAGATCCTTTTAAATACATTTTCTTATTTTTTTTTCAGGAAAAGCAATTTTTATAATTAAAGAACCTACTTTTTTATCTATGTCATCTTTTACTTCATCATGTAGAATGACTTCTAGCACCATTAATTGAATCAATTTCAATGTTGTCATGTTTATTCCCCATTTATTCAGATCTTAAAACAGAGGTTTTATCTCACAATAAACAACTGGTTCTATCTTATAATCGAGGTTTTACTTTTATTGATAACTCACTTTCTCTTAGGACAATGTAGATGCAGAAAAATGTTCTCTACCTGAGTAAAGTTGTGTCCAAATCAAAATTTGAATGTAACACAAAATTCCCTGGATGTATCACAATGAAAATTATGAGTCAGTGGAAGTTCAAATGTAAACACTTAATAGAGTCATTTTAATATCACTTCTACGAGGAGTTTGGGCGATGTTATTAAGCATTTGTAAGCTCTTATTGGATATGAACTTGACATTTGCTTAGTACAATAAAAAATTGCCTGTTTTCCCAACCTCAGATCTACCACATCTACACACCACACAGACATGTACACACACCACGCCAATTTTTCAAAGAACCATTTGTTTCCAATTATATTACTTATTTTAATGAATGAATTAATAGATTCACTTATTTTTGTTCATCAATCATTAAGGGATCCTCTCCTTTAAAAAAATCAGAAGAAAACAAATTTCAAGCTCAAGTTGAATTTGAGTTGGCAACATATAGGTACTGACTTTAGTACCCATGTTTGGATGCTTATGAACACACTAAGCAAAGATGGATGCAAACATTCCATAAACTCCAAAAAAACCCCAAGGGAAACACTGGGTAATGCTGACCTCCAAGCAGTCTCCACACACTGGGAAATGATGCTTTTTACAAAAGAGAACATTGAGATTCAGAGAGGAAACGCAACTGGCCCAAGGTCACATGGCTCGGTGACCAGATGCAGGACTGTTCTCAGACTCCTAGGCCAGAGCTCTTCCCACTCCAGCGTGCTGCCTTTGGGGTGAATATTGGAATACCTTTTAGGCTGATGTCATATTGATATCCTCCCAGAGCTCTTCCCACTCCAGCGTGCTGCCTTTGGGGTGAATATTGGAATACCTTTTAGGCTGATGTAATATTGATATCCTCCAATCCCCATCTCCCTTACTCCCCTTAAAGTCACTACAATAAGAAATTTACATTTGGCCCTCTTGTTCACAGCTCTACGTAAATGATGCTCCGATAAACTACACCAATGTAGCCACTGACAAGGGAGTGATCCATGGCTTGGGGAAAGTTCTGGAAATTCAGAAGAATCGATGTGATAATAACGACACCACTATTGTACGAGTAAGTTATATGCAAGGCTAACGATGCAGCTAGAGTGTTGTGGGGGTTTTTAAGCATAAGATTCATCTATTAGGATATCTCAATTCAGTTCAAAACACACTGAGTGAGCCTCTCTGATGTACATAGGAACGTACCCAGCTGCGGTTCTACAAAGATTAGGAAGACATGACCTCTGCCCTCGGTGGGCTCACAATCTAGTGCAGTGAGCTGTACCTTGGATGCCTGGGAGAGGCTACCTGGAGGGTTGTGTTGAGCAGGATTTTGAAGCCATGGTCTTCTTCAAAGGGAAAATGTGTCATGCCTGCCATAGGCACAGGGAGGGGACTGTGGTACTTGGCAGGTACTGGCCACGCCTGGTCTACAAGGAGAGAAAATATGGAAGTGGATTATTCAGTATTGGAGACTTCTCACTCCAGTCCATTGGATGGCGTAGCATCTTTCAGTAATAGTAACAGCTGCTGACATTTATTGGGCACGTATGTACCAGGCCCTGCTCCAAACATTTTACATGTATTAACCCGCAGAATTCGCACAGCACCCTACAGAGTGCGTGCTATTACTGTCCCCATTTTACTGATGGGGAAATGAGCCACAGAGAAGCTAAGTCACGCACCAGGTTCACAGAAATAACAGAAGGCAGAGAAGGTGTTCATATCCAGGCAGTGTGGCCCCAGAGCCCGGGCTGCACACTGTACTCTCTGGTGGGGGCTGAGCGAGAGCTGGGCACACTGACCTCCTCATGTTTTAGGAACATGTCACACTTAAGAGTCTGTCATTCTTAAGTTGTGCCCTATGTTTCATAATCGTGTGTATATTATCTCCACCCTGATCCCTCACCTGGACTCCCAAGGCTGGGCACCGAATCTGGCCCAATTCACTAAACCATGGGTTACCAATAAGTGAGGGTTGTTGTTAAAGAAATTCAGATTCAAATGAGATAAGACCTCCACACCTTAAAGGGTTATTAGCATCAGAAGAATATGGTGGGGGAAAAGCGATGATCAAATAACCAAGACCTGGAGTAGTTCAAGTGCTTGTCTCTGAGAATATTAAAGAGGCTGACCAGAGGAGTTTCCCTCATATCTTTCTGATTTTCAGTTCTATATCCTAAAACCCTCACCTCTTAGGTCTGGGAAATATTTGTAGCCTCGTTTTGCACTAAAAGCAATAACCATGAACTGTTCTCTTTGCCTCTGTGTTCTGTCAAGGGAAAGTGTGGGAAGTGTCCCCAGCAACCCATCTGCCCACTTGGAAGTAAACCGCTAGTGAGTATTTTTCCTGCTCTGATAAAGTCGTTTCTGATCCCAGCAAGATCCAAATTAGAACATGACTCCCAAGCATCCTCCATTGTTCACTTCCTTCATTCCTTCATTGTTGTACACATCTTTCTAAATCCTTGAGTCCAAATTTTAATTAATAAATAAATAGAGACAGGGGTTCATCTCAACCAATGCACAACGCAGAGAGAGAGATTTCTCACTTTCTACCATTATATATTCCGGGAGCCAGAGGAGGCCAGGAGCAAGACAGCTTATCCGCAAAGGCAGCTTCCATATCCAAAACCAAATCCAGCCCAGATGAGCTCCCCCTGCCAGAGTTCCCTTTACAGCTGGAGATACAACTAATTTTCTCTAAGGAACAGATGGCGAACTTGGGGGAAGTAGGCCTGTCTTTGAATCAACTACCAACCTGTGATTCTCATAGCTCTTTACTGTAAAAGCGAATTTTTTTATTTATTTATTTATTTTTTACAGAGAGGAAGGGAGAGGGATAGAAAATTAGAAACATCGATGAGAGAGAAACATCAATCAGCTGCCTCTTGCACACCCCCTCCTGGGGATGTGCCCCCAACCAAGGTACATGCCCTTGACCAGAATCGAACCTGGGACCCTTCAGTCCGCAGGCCGACGCTCTATCCACTGAGCAAAACCGGTTAGGGCGTAAAAGCGAATTTTGATCACGCTCCAACCGTTAGAAAGAATGGACACCCATGCACCTTCCAGGGCACGGTAATAATCATTTATAACAGACACGATGCTGATTCTCTCACTTGAGTCTTAATGTAATATTTTTGTATGATAGTTCTTAGTAAGAAGCCTGAATCCATTCTCAGACCAAGGAAGCATAGAAATCAATAAGTAGATAGAAATCAAGGCTCAGATCAACCGATGCGTAGTGCTGGTAGGACATTTTTGTCTGGCTTACTCTGTGATTCTTGCTAGCTTGCGTTAGTTCTTTTCACAGAGTACTACCCAGCAGTGTAACTCCTTGGGTTTTGCCACCTGGTGTTGTGGCAGCCAACGTTGTTTGAGTGCCTTCTTTCTTGTGAAGCAGCTCTGAACACCGATCCTGTCCCTTCCCAGAGCATTTCAGTCACAGAGACAGCCATGTGTCACCCACCTTCTTCTTTCAGAGACTGGAAAACATTTGCCTAACTAACATGCTGATATAATCATTGCTATTTCATAGGGCAGCCAGATAAGGAAATGTATCTATACCATTTATTTCATGGGCAAGCGATCTGTGTTCATTGGGTGCCAGCCAAATTGTGTGAAAACTGTCATTGTGAGTATCACGGTTTAACCATTCTTCTAATTATAGCAGTAGCATTTGGAAATTTAATCATGTTATATTTCTCTTTATTTTTTAAATACATTTTTATTGATTTCAGAGAGGAAGTGGGAGGGAGAGAGAGATATAACCATCAATGATGAGAGAGAATCTTTGATCGGCTGAATCCTGCACTCCCCACACTGGGGGGTCAAGTGCCCTGATCGGGAATCAAACCCAACCCATGACCTCCTGGTTCATAGGTTGACATTCAACCACTGAGCCACACCGGCCAGGCAACATTATTCTTTACTTAGTCCCTGCTGCCCTCCTTCTCTCTCACTTTGCTCCTTCCTCTTCTCTTATGCCTGTTTCCTTTCCCTCTTTCCTCCCTCCTTGGCAGAGGCCTCTGTCTGTTCCTGGCACCCCTGGAAATTGCTTAAGCTCCCTAGTTCTCAGGGGTTCTTACAACCCCTCGTGGTGGGGTCCAAGCTCAGGGCACTCAGCCAGCCCGACCACGGGATTCTGCACTGTCGCTGGACAAAACCAGGAGATGGACATGGAGACCCAGCCTCGGCTTCTCATTTCAGACCAGAGAATGCTGTGCGGGCTTCTTCGGCCCCCAGTGCCAGCCCTGCCCCGGGAAAGCCGAGAACGTCTGCTTTGGAAATGGCATCTGCCTGGACGGGATGAACGGCACGGGCGTGTGCGAGTGTGGAGAGGGCTTCAACGGCACAGCCTGCGAGACCTGCACGGAGGGCAAGTACGGCGTCCACTGTGACCAAGGTGCGTAGCCCTCTCCTCCAGGTCCAAATGCCAGAGGAGGGGACCTCGGCTGTCTCCCAGGCAGCTGGATCCTACCTCTCAGATCCTGTGATTATAAGGTCCTTTGTGTTGTGTAGTTTGCATAGGCCAGTGTTCCCCAACATTTTCAGTCACTAGATCTACCAACCCACCCCACCCCCGTCTGTTCATTGGCACTCCCCATCCTCACGGTCTTCATAGTCACACGCTCAGTTTTGGACAGTGCTTGATAGTTTGAAAGGTAGATTTGTGCACATTATCTCATTTAATCCACACAGGAACCTTATATACTTAGGTATGGCCATGCCCATTTCACAGAGGAGGATATTAAGGCAAAGAGGTTGAATGACTTCCTTCAAGGTCACACCTGAAAGAGGCAGAACTGAGATTTGAATGCACAGTGCTTGACTCCAAGGCTCTGCTCTTGGATGATGTTGTCTTTATATGAAGATCACGCTATTGATTCACCCTCAGGAAGCCACTTGCTTTAATTTGTTTTCACACACACACAAATTTGCCCCTTTGAACCAAGTCATCTGCATTCTCTCACCCTGACATTCTTGTGCCCAGCGATACACACTTGATTGACTTGGGCGGAGAGGTTTCCTAATGCATGATGAGAACACAAAGCACTTCTTTTCCCTTGCACTAGAAAACACAAATTTGGCCTGACTAACACTCTTTTATCATCAGCTGGTCCAAGAAAGGCAAAACCAATATGTAGCTGCCTCATCATGACTGGGCCACATAATATAGAATTGACATTACAGTGCTGCTTTTTTCTATGGTATATGGAAGATTGTCTGCTTGGGTTTGTGCAGGAGTTCCCAACCTGGGACCCATAGTGACCCTCATGGGCTGAGTGCTTTTCCCTGGGGAGGGCATCCCTAGCCTTCATCCAGTTCTCAAAGACACTCATGATGCTGCCGTGTGACAAAGGGATCAGCCTTTCCATGGTGTTGAAGAGGGCAGTGCCTCACCAGGTTTATATAAATTCCATATCAAATGGGCTTCTTTTAAAGCCCACTCTCAGGGACCCCCAGGGACCCCCCCATAACCTTGGATCCTCAGATAACCTCGGCTAAGGACACCTCCACTGCTTGGGTGGCTGCCCCACATGCTCCACAGTCCCCAAATTGTGGTTCGTGCTGGGCCTGACCTGATGCACCTGTTCGCCCGCTCAGTTCTACCTGCCCTTCCTGTGCGTGCAGCCTCCGTTAAAGATGGCGGTTCTCTAAAACTGGGTGCAGGTGCAGTGCACTGTCGTGAGCCTTTGCAGTAAGTGGCCAGTGAGTTACTGAGCACAGCTCGGAGGTCTGACGATGTGCGGGCGTTTCTCACCTAGCGTGTGCTTGTGTACATGGGAGATGCAGCCAAGGGCCCGCGGGCGACGGCTCCTGCGAATGCGACGTTGGCTGGCGAGGAGTGAAATGTGACTTTGGTAAGTGCCAGCCCCTCCCTACTTACGATCCCTTCTCAGCCTCCCTTCTCAGCAGCTACGTGTTTGTTTTTTCTTTCCAAAACGGAAGGGACATCTTTATTTCTTCCTTGAGCAATAAAAGTAATTCCTCCTTGTAGCAAAATGTTTATAAAATAAAGAAAAACAGAAAGAAGAAAATAAAACTCACTCATACTCCCAAGGCAGGAAAAAGCTATCATTGATATTTTGTATTATCCTCCCAACATTCTTATAGGCACGGAAATTGTGTGTACAGCGCCGTACTCTACACACTGTTTTGTAGTCCACATTTTCACTTCCCAATGTATAATAGATATCTTCCCATGTGAATAAATGTAGTAAATATCATTATTTTCTTAACTTTTATAATATACTATTATACGATAATACCAATTTTCTGCTATCATACACAATGCTGCAATGAGCATCTCCTACATACCAGTACATCTTTGTACATCTTTTTGCATTTGTCTTCGCCCTCCCTCCTGCTCCTCCTCTCACCAGTAGTCTTGTCATACGACTTGTTATTTCCCTCCACTCCACACTCCACGTTGCTGCCAGAGAGAACTATCTGAAACATAGATGTCTTAGTCTGTTCAGGCTGCTACAGCGAAGTCTCAGAGATGGGGCAGCTTATAGACAGACATTGATATCGCCCAGTTCTGGATGCTGGAAGTTCAAGTTCATGCTGGATGCTGGAAGTTCAAGTTCATGGTCGGGTCCTGATGAAGGCCCTCTCCTGGGTTGCAGACTGCCATTTCTCTGGGGTCTCTTTCATGAGGGACTAATCCTCATGACCTAATCATCTCCCAGGGACCCCACCTCCATGTACCGTCACCTGGGGATTAGTCTCAGCATGAGACCGGGGGAGGCACAAGCACTCCGTCTGCATGGTCCCGCAGTTTTTACATAGGAAACATGATGCGTATCATTTACTACAGGAGAGTAAATCTTTTCCTAGCACCAAGCACTAACTGAAAGGTCTTGAGGGAGGTTTAATAAAAGAGGGCTGGCAAAGCAATTGTTTGAGTTTGGTTTTTTGTTTGTGTGTGTGTGTTTTTCAGAGATCACAAAGGACAACTGCAACGGGACCTGCCACACCAGCGCCAAGTAGGTACCCTCTGGGCCTCCCCTGGGGATGATGCCAAGGGGATTCTTTCTTAAGAGTGTACATCCCAGGCCCTATCCTCAGGGGAGTATTTTCCTGAGACCGTTTCTGAGAATTTAGGACACATTTAGTATGAAACTAGAAGTATTTCTGAAGAGGCCGCCATCCACTTGCCAGAGGCAGCCTTTGAAACAAGCTGCCAGCTGAGTTACCTGGCACATTGGCAAAATGCCCGTCGTTGCCCCCAGTTCAAGCCGCAAGGACACCTTCACAGAGGCCGAGGGCAGCCCAGTGGGCCTCTCGCTTTCATCAAAGCTTATTCCCAACCCACAGCCAAGATCTGCTTCTTCCCTCTTAGACTTCATGCTCCTAACTCCCAGTCGGGCTTAATGGGTTAATGAATGACGAGCCTCATAGTTGGAGTTAGGCATGAATTCAAATCAGCCTCTGTCATTGACCTTGACTCAATGATTTGATGCCTCTAAGCCTCAGTTTCTTCATCTGTAAATGGGAATAATTACACCTACTCGTCAGGGCTACTGGATATTGTGTAAGTGACATGAAGTCATGCATGAAGCACAGCCCCTAACACACAGGTAACTTTCTGAAGATGGGTAGCCCATCCCCCATTCCAGGGCCCATGCCCACATACACATTCTAGTTTGCCTAATAATGATAGCAATTTTAGTGGCCAAGCTAGTAAGGGACTTTGTCCCTGAGCCCTTAGGCAGGACCTTTGAGGGCCTCCTAGGGTGGGAGGGGGGTGGGGCTTGCTGGCCACATAGTGGGTGGGTATTATGTGTTTTTCTACAAACAGCCTTTGCCCTTTCTCCTGGCAGCTGCCTTCCCAATCCGGATGGCACAGCCACGTGCAAATGCGCGGCAGGATTCCAGGGAAAATGGGACAGTCTGCACAGGCAAGTGAAGAAGGAAGAATTTGCTCCGGGGAGATAAGACCAGCAAGAGCCTTGGACCCGCAACTGGCGGGACACAGGAGTGGGGCAGAAAGGGTCTGGGCCCCACTTGGTTCTTCCTCCTACTCCTGTGTGGCCTTGGGTGGGTGTCTTCCCTGCTCTGAGCCCCCTTAGCTCATTGTAAAGGAAACAAAACTGTCTCTCTTGCAGAGTTGGTTTGGGGATGAAATGACCTGTCTGTGTACAATGACAGAATGATGCAGCTCTATTCTAGAAAGTTCCCTCTATTCTTAGTCTGTTGAGTATTTTTATCATGAAAGGTGTTGAATTTTGTCAAATCCTTTTTGCTCCTCCTATTGAGATGATCATGTAGTTTTTGCTTTAATTCTTCTGAAATGCTGGATTACATTAATTGATTTTTGGACGTTAAACCACATTGTGTTTCCAATGTAACTCCCACTTGCTTATGGTGTAGAGTAGCCCTCCCCCCTTTATTCACAGTTTTATTTCCCAGTTTCAGTTACCTGTGGTCAGCCACAGTCTGCAAATAGTAGATGGGAAATTCCAGGTATTTTGGGAGAGAGAGAGATCACATTCACATAACTTTTATTAGAGTACATTGTTATAATTGCTCTATTTTATTAGTTATTATTGTTAATCTCTTACTTGCCTAATTTATAAATTAAACTGTATCATAGGTATGTATGTATAGGAAAAAAGACTATTCATAGGGTTTGATATTACCCACAGTTTCAGCCATCCACTGGGAGTCTTGGAACATATCCCCATGAATAAGGGGGACGGTTGTATAATCCTTTTTAAGCATTGCTGGATTTGACTTGTGGGTATGTTCTTGAGGATTTTTTGTGTTTATACTTATAAAGAATATTGGTTTTGCCAAAACTGGTTTGGTTCAGTGGATGGAGCGTCGGCCTGCGGACTGAAGGGTCCCAGGTTCGGTTCCAGTCAAGGGCATGTACCTGGGTTGCGGGCACATCCCCGGTAGGGGGTGTGCAGGAGGCGGCTGGTCGATGTTTCTCTCTCATCGATGTTTCTAACTCTCTCTCTCTCTCCCTTCCTCTCTGTAAAAAATCAATAAAATATATTTTTTAAAAAAAAGAAAGAATATTGGTTTTTCATTTTCTTGTGATGGCTTTATCAGGCCTCATAAAAATGAATTGGGAAGTCTTCCCTTCTCTTCTAGTTTTTGGAAGAGTTGGTGAAAAGTTGGTATTTATTCTTCTTTTAGTGTTTGGTAGACTTCACCAGTGAAGATATTTGATGCTTTGCATCCTTTTGAATCATCCATATTTGATCTAATGTCTGCCGTTCTGAAGTATTTCCATTTCTCAATGACAAGTAAAAGTGCATTAATGGTTTTTCCCCCTCTCCCCACCATTCTCTGCTCTGTGTCATCTCTCACTTCCACAGCAATCAATGCCTGTGAGATCAGCAATGGAGGTTGCTCTGCCAAGGCTGACTGTAAAAGAACCACCCCAGGAAGACGAGTGTGCGTGTGCAAGGCAGGCTACATGGGCGATGGCATTGTATGCCTAGGTACGTACCATCCCTCATCCGTCCAGGGGCAGTGGTTTAAGAGTCAGAGCCCTGTGATAGGATCCTGATGTGTGGACGATGTTGGACCATCTTTCAGTTTCTCTGGGCAGGAAGGTCTGAAGATGAGGAAATGTGACCACTGAGAATAAGCGATATATATATTCTATTGCCTTTATCCTTAAATACTTGAGTGTATTTGAGAATAAGGATCGACTCTTACATAACTACAGCAATTATTAGCTTCAATATATATATACTTTTGTCTAATTACCATTTGTATTCTAAGTTTATCAACTGACCCAATAATGTCCTTTTCTGACACTTTTTCCTCCTACTGCAGGATCCAGACTAAGGTTGGGAACTGCATGTAGTTATCATGTTTCTAGTCTCCTTTGACCTGTAATGGTTCCTCAGCCTTGCTTTGTCTTTGATGACATTGACATTTTGGAATATTGTTCACCACTCAACTTTTTTTTTCTAGCATGTCCTTCCTTTGGGGTTTTTCTGATGATTTTTCATAATTATATTCAGATTCTGCAATCCAGGCTCACTATCACACTAGCAACATTGCATCCTTCTCAGAGTATCACACTGGAAGCTTGTGATTTCCAACTGCCTCTTGTTTGTGGTGTTAATTTTGACCACTGGTCAAGGGGTCAAGGTGCTGTCTGACGTCTCCACTGGTACGGCTACCTTTTCCCCTTTGCTGCTAATAAGCAATCAGTGGGGAGACGCTTTAACACCAAGCAAATCCCCTGCTCCTCATGGAAATATAACCTAAAATTAGCATCTACTGAAGACTCTCACCTGAACCAATTATATTATGATGATTGCAGTGACTTTTTTAATTCCTAAATCATTCATAGCCTGTTGGACTGGACTCTAGGATCCTATTATTTCAAGTCCTTGGCTGAAAACGCTTAGATTCATTCAGCAGAGGGGAGATCCACGCCCACAGACTATGCCTGTGCTCCCACGGCCCCACCCCAGAGAGTCGCTTTGAGAACCTGTGTTTGGTAGGCTCCCTGTCCGGTCACTGCTGCCTCAGAGTTGTCAGAAAACTGAATCACATTTTGATTCAGTCAATTAGCCATCTTGGCTGGCCCAAGATGCCTTTCCTTGAGAATCAGGTTCAATCCTCATGCCAGGTGTCGGCTTTTTGTTTTGAAGAGATCAACCCATGTCTGGAGAACCACGGTGGCTGTCACAGGCACGCAGAGTGCACACATACGGGACCCAACCAGGTGAGCTCCCGCCTACCGGAGGGGCTAGGGGTCTTTAAGACCCAAGACTGAGAGAAGGGGGCTGAGCAGAGACCTTGGCAGAAAACAAATACTTTAAGGGAAATTCTGAAAGCATTCAAAAGAGGCCATTCTTGGGGAAGGAGGAGAAGTGGGAAGGGAGACAAAGGGTACTTAGGAGAGAGGCTTTCCTAGAGTGGGGGGGAGTCGGCTTCTCCATATTCTGTGTGGTTCCAGAAGCATCTAGAAGGTCTCCAACAACATCTCCCTTTCTTTCAGCTTTCTGATTCCCAGAATCCCACAGTTTTTCTTTGGCTTGAGGCTCTGAAATGCATGCACCACAGCGAAAGCTAACATTTTTAGGCCATATGTCAGCCTTCTGTTCCCTAACATAGTGCTCAGGAACCCAAGCTCCGCCTCCCTCAGTCTCTGTCACATTAGGAACAGCCCAGTGGTCAGCAGGAGATTACATACATCAGAAACTGGACGATGAGGTCAGGTTCCCCGGGGAATGATCTACTGACCTTGTTGAGCCGTTTGAAGAACTCTGTGCCAGGTTTACCCATGGGCAGATGAAGCAAGCGCCTAAAGCACCCAAAAATGAGAAAAATACTATTTATTTTGAAAGAATCATCTCTGTGTGTGTTTCTATGTATAGTCACTGGGAAAACCAGAACAGTCAATATTGGTCCACCTTATACATCTTTTGGGATTCGATAGAGCTCTTATTTCTCTATATGGAATGGGGAAAACCTATAACTTTTTGGTGCTCTGGGCCTCTAAAACCCCTCCTCTGACCTAGATGCAGGGTTGATCTCTGAACAGGAGGGCTGGCTGGTAGGCATCTTGGTAAAGGTTGGAGCCCATGTCAGGGCCTGTAATGAAGTTGAGGAGGAGGAGCAGTGAAAACCAACCCTTTGGTCCTGGCTGGCCGACCAATGAGTTCAAGTTCTAACAAGTAGACGCCAGACCAGAGCCACCTCTCCTGTGTAGGAGGCTTTCATGTGAATTAGAAAAGCCATCCCTTAGGGGGACCCACCAGGGGCAGGTACCCCTTCTTGTGGACACACAGGTTGGTAAATAGAATGGAGCTGGGTTTCAGCCCCACTCACCCGTGTGCCCAGGAGCTCCTGAGCAAGGCGGGACACAGGGGTGAACTAGACAGTCCCCAACTTCCCGTAGACATTGTCCACTCCCTCATCTTGAAGTGCCCAACCGACTTCATTGGTCAAACATAGGAGTGACTGATTATTTCCCCGTGTACAACTGATTTGACTGCAGAGCCATCCCCCGGCACCTCCTAGTGCTGGTGCCCGGGTGGCCGAGCCCGGAGGGAGATGAGCAAGAACTGAGTATGAATGGGAGTGGGCGAGAGCTTAGCTTCCTTGCAACTGAGCCTCTACCCACCGGAGAGAGAAAAGAGCTGAGTGCCCAGAACAAGGGACCAAATAATGTAACAGTTTTTAAAAAAAAAAAATAATGTCTCTTGGTAGCAAAGATAAGATGGGTAGGCGACCCCAGTGCTAGAGAGAAGTGTGTCAAAGGTGCTAAAATGGACGATGACAGTTATCATTATAGAATAAGTCTCACCAAGATAGAATCTTCTAACATTACCATTACCCATTACCACTACCGCTATGGGGTCCCGGTGTGAGAGCCAGCGGAGTCCCTCTGAGAAATGGCCCATGTCCCTCTCCTCCTGTACAGGCCGTCTGCAACTGTTTGCCAAGATACACTGGGGATGGGAAGGTCTGCACGCTCATCAACACCTGCTTAAATGTGAGTCTAGCTCTGGGGCCCAGGCCCTCCGAGGTTAGGCGGGGGTGCCTCCTACCCCGCTTCTAGGAGATGGGTGTTGGGGTGATCTCCTCTGAGCTGCTTTGGGCTTGAGGCTCTTTTCTCCCTCATGTTCCAGAGGTTTGTTGGGGAAACTCTGGTTTCAGCACGATGGACATTTGGTCAATGAGCATTCCCTAGACACCAGGCACCAGTTAGGCACTGGGAAGTCACTGTGAGTTCAGGCTCAGGCAGGTGGTGAACCACAGAATTTCAGAGAGAGGAAGGGAGAGGGAGAGGGAGACATAGAAACATCAATGATGAGAGAGAATCATGGACTGGCTGCCTCCTGCACACCCCATACTGGGGATTGAGGCTGCAACCTGGGCATGTGCCCTGACAGGGATTTGAACCATGACTCCTGGTTCATCGGTTCACACTCAACCACTGAGCCACACTGTATAGGCAGGAGTCAGTTTTCTTAAGCAGCTCACTGAGCTGTGTCCGTGAGGCAGGAATCTGGGTGGTAGGTCACTCCACAAATACTTTTGGAATGGGGATTGGGAGGGGAGATTTTGCAGCTGGCCTTGAAGACTGGTGACCTTCTCTGGATTTGTTTCTCTGGAGCTTTCCATTTTTCCCCCTCTTGGGAACTCTGCTTAGTCTCTCAGAGCCCTTCTTGGCGTTCCCATGGATGTCAGCTTTGGACTGCACTTTGCTTTGTCCATATCTTAGGTCTCTGCCCCATCCTCCTCAGTTTATAAGCTCTTTGCCAACAAGGACAATGTTTGGCATCATTTTATACCTACTTCCTTCTGGCTGGTGACTGCTACCTTTGCTATGGTGGGATCGGAGTTTAACCTAAAGATGGGAGGAGTCAACCAAGATCGGGGCCTTTCTAGTTAAGCCCCAGGTGCCGAGAAATTCCCACTGGGCAATTGTGGGCTTATCAATATAGAGCTGGAGGCCTGCTCAGATGGACCTGCCACTTTGGAATACAAGGCTGGGGAGGAAGGCAGCCTCTACAACTGTAGGGGATTGGAAGGCAAGGTCAGAAAAGGGGCAGATATTGCAAACCAGTCAGGGAGGAGGCAACAAATAAACTTCAATACAGAAGTGCTTTGTGAACATTGGCACAGCTGGCAGACTTCCTGATCTGACTCTGATCCCCCACCCCTTGGAAATTTTACCAGAGAAACGGCGGCTGTAGTGCATTTGCCATCTGCAACCACACGGGAGAAGAAGAGAGGACCTGTACTTGCAAGCCGAACTACATTGGGGACGGGTTCACCTGCCGCGGCAACATCCATCAGGTAACGCAAGGCATGTTCCGTGAAGTCAACTCTGCTTCCCTCAATGCGCCGAGGTCCCGGTTGCTAAGGGACATGCAGGGTATAACGTGGGGAGCTCTCGAACCACGGGAATGACTGTCTTGACATTAACTGGCAGTGAAAACAAATGTGATCTATCCATGGGAACTCATTTGACCTGGAATGTAGTGATTCAGATGGACGGTTCTAGAGTCAGAAGCATCTGGGTTTGGATTCAGCTCTGCCGGTTGGTAATGTGACTTTGGGCAGATTACATCACCTCTCCGTGCATTCGTTTTCCAATGTGTAAAAGAAAATAATCGTACCGGTCGCATCAGGTTGTTGTAAGTATTAAATGAGATGATGTGTGCAACAGGCACAGAGAACACAGTGACTCAGAGGCATGAGCATGCTGCACTGGGCGTGGAGATGAGGCGTAGGACATTTGTAGATTTCTACCTGTTATAATGTGAACATCTGTTATTTGATTTATAGACAGGCTAGAGTCGTGGTCGGCAAATCGCGGATCGCGAGCCACATGCGGCTCTTTGGCCCCTTGAGTGTGGCTCTTCCACAAAATACCACGTACAGTGCGGTTGAAACTTCGTGGCTCATGCGCAGAAGTCAGTATTTTGTGGAAGAGCCGGTATTTTGTGGAAGAGCCACACTGAAGGGGCCAAAGATCTGCCATAAATCTAGAACTCATTTTTTAAAGATACTTGAGCTTTAACACACAAAAAGAGACCCCAGGGACATACACACAGAAGAAAGGCCATGTGAGAGCACAGTAAGAAGGCCACAGTGATCTGCAAGCCTTTTAAAGATACTTGAGCTTTAACACACAAAAAGAGACCCCAGGGACATACACACAGCCTCCAGAACTGTGAAGAAAATAAATGTCTGTTGTTGAAAAAATAATAATAAAAATATTTGAACTTTTAAAAAATACTCCTAAAGCTCAGATGTTTCTGGAAATGGCTGAATCAGGTAGAGACTCCAGAAAAGTCTTGGAACTCAACAGTGTGTCCACATAGTCATTCCGAACATCAGCTGTAGGTGGAGCTGGAAAAGGGCCCATGGTAGCACAGTCCCAGCTGAAAGGATGGTAGACGCTCTTGATCTTAGAGAAACTGCCCTGCAATAACCCTGTGTTGTTCTTGTGTATAGTTCACAGACACTGAGTGAACTGCCCTCTCTCTGTTTCCAGGAGCTTCCCAGGAACCCCAAAACTTCCCAGTATTTCTTCCAGCTGCTGGTAAGAATGTGTGTGTGTGTGTGGCTGTAAGAGCTCAGTCTCAGGCCAGATACAGGATAAGCCTATAGCCTCTGGAGTGGGTGCGGGTAGAAAAAAGTCTGGAAACCTGGATTTCTGGAGGGGACTCTGTGTTGGTCATTTATGAACTTTTCATGCCTCAGGTGGGCAGCATGAAAGAGTGAAAAACTGTCACACTGGCCCGTTCTACACATAAAAATGAGGTATATGAAAAAATTGCCATCATACTGTGGAGAAAAGAAGCATTGCTGGGGCAACTGGTTAACTCTTTGGGTGAACATATTATGGTAGATCTTTCTGCACATTATACATCTGAATAAGTTCTAGATATGTTAATAATAAAAGATAAAAATCCAGAGAAATAAAATCATAAAATCTAGAAGAAAATATAACCATAGGATGTTAGTACTGGCAACAAGACCATTAGAACCGTTCATCCTATGATCTACATTTGTATTATGTCCCAAATATGTAAAACATTTACATGTGGAAGAGACACTGGAAAAGAATACCTGAAAATAGCAGGGGATTCTGGGTAGCTATTTTCTTCTTTATACTGTATTTTCAAATATTTAATACAATAAGCATATGTTATTTGGATAACCAGATAAAAATAAGCATTATTTCATTGACAAGGGAGCTGAATGAACTTGAATCTGAGACTGAATGAAGCACAGATCTCCCCATCAGTATCCACCCCCCTCTGCACCCCCATCTGCTCCCTCTGCCCTTGGAGCCCTGCTTGTATTTATGTTCCTTACGCATGTCGCCCCCACCTTGCTTTCCACAGGAGCACTCTGTGCGAGACCTGGCTGGTCCAGGCCCCTTCACCGTTTTTGCACCTTTGTCAGCAGCCTTTGACGAGGAACCTCGGGTAAGCGTGGAGCTTAGGCAGATGGAAGAGGCCTGGGACTAGAACACAGTCTTTGGGTGTCACCCCGCAACCAACAATGGATACATTTGTGGGAGGGAGATTTAAGATCAGCTGGAGTTGACTAGTAATGGAAGGGGCTGCCTCTCAGCATTGGGACCCCTATCAGAGGAAGCATTCAAGGGGATTTGGGGTAACCACTAGCCAGAGACCCTCTAAAGGACATTCCTGAATACATTAGGAGGTTGGGAAAAATCAGCAATTCCTAAATGATCCAAACTTCCCATAGGACCAAAAAAAAGAATGTTGGATTAAAGAGATTTAAATAGGGGGTTTTTTTTGCAGGACTTATCAGAATGTTCTGACATTCACTAGGACTCTTCATGCTGGGTTGCCCATTAATAGATTATAATGTAGCAAACATTTATTGAGTGTACCAAACACTGTTTCCAGTGCCGTATGTAGATTAATTCATTTAGTCCTCATGACAACCCTGTGATGAAGTGCTATTAATTTCCCCATTTTACAGTCCAGGGCACTGAGAGGAGTAACTTTCCCAAGGTCACCTGACTAGACAATGATGGTACAAGGACTCAAACATGTCCGAGAGTCTGTATTATTAACCACCACATTCATGGCCTCTCTATGCATATCTTTTAGACACCAGCAACACAGGGACACAAAAAATAACTTTCAAAAAAATTTGACATCTGATAGATTTTTTTTAAAGCATCAGAGGAGTTATCATCATAAAACAGTGAGAACCATGTGGGCTTATATTACACCTACTTTATGGCTCATTTTGTTTGCATTTTGATTCACAAATGGAGAAGCATTGTGATCCTTTCCATCTTAAAGGTTTAAATCTGGCCCGGGCACCTCTCCGAGACGGGGAACAGATGCAGTGTTTCCCAGTACCTTCCTCAAGAAAACTCTGCTTTAAGTAGCATCTCACAGAACTTGGGGTCCTTGCCACGTGTTGTAAAATGCTGGACCAAAGGAACCCCGAGTTCCCTTCCACCCTAAGATCCCAAATGGAAGCAGGACAAGAATCAGGGCCACGCTCTCCCTCTTGCCTGCACAGTCTCTGACCTGAGCACACGCCAACCCTGACTCCCACTTCCCAGGGCCCGGGTGGGGAGAGAGATGTGGGGGAGCCCCTGGAGTACAAAACAGCGACAGGGAAAGTGGGGGCGAAGGCTCCTGGCTCTGGCAGGAACCCTCTGACTCTCCATTACAGATTAAAGACTGGGACAGACAGGGCCTCATGCCCCAGGTTCTTCGGTATCATGTGGTCGCCTGCCACCAGCTGCTCCTAGAAAACCTGAAATTGACCCCAAATGTTACTTCTCTGCAAGGGGAGTCCATTGTCATCTCCGTCTCTCAGGTAAGAAAGGCCACCTCAGCAAGGTGCCCATTTTCCTTGAGCCTTCTTTCTTCTCCTCTTTCTTATGTTAATACCGGGAATAATAAAAAATAATAACAACAACAACGAACTCATATCGTGATTTCTATATGCCAGCTACTAAGCGTTCCGTGTGTACGAACCCATAAAATCCTCAAAATAATCCCATAATATAGATATTATTTTTCTCAATTTATAAATTAAGAAACTGAGTTCAGAGAAGTTAAGTAACTTGTCCAAGGTCACACAGTAAGTAAATAAGAGAGCTGGAATTCCAACTCAGAGGCAAGGCAGATTCAGGTGGTCAACAGAACTGCTTTTGGGAGCATTACCCAGAAGCTGGAGAGGGATGAAAGCTTTTGATGGAAGCCACTTGACCATGCTGGGCCACTCCCCCCACCCCACACACACACACACACACACACACACACACACACACACACATGCGGTGGCTGTCAAATTCATTGCAAAAGGGGGGAAAGTGTGTGGTGGGCAGAGGGGAGGGTTGGTGATATTGACAGCCCATGTGAACCAGATGCCAATTTTGATCCACTTGTTATTTCATACTTGAGAATCACAGTGAAATGACTGTTTGGGTTGATTATTTGCCATTCACTCCTCCAGATGAAAAATACATTCTTATTTCCGTTTCCTCTTTGTAATCATAATAAAAAGCATGCTAAACTTGCATCTTCAGATTTTGCCCACAGATCTCCTTAAACATTCACTTGTATGACAATTTAACCTGGTGAGCATTCAGAAAGAAGCAATGTTTGTGTCTGTTTCTATTTGTGCTCATTTCTTTTCTCTTTTTTGGTTGATTTCAGGACACGGTGGAAATAAATAATAAAGCTAAGATCATATCCAGTGATATCATCAGTACCAATGGAGTCATCCACATCATAGACAAAGTGCTGTCTCCCAAAAACTTGCTTATCATCCCCAGAGATTCTGCTGGAAAGGTTCTGGTGGGTGAACTCGCTGTCATGCTCTCAGCACAGTGGCTCGGTGTGCTAATAATTTACTCTCTCCATTCTGATTGAGAGGCGTCGTTTTGAGACATTTTAATTTTACTGCTTCAATCTCAAGCACGTATTAAAAGCCTAGTAAATATTATTCTTAGTAAGAGGCAAATAAGTGAGTCTATTTTAAATAAATAAATGGATTTTATCAGTTTTCTTTAGTGTCCACAAGGGCAGGTGGTCTTGCATAGATACTGAAGGTGGAGAAATTACATAGATGGATGTCTGATAGATAGATAGATAGATAGATAGATAGATAGATAGATAGATATCACTAAACTAGACCTGGAGTAAGACCCCTCAATTGATAAAAAAGATAATTTTAGCTTTTATTGTTATTTATTCATTTTGGCCAGGATTCTTCATTGCAGACAACAGGATCCACTATGCCTAACTTAAACAAAAAGGAATTTCTTAAGAAATTGACATCCCTAAATCTCTGGAAAGCCAGGGAGCCTAATGCAGATGCTGCACAGCTGGGCACACCGCAGCCCAGGATACCCGCAGAGGGAGGGCCCCTGGCTTCCCCTGTAACAGCTCTGCCAGTGCCACCTGCCCAGCCTCACCACCTAGGGCACAGGAGTCTGGCACCAGAGGCCTTCACCGGGTGCTTGTCAGAACAGCTGGTCTCCCTGCCAGCAGCCACTGCCACCTCCTGTTGTTTCTTTCCACCAATAAGTCTTGTACAAGCGCTTCTCCTCAGAGAACCCTATGTCACATGGAGCTCTAGCTGCAAGGCAGTCTGGGAAATGCAGTGCTTAGCCTTCTAGCCTCTGTAATGCAGAAAGTCAAGGGCAGACCGGAGCTGGGGTGGGCGCCATGAGCCAATCCACGGAACCTGCCGTATATTATCTTACCCTCATTTTTTGTTAAAGTGCTTTGTGAACTGCATGAGAAAAGGTATCATTCCCGTTCTTATCATCTTTGCAGCAAAATCTTACGACACTGGCAATGAACCATGGCTACAGCAAATTTAGCAACTTAATACAGGTAAACACCTAGGACAAAAGTTACCCAGGGAGTAACCGGACCCAAGAGGTTTGGTTTTTGGAAGGCGTGTGTGTGTGTGTGTGTGTGTGTGTGTGTGTGTGTGTGTGTGTGTGTGTGTGTTGTGGGGAGGTGATTGCTGTTGGTTTGGTTTTCTGTCATTTTGTTTGTTTGGCACACACCCAGCTGTCCTGGGATCTGTATAGGGAAGTCATAATTTTCCAGAGAACAACGTCTTTCTCTGCCACCCCATCCCCAAACGCTGTATGGTTTGTTCAGCTACACGGTGTACATGGGCCGCGTTAGAAATTGAAGGGTATGAGGCTGAGCAAGGAAGGGAATGAGGGTGCACCAGCCCCTGACCCAGGTGCTTCACATCTGGAATTATCACCTGCTTTGTAGTGATGGAGAAGCTGAGGTGGAGTCGGGCATCGATGCCCATGAGACAGGCAGAAATTGCATTTCAAACTATATCCTTCTGACTTCAGAGGCTGTTCCCACGAATTGAGTAGAAAAACTTCTTGTTCAAACAAATATTGCAGAGGTTCTAGAAGGCTCTCAAAACGACCTCTCCCCATTCATCTGGAAATTTATTCTTTTTTATCTATGTGATCTAGAAATCTTATAAATATACAGAAGTATATCAGTATTGGATAGGGTTCATTTTTTTTAAATGAAATATGAGACAAGTGCTAAATGGGTTTTCCAGAAAATAAAATATTTGGGCAAGAGAAGCAAAAATAAATTTTTTAAAGATACTCACTAAAGTTTATTTTCCAATTAACACAAGCCCAGTGTTTGACTTCCTGTTTTGCTTTCTAAGAAAAAGAGGGTCCAATAAAAGAAAAAGAAGAAAAAAAGAAAGAAAGAAAAGAAAATGAGGGTCCAAATGGCTGGCGTGTGGGCCTCTAGTTTCTGGCTGGGCACGGGGTGGGCACGGAGGGGACCCCAGCTGCCTTTAGTCCGCACCGCTGGGTTTGGCTGAGCATGTGACCGGCCCTGTGTTTCAGGATGCTGGTTTGCTGAGCCTCATCACGGATCCCATCCACACCCCGGTCACTCTCTTCTGGCCCTCCGACCAAGCCCTCCAAGCCCTACCCCGGGAGCAGCAGGACTTCCTGTTCAACCAAGACAACCAGGACAAGCTGAGGGAGTATCTGAAGTTCCACGTGATCCGAGACGCCAAGGTATTTTGTTTTCACGCAGACACGAGTGCAGACCAGCCCCGGGAGGGATGCGACCCAGGAATCGTGAGCAGCCCCTGCCCCACTGTGTCCTCTGACTGGTCATTAACTGGCCCTGCGGTTTAGCACACCTCGTCCTGTTGCTCCAACCTGCCTTCTATTTTCTAACTTTCACCGATACCCAGCGGCAGCCTTCCTGTCTCGTACAGCAGATCAGCTTTCTCGCCTCCGTCATTCACGTGGTGAGATGGCTGCGGACGGCAGTCCCCAAGTCTCTCCAGATGACTCTTTCTCTCCTGATTCTAACGTTTCTAGACAAAGGACCGATTCATTCAGCTGCGATCAGTTCCTCATTCCTGAACCGGTCCACTGTGCTCAGGGAATGGAGATCTTGCTAAAACCCTCGACCAGGACCCATATTCCTCTCCAGGAGTAAATCTGTCCAATCCAAACAAGCTAGATGTCCAAACTGTGGTTAATTCATAGGATCTGTTTGTTTCCTGGGGCTGACATAACAAGTTACCACCAACTAGGGGGGATTGAAACAACAGAAACGTATTTTCTCAGAGTTCTGGAGGCTGGCAGTCCTGAATCAAGTCCGGAAGCTCCTCTTCCAAGCTCTAAGGAAGAAGCTGGTTCATGCTTTTCTCCTGGCTTCTGGTGGTGCCGGCATTCCTTGCACATCTTGGCATTCCTTGGCTTGTGGGCGCATCCTGCACGTCTCTGCCTCTGTTGTCACAAAGCTGTCTCCTCCCTGAGTGTTTCTAGATCCTCACATGGCATTCTCGCCTCTCTTCTTCTTATGACTCCAGTCATATTGGATTAGAGCCCCACTCTACTCCAGTATGAGTTCATCTAAGCTAATTACATCGGCAAGGAACTTGTTTCTAAGTAAGGCCACATTCTAAAATAATGGGGGTCAGGACTCTGACTTTGGGGAGGGGACAAAATTCAACCCGTAACAGCGCCCTGTCCCATTTCCCTAGCCCATTCCTCCTGCCATTGGCTTCATACACCCACGCGCATCTTCCATAAACTCCCACACATAGACAGGAGACGGGAGGGTGACTAAACCCAGTCCCACTGGCGGGACCTGTCCTACAGAAAGAATGTCCAGGCTCCTAGAGGGTCTGTAATGTATTCGTCCTTTTGATTATACCTACTATCACTTTAAAGCTGGAATTATTAGAACTCTTGAAAAAACTTGTGTCTGAATTTGGCTTGTTGGCAAAGCTCCTTTGGCCCCCTCCTTGGCCCAAATTTTGGGCATTCATGTGGTGTCCTGGCTGCTACAGGTTCTGTCAGTGGATCTGCCCAGATCTGCTGCCTGGAAGACCCTGCAAGGCTCCAAGCTGAGTGTGCAGTGCGGCGCTAACAGCAATATCGTGAGTACCCTTGCACAGGTGGGGGTTGGCAGCACATTAGCAGCATTCCCCAACAACTGCCCTTTCAAAGAGACGTTCATACATTCCTGTCATTGACAGCAAGCTCTTTTCCTCGCCGCCTTGAGAGATATCTCCCCGAGAGTAAGTAAGCGGGTATGAAGAACCTGATCAATCCTGGCCCACCTAAGCCCTGGGAGCAGGTGTCAGGGAGCCCCCTTCCTCTTACATGTGTGGAGCAGCTCTTAGGTTAGTTAGTTAGTTAGTTAGTTGTGGAGCATTTGTTCTCCAGTGTGAGACACTACCCTGGAGCAGGAAGCATGTTGTCATTCCTTTCCCTCCTTCCTAGCCCCTAGGTGACCTCATCTCTAGGCCTCTCTTAGTGATCAGAACCAGCTCTGGGTTATAGCTTCTTTAATGAGCCAACAGAGAGAAAGTTTGCCATTTTCACCTTCCCTGGCTAGTTCCTGAACAAACTTACCTTCCTGTAACTCCATATGATGAATGGAGATGATAGGATATAGATATGATAGGAATGGGTATGATATAACCTGCACATAAAGGTAAACCCAAAATGACAGTGACTTAAATACACAAGGGTTTCTCTCGCTTATAAAGGAAATCGGGAGGTGGCTCCTCCAGAGCTAGTATGATGGCTCCGTGAGGGAGCTCTTCCTGTCTTTCTGCTCTTCAGCACATGCTTCCAGCCTTAAAGTGACCTCAAGGTCCAACGTGGCTGCTGGAGCTCCAGCCATCACATCCACTTTCCAGGCAGTAGGAAGGACAAATGGCAAAGGGGTGCAACTCCCAGATGGGTAGATTCCATTTAGGAGTCTTCTGAGAAGTCCCATACAACTTTCTGTTTACAAGGGATGATCAGCCAGAATCCCTTTGGTATTTGGATTGGAATTGCATTGACTTTATAAATGAATATGGGGAATGTGAGCACCTTTATAATCCAACTTCCGGAAAGTTACACTCAAGATCAGCTGTACTATCTCCATAGACCAAGCTGGACGCCTATCAAAGAAATATAATAAGAATGCCCACTGCTCATTCTCTGTGCTGATACAGCTTTCAGAGAATTTGGTCATGTATTATTTAGTCTGGTCTCTATAACAGCCCTATGCCATGGAGTCATTAATCCTACTTTCCTGGTGAGGAAAATTAAACCTCAGAGAAGTCCACTGACAAGTAGAAGTGGGGGGATTTAACCACAGTTTTCCAGTGTTCTTTCCACTCAGTCACATTGTGTCCATCTCATCATAGATGCTGAAATTTCTTTTTTTCTTTTCATAGAATTTTCTAAAAATATTTCGCTTCCTGGGGGTGGGGGGCGGGAAATGGGATGCATCATCAACTTTGCTGGGTGGACCTTAGCAAAGCAAAGTGCTAGGATTGCCCTGGCCTGTTTGGCTCAGTGGATAGAGTGTCAGCCTGCAGATCAAAGGGTCCCGGGTTCGATTCCAGTCAAGGGCACGTATCTTGGTTGCAGGCTCCTCCCTGGCCCAGGCCCTGGTCAGGGCTCATGCAGGAGGCAACCAATCGATGTGTTTCTTTCACATCGATGTTTCTCTCTTGTCTTTCCCTCTCTCCTGCACTCTCCCTAAAAAATCAATGGAAAAATAGCCTCGGGTAAGGACTAACAAAAAAAGGGAAAGAAAAGAAAAGCACTAGGATTGTTGTAGCATAAAACAAAATAACATACCTAAAGCACAAATTACCTAATGCCTAATACATGTGAAAACAGAAGTGGTTGTTATCACTGTAAAGGCAAAGCTATCACTTGTGTGTCCTAGGAAGACAGTTGTGTCAGGCACTTTGCTGGGTGCTGGCACTAAGTAAGGAATCTGGGTTACCGCGCATGACGTGGCCGTGTCAACAAAGTTTATCCTGAACGTCAGGCAGGCCGCCCCTGCGCCATCCTGTTACCCCTGCCGCCACTGTTCTACTTTGGCAGAAATGGTGTTGCAGAGTGGCCAGCAGTGTGGGCTCCGAGGCTGGCTGCC